TACTTTGGACCATCAGGACGTCAAGGAGCTTGGACTCAAGGCGATTTTTAACTTCGATAACAGGGGGAGGCTTGTAATCTAAGGATTGTAGAGGTGCATAAGGGCCCGCTTATGCGGCCTATGCACTGGCTCCTTATGTTTGCCGAAATGCCTCTAATGTCAAGATTCATTCATTCATTCAAGTGAACTGTTAAACTGTATTACTTTATTATCTCGAATTCTGTAGGACTTTTATTACATTTTTTTTTTTGAGAAATCAACTTCTTTCGTGGTTAAAATTTGTCAGATAAGTTGTGAAACACCCTTGTATATTAAAAATACTCATACTTTTAACTTCAAGAAAAAACAGATAAATGTAATGTGCAAATATAGTGAAGAAAATATTTTGACAAGAATGATTTTACACATTCAACAGGTTCTATTAAAAATGGCTTAATTTTACTGTAGGTATAACACATAACTGCTATGCTTCCAAAATTACTTATTTTGATAAATTTGTGGTTTATCCACAAGATATTTCATTCATTAGTACGAGGGATGGCTTCTAAGTTTTGCATATGGAAATAAAATAACACGGTAGGTAGTTTTAAATGACTTTATTGTTTTTCGAAATATTCTCCACGAAGATTAATACACATCTGCATGCGCTCGAACCAATTTTCGAAGCACCTATTTCACTCGTTTGCGTCAACTGCTTCTTCTGGTGACTGGAACCATTGACCACGCAGGCTGTTTTTAATTTTCGGGAAAGTAAAGAAACCGTCAGGACTTAGATCGAGACTATATGGAGGATGGTCCAATAATTCCACGTTTTCTTCGGTTAAATACTGCCTTGTTTTTTGGGCTGTGTGCGAGCTTGCATTGTCTTGGTGGAGGATGATTCTTCTTTCGAGGTTGATTTTTCGAAGCTCGGTGATGACTTTTGGTGAACAAATGGTGGTATACCGATCCGTAGTAATAGTTCTTTGCTCATTAATAGGAATTGTTGCAATATGACCCGCTTTTGACACAAATGTCGCGACCATCTTTTTCGAAACACTTCGAGAACGGATGACTTTTGTTGGCTTTTCTTCACACCCAAACAGCCGACTGTCGTTTATTTTCTGGTTCATAACAGTAAATCCACGATTCATCACCACTAACAATGCTGTACACATTTTTTGAGTTTCCGGAATTGAAACAGTCAAGCGTTTTTTGACATCAATTAACCCTGACTGCTTGTGATCCTTTCTGCTCTTCAGTCAACAGGTGGGGTATCCAACGAGAAACTAATTTTCTTACTCCTAATTCTTCATGTACATTTTTTTGAATTGAGGTCTTTGAGATCTTCAATTTTGTTTGCGCACAGCATCGACGTTTTCCTGGGTGACTGCCGTTTTTGGTGCACCCACCGTGCGATCGTCGCTAAGACTCACCCGTCCACGTTTGAATTCTCCATACCAACGGGAAATTGTCGACTGATGTGGCGCTTCGTTGCTGAAAATAGACAGTAACTCAGCAAGGCATTCTTGTTGCGATAATTGTCCCTGAAAGTTGTAATAAATTATGGCGGGAAAATGTTCTCGGTTGAGTTCCATTTTTCTAATGAATTGGTGACACTTAAAACTTCACTGTAGTGAGAACACTGCACCTATTGTTGGGAAACTTTGAATTTAAGTTTACCAAGGAGTGAGGTTAAGATTCAGTACTGACGTTCGATCCGTGCGGCATACTATGATCAAATTCAAGCGGATAACCAAATGGAAATGGTATTTACCATTTTGGGTTGGTATTTACCAATCCGTTCAAGCGAGTGTACTTATCAGTTTGGTTATAAGATCCGTGACGTCACGAATCAGCTGTTATATGTCATAGTTATCACCGCAAAATTGTGGTATTTACCCAACTCAAGAGTAGTTTTATATTTCTAGTTATTATTTGAAATGTGACAAGTTAGAATTTTGCCGGGTATTGGATATTGTTATTGTACTTCAGCTTCATTTTTGAGAAAAATGATACAGGCTGACTTCACTTTTACCATAAAGTGGAGCACCTTATTAGTTATACTCATTACGGTTGTTGGGGACACTTTAAATGTAGTTCTTCCTATGCTTAACAAAGTATCCTGTGTAGCCATATACCACAAGAATATTAAAATATGGTCATATAAACTCACTAGATGATATCCACCTGTATTCGGTTTTGCTAATTTCTTTTTTCATCATTTCTGCTGAATCAATAAATGTTTTCTTCGACATGTGGAAAAATTTATAGAATTGAAAGTTATCATAGCTACAAAGCCATGGTTCGATCATTAAAAAAAAATCTGAAAAAACATTTCTCCCATGAATATTATGAAAGGTTTCTTATTTAAACTTTCCATATACAGTTGTAGACGAAAAAGCACCGATTATTAAGTGAGAAAAATAATCACAGATTATATACGCGCTTTTCTAAAATAAACAACTTGCAACAAAACCGCAGTTAAAACCAACGCGTTCAAGCGATTCGTGTAACTGACGTCATCAACCCGTGTGTCATCTTGAACCATATGATAACTGCGGCACATAACACAGAAATTTTGGTTATTCGCTTGGATTTGATTTATGTTTCTATATGCAAAACTTAAAAGACATCTCTCGTAGTATCACATATCATATCAAGCTGAAAAACATAACACCATTTAAAACAATTCCATTATGGTGCGATCTCTTGCACTAAACCATGCGAAACCCCTTTGGCCTTCACTTCACGAGCTCGAATATAAATGACCAAAAAAAAAACAGAAGCATTATTACTTGGAGAAAAGATCACGGAACCATTATAACACAGGCGTCAAGATAGTGATATTAGTGACAGATGACACGTTATGACAACTGTCAGTCATTTAAGTAGAAAATGTGAATGGCGTGAAATCATGAAAAAATTATTACATTTATTTAAAAAAATAAATATATTCACTTACCTTTAGAACCACATCAAAGAAAAAATAGGAATGAGTTGAAATTCGGCAAATTTACATATGTAATTTCCAGAATGAATAATATAATCAAAAATTGGTTGAGTAGAAAGATCGCATCTAAATGATTGTATGGTGATTGTGAGTAATGGTCTGCATGTGTATAAAGTCATTGGTTTTTGGTATGTAATTTCCAGAATAAATAAGAAAAAGTGGATGCGCTAATTTCTAGCTTTGAATCTCAAGTAAGTGTATTTGAGACAAGAATCCAATGGAATTATAATCAACACATATGTGATTACACAAATCCTCAATCTGTACCTATGCATTGCCGTTTCCTTCTAGCTATACAACTTACAGCTTAGACCTCCAATATAATGCCATCTCTGAAGTAAATGTTAGATCACATCATAGCCAAATATTGATAACTGAAACACCATGACGCTAAGGCAACACATGCAACTACACAACAAGTTCACAAAAGTGTTCAACAACTAGTGCTAAGTTAACAGTTTGTGGAAAAAACTACATGTCAAAAAAAAACAAGTATAATGTCAAAAAAATCGATATAACCTCACTTTTCCGTGCCGGTATTAATGAAAATGACATTTAACGATTTGAGGTTAGAATCAATTTGAATTTCTGACATTTTTTTTTCATCTGGCCATTGATGACAGAGACGGAGTGGGGAAATTGGGGAGTGAACCAGCGAAGAGTATTCGACGCGAACCGTCATAAGTTATTAATAAGTGTTTTTTTATGAGTATGTATGAATTACGAGTACTGATTAATAAAATATGGAAATACGTGAGTAACGTCACAATATTGGCAAGAGAGCAGCCAATCCTTTGTGATTGATTGTCAACCTATCAGTTTGATCAGTTCCAAAGAGTTCTGGTTGACGCGGAGTCCGCCACTAACTACAATAAGTTATACCCTTTTTTCAACATATATTTTGTATTTTATACAATTTTCTATGTCCTCTTCTAACTATAAAATATAAATTACGATGATACAGTACTAAAGTATCTATGCAATTTAATGGAGGCATAACCCAACAACTAAAAGGATCCTGGCCTAATGTTATAGAATTAATCTTATTTAAATGATAAGTGGAAGAAATGTTCTTTGCAATATACGTGTAAGGTAAGTAAAAACTAATTATATTTGGGTATAATGGTAGTTCCATGTTCTGTACGTACGTTAAGATGATCTTCACAACAATATGAAATAGTTTTTGGAAATATATTAGCTTTTTTCATTCACCTTTCTCTTATCTTCAAACTTCTCGGAGAATACGAAAAAATACTTTATCGAGTGTTTTATGTATCGAACTTTTGCCCATGAGCACACTCCAGCACTTATAATAAGGTTTCCGTTATTTATCCATATTCTTTTTTTCAATCAAAACTAAACGATATAAAATAGAACCTTTCAAAACTTGACAGCAAATTAACCAAAGATAGAATGAAATGACAAACCATGAGTTGTGACGTCACTGCGAAGCGCGCGAAAAATGCGGCGTTTAAATCAACGCCATTGGCATTGCACTTTCAAATATTTAATTAAAAAAAATACAGACTTTTCCATGAATAAAATATCTGTTTAACGTAAATAATCGACAGATAATACAAAAAAAAAACGTGCATATTATCTATACTACGTTGTGACTTTCTATGTCAATAGATGAAGGGAGTGTTGTGATCTCAAAAAATTCAGAATTTGCGATGTTTCTTTGGATAGTCTACTACTCGATCACGAAAAACGGCATCGCTCTTTCTCGTCGCCCTCTGTCTAGCAATCCTTTGATCTGTCTATACATTAAAAATTTTGACCACATTTCCAGCATACCCAAAACAGCTTTGAATTATGGAGTTCGCAATTAAAATTAAGAAAAGTCAAGCACAGTGATTTCCCTATTTCATTGAATATGGTTATGTTATGCCATAGCTAATAGCGCATGGTTCTTAATGAGTATCAAAAGAGACTGACGGCGAAACTGCTCAACGGAAGTACGTGTTATTTTAAAATGTGACTAAAAATCAGAGCTTTTACAACTTACCTAGCATCTATCTCCTGAGCCATCCCTCCGACCATCTTCTTGTTAAGTATCAAATATCTTTCCTCCTCTACGTTCTTAGCTTGCTGCGCGGCACGCACCAAATTGTCCGTAGATCGAATCACAGCATTGCCAGCAGCGTGAAGTCTACGTGTAGCTTCGGTATCAGCTTCTGCTTTCACTTTGCACGCTACCAGCAACTGGGCAGTTGAACTGGCCACTTGTTTCGCTGAGGCTATCAACTTATCTTCACTACCCAATCCTGAGGATGTCAGAAAAGTGTTTGTTGATGAAGGCATTACTTAAACGATAACTGTAGCTAGATTTCACTAAAACGGAAACTGAAGGAAGAAACAAATTACTAAACTCGGTTTTTTGTTTGATCACAAACAGTATAACGCTATAGGGGTCATATGATTTTTTACCAACGAATTCAGTACTGGATAATACGATATACAATGTAAAATATTCCTCACTTTGATTTGAGCAGGTTAGAATGTCCGCCGACCGGCAGGGTTATTACGTAAAAAACCTTTAGAATGGCAAAAAAAGACAAAATGTCAAATTGCTGCCTAGATAGTTCCTAGCGTGCAAATAGTTCATTCCGCGTTTTTTTCCTAAGAGCGCTGTAATAAAAAATCATAATATATGAAGGAATGGCTCAAAGACACGACACGCTCAAAGACCATGCTGCAAGACAGCTCCCCAGCATGCTTTGTTGGTTGCAGAATGCCGAGCTAGTCTCTACAGTATATCACTGAGAAGATGTGACAGATAATCAAAAATTGGTTGAGTAGAAAGGTCGCATCTAAATTTATGGTGATTGTGTGTAATGGTCTGCATGTGTATAATGTCAGTGGTATTTGCTATGTGAGAAAATTATTACTGAATATGCTGCCCATAAAGTATATCTATTAGTTGTACCAGACGGGTTATTTATGTTGTCCTTTTGAACAGAGGCTATGTTTAAAGTTATAAATTACGATATTCCCGGGTTTTTTGCGTTTTCAAAAACTTTGAGAAGCATTATGAGAAATCACTACCGCGCCCGCGTTGTGTATAATTAGCCCACATCACAGAAAAATTAGGAATGACGCATCACACATAAAACATTTTCGCAATGCCTCACATCTAGGCACTTATTTGTTTTTTTTACTTGACATTGCAAAATACATTTCTATGAGATAAATGACTGGAAATGAGAAATAATCTAAAATGTAATAAATAACATTTTGACGTTTCAGAAATATTCCTGTCTGTAACCAATTTTGTCCCCTGTTGTTATATAGGTACTTCACCCAATCAGGGATTTCTTTTTTATCTCTCTCATTTTTGAAATTCAGCAAATTTGAATATGTAATTTCCAGGATTAAACGTACATCTCAAATGAGTGTATTTGAGACAATACACAGATTATTAGCACACAAATCCTCGCTATGCACCTATGCTCTGCCGTTTCCTTCCAGATATATTATACAACTTACAGCTTAGACCTCCACTAGCTGCCATCTCTGAAGCAGATGTTACATCACATCAGAGCCAAACATTGATAGCTGAAGGAACATGATGTTTATACAACTGCTATTACCAAAACGTTTACGGACTTAACTCTAAAACTTCCATTTTTTATAATAATTTAAGCCTGAATTGTAATTTTGATATATTTTTTCTTTCTGAGACATGGTTGAATGAAGGAGTTTTTAATGCCGAAGCTTTTCCTACTGAATACACTGTATTTAGGAAGGACAGAAATTTTGCAGACACCCGTTTATCCAAAGGAGGCGGGGTACTCATTGCTGTCAAAAATTGTTATTTTTTTGAGCCTCTTGATTTGGATGGTATTCAGTTAGGTAGTAGTAGTATTAGATTGATTTAGTCGGTGGTAAACTTCATTTAGGGTTTCATACTATATATATATATATATATGCTGTTTACATCCCCCCGGATATTTCGCTTGAGGACTTTGAAATATTCTTTGACAATTTTTCTCTTTTCAATTCAAGTCATAACAGCTCGACTATAATTGCTGGTGATTTCAACATCCCTATGTATGGCTATGATGATAACGACTCGAAATGGATAATAGTAAAGAGCTTCGCAGAAATGTTTGAGTTCCAACAATATAACATTATACCAAATTATAACAATAGATACTTAGACCTCGTTTTCAGTAATAGTGAATGTCGAATTGAAAGAAGTGATACACCACTTGTATATGAAGACAGACATCATCCTGCGCATTACAATTCACTATTAGCACTAGAATTACCAGAACCATTAACTTTAGTCCCAACAAAGCTGAAACTGTTTTCAATTTCCGCAAAGCAAACTTTGTCCTTATGTACGAAATAATGTCGACTATTGATTGGAGTGATATTTATCAGTGCACGGATCCTAATGCAGCGACTGAAATGTTGCAACAAACTTTGTATAGAATATTCGACCGAACTGTACCCAAAAAAATTATTCCGACCCGTAGGTTCCCACCATGGTATTCCTTAGACACAATAAATAAAATAAAAGAAAAAGAACGAGTACATAAAAACTACAAAAGATATGGAGATGAAGCATCTCGTACAAGATTTGATTCTTTAAGAAGGACGATAAAAACTCAAGCTGGCAACGAATATCGTAATTTTATTTTGGCAGCAGAAAACAATATTTTATCAGATCCTTCTCAGTTTTGGAATTTTATCCACAGTAAAAAATGAATATCCCGTTTACCTGGTATGATGAAATATAATGTAACTACCTTAACAAAACCCAAAGATATTGTTGACTCATTTAAACAGTATTTTTCGAAAGTTTATACACCTCCTGATCAAAACCTTAGTGAAAATGTAATCATGGATTATGGAAACTCCTTGTTTATAGATTTACCTCAAATATGTAAAGCTGATGTTCTTAAAGCGGCGAAAAAGTTAAAAAATAAGTTGATTATAGGCCCTGATCAAATACCCAGCTTCTTAGTGAAGGATTGCATACATGCGCTACTCAGACCATTAATACATCTGTTCAACATTATTTTGAAGACGGGCATCTTTCCAGACAACTGGAAGTTATCTAGAGTTACCCCGGTGCTGAAAAAGAGTGATAGAGCTTTAATTAAAAATTACCGCCTAATCGTTGCAGTATCCAACTTTTCAAAGCTATTTGAAATTATTGTTTATGAAGTAATTTATATTCACACTAAAAACCAAATTGTAGCAGAAATTATTGTTTATGAAGTGATTTATATTCACACTAAAAACCTAATTGTAGCAGAACAGCATGGCTTCCAAGAGAAAAAATCTTGTACGTCAAATCTGGTATGTATTACTCAATCCATCAGTGAAAACCTTGATAGCAGAGGACAGACGGATGTAGTTTATATGGATTTACAGGAGGCATTTGACCGAGTAGACTTATACATTTTAATGAAAAAAATACAAGGATTTGGGTTTTCGGCACGTCTTCTAAGCTTGCTTAAATCGTATTTATTTAATCGAGTGCAATTTGTGGAATACGAAGGGCACCGCTCTGATATTTTCTCTCCAACATCTGGGATTCCCCAAGGATCAAATTTAGAACCTCTATTGTTTTTGTTATATATAAACGACCTAGCTATGATGATTACATGCCAAAAGTTGCTCTATGCGGATGACCTCAAAATTTTTCATAACAAGCTCAAATTCGGGCTGCCAAATTTTACAAGGCAACATTGACCTTGTCTTGGATTGGTGTAATGCTAATCATGTTGAAGTTAATGTAGATAAATGCTTCATATTAACGTACACCAGAAAGAAAGAACCAATAACATGGCCCTACAAAATAAGCGAGAATGAGTTGAATAGGTGCTATCAAATTAAAGATATCGGTGTTCTCTTTGATAGCAATTTGTCATTTTGTGATCATATAAATGATATCACAACGTCAGCCAACCGAATGTTGGGCTTCATCATCCGAAACAGTAGACAATTTTCCAATTTACATGTTTGAAACTTCTTTATTCTTCGTACCTTCGATCTAAATTGGAAAGTTGTTCTTTAATTTGGTATCCCATCTATTCGGTTCATATAAGCCGTATTGAGCGAATACAAAGAAAGTTTTTGAAATTTCTGCATTTCAAGTGGACAGGCGAATATCCGGAGAGAGGATGTGATTATTCTGTACTCATGAATACATTTGACTATTTGTCGCTAAATAGTAGGAGAGTTATAAGTAGTTTCAATTTTCTTTATGATGTTTTGCACAATGATATCATATGTGAATATACAGGGTGACTTCGAAGTTGAGTCATTTATTTTAACAGTGAGTAGATCTGATCAAAAGAAATGTTTTTTTTCCTTTAACATTTTTGTGGTAAAATTAAAGTAACAAAGTTATAGCCCTTTAGAAGTTTGAGTACCGCTCTGCCTCAATAATAATATTATGTGCTCGTGTTTGGCAACAACGGATATAATCCGCCTTATCGGTTCATCGCATCGGAAACAAAAAAGCGAAAGAATTTGAAACGCTTATCACGATGTTTTTATTCAGTCAATGTGTCGGTCGGTAACGCGTGAGTGAATAGTGGTGTTTGCTGCGTGGCTCAAACGAAATAAAAAATGGCACATGTTTATGCGGATCGGTTTCCCAATCGAGTTCAACCAACCGCTCGTGCCTTTGTTAATGTAGTACAAAGGGCTCGTGAATCAGGTGACTTAAGACCTCACAGGGGAGGGCATGCCGGTGCTCCAAGACCTCACGATCAAATACAGATCCGCACTGAAATACTTGTCGGGAGGATACTTTATAAAACAAGGTAAACATTTTTTTTATTTTTACACACATATTTTGATTTATCTTCCTTCTACAATCATTATCTGAAAATTAATGACTCAACTTCAAAGTCACCCTGTATATTAAGTAAGCTTAACTTTCATGTACCTGTGCGCAATTTGCGTCACCAAATGACATTTTACTGCGAATTAGCTCGAACAAATATCGCCGGTCACGGTTATGTGTGAGAACTTCAATTCTTTAGGTGAATATTGTGATGTGAATACTTCATCTAGAAATGACTTTAAACAACTTTATCTGGCCATTTCCCATGGCATGTAATGACCTTTTTGCGGTTAGAGTTATTTTTTTTTAATATTCTGGCTTTTTGATCTAGCTGTATTATTAATTTGATTGTGTTTTTTTTATATACTAGGATTATGTGTTGCTCTTGTTTTTTTTTTTGAACTATTTCCTGTAATTGGGTGATTGTACCTGTTGGAAATAAAGATCATCTATCTATCTATCTATCTACAACACATTCAGCTACAAAGCGAGTGCACATCAAGTGAACAAGCTAGTTCTAAGTTGACATCTTGTAGAAAAACCTACATGATGTCACAAAAAAACTATAAAATGTCAAAAAATACGACATAATGTTACTTTTCAAGATACGTAATACCTCTGCCCTTGCGTCCAGCAAATAAGTTACTAATTTGAGCACGTAAAAAGATGACTATTCACTTTTTCCAATGTTTCGTTCATTTCGCAAGATTATCCAACTCTTGTATCCCAAAAGAAATTCAAATTCAATGTTTTTTACCGAAATAGTGTTCGGATAAAAAGTTAAGTTTAATAAGAAAAAAATAGAATATAGAATTCTATTTATAATCATAGTCCCGCTCGACTTTTTACTGAGATGCGTCCGTAAACTGTTTGACGGACCTGATCCATACGTTCGGAATTATTGAAATAAAGTAACCTTGTGAATAAGAGTGTTGTCACTTGTCATTTTCATAGTTCATTCTGTAATAAACCCGGACGTAAACTCACTCCACTCTCGGAACGTCCGGGTGGAGGGTGGGCTCGAGGGAACAACATCGCTGATAAAATTTGTTTTAGGAACATCTGCGGGATTAACAGCAACATTGATGCTGTTCATCATTACCTGCAATCCAATCGTCCCGTCATGCTTTTTTTGGCGGAGACAAAAATCTCAGAGTCTGCACCCATTAACCATCTTAATTCCCCAAATTACTAGGTGCACTCCAATCTGAGAAATAACGGGGGAGTTGTGGCTTTTGTCCGCAGCAGTATTACCCGCTCCATGATGTTTCTTTCGAATCAGACCGGAAAGACATTCTGTGGCTTCGCCTCAACTCCAAAACATCACCCAAATTTATCTGCTGTCTTAATCGCTCTCTCTCGGACCATAACTGGGATGACCTACTTGAATACCTCGCCGTCCAGATCGACTTCCTGAACATCAATCACCCCGCTTCAGAGGTAGTTCTTCTCGGTGATTTCAATGCCCATAATGAGCTTAGGTTGGGCTGAAACAAGACCGATGCAGCAGGTCGTGCAGTCGAAGCGTTCGCAAACTATCCCGCTGTGGCTGCACAAACTCGTACAGGCCGCAAAACTTGGCATTACGGATATGTCGACTAGGAGGGGCGCAGAGACTTCTTCTCTACCTTTCCTTGGAGAGATGCCTGTATCACTGACGCGGATGCGTCCGCTGTCTGTTCTTCGATAACCGAAATTATCCACGTCGGAATGGAGGAATACGTCCCTCACACAGTGAAAGTGCCTAAACCTGGGTCCAACGGCTGGTTTAACAAATCGTGTGACACTGCTCGCCAGCAGAAGATCAAGGCACACAGAACCTTCTTACAAAACCCCACTGTAGAGAACAGACAAGCCGACGTCGAGTCCAGAAACAAATATAACGAAGCTGTTCGCAATGCCAAAAACCAGCATGATATAAAAGTTAGGCACAGGGTAATGTCGCAGTGCAATGGCAGTCGGTCTTTCTGGACGCTGGCCAAGCAGATTGAAAAGAACTTCTCACACAGTAGCCTTCCACCACTTACGTGTCTGGATGGAACGATTGTATCCGACTCAAAAGCCAAGGCGGAAGTGCTTGCCAAGATCTTTGCTGCCAACTCCACCATGGACGTCCCCCCCAACGCCCAAGTACCGTCAATTCAAAGGATTCCCTACGCTAAACGGGAGGTAACATTCAGGCATAAGACCGTAAGACGACTGCTCTTGTCGCTCGACATCAACAAAGCTTCTGGTCCGGACTTGATTCCTGCCATTGTACTGAAGAGGTGTGCAGCGGAGCTTGCCCCAGTTCTTTCGCGTCTCTTCCAGATATCTTATGAATCCGGCAACTTCACACAAAACTGTAAATCCCAGGTGGTGCATAAATCGCGAGCTTCTGGACTACCTCGAACGTCACAGCGACAGGCAGTATTGTTTCCGGCATCAACGATCCACATGGGATCTCCTAGCTTACGTCACGCTATTGTGGAGAAAACTCATCCGGTCTTATGGTGAGGCTCATGTCGTTGCTCTTGACATCACGAAAACGTTCGATCAGCTGTGGCACGCTGCCCTCTTAAGCAAATTTCCATCCTATGGCCTCCCAGAAAAGCTTTGCAGATGGGTGGCTGACTTTATCTCTGGCCGCAAGATATCCGTCGTAATTGACGGGTTCTCATCTTCATCCCACAACGTCAACGCGGGTGCTTCCCAGACATTGGTCTTGGATCCACACTGTTCCTCTAACATATCAACGACCTCCTTTCCTGCACGATCAACCCAACCCACAGCTTCGCTGATGACAGCACTCTACATGAAGGAATTCAGAGTGACAAGCCGATCTCTGCCGCTGAGCTGGAAAAAAGAAGACTAGCGACAACTTCCTCTCTGACGAGACACCTGTTATCACTGCTTGGGGACGCAACAATCTTGTACAGTGTAATGCTTCCAAAACACAGCACTGTACTTTCACGAACAGAAAGCGTCTTAGCTCTCATCCGGTTTCTATGGATGGCCGAGTTCTGCCAAAGAGCCATTCATTTCGGCTGCTCGGAGTCCAGATCTCCGAGGACCTGATCTGGCACGAATACATCTCGTCAATAGCAGCAGCTGCTGGGCAAAAGCTAAGCTATTTGTTTAGGGCTAAGAAATACTTTTCTCCGCATGACCTTCTCACTCTATACAAGGCCTAGATAAGGCCTAGCCTCGAGTATTGCTCACATGTTTGGGGTGCTGCCAACCCGACTACATTATTTATGCTCGATGCTGTCCAGAGGATGGCGGTCCGACTGATAGATGACTCTTCTTTAACAGACAGTCTCGGGACCCTTTCGCACCGGCGCGGCGATCTAGCTCTTTTCTATCGCTACACCAACGGGCTTTGCTCCTCGGAGATCTATTCCATGATGCTGCCGCGCGATGTGCCTGCCAGACAGACCCGCCTGACTTTGGCGTCCCATCCTAACCGTGTCGAACTTCGTACACCCAGAACTGGCCGATACGACCGCTCCTTTGTCGAGATTGTGGAACAATCTACAAGAGGAAGCTTTTCCCAGTTCTACTAACCTTAGGCAGTTCAAAAATCGTATTAACAAAATTTCTTTGGGTTCATCATAGCAGCCGCGGTGTTCTGGCATTTAGTCTTCTGAATGTGCGGCTGCTTCGGTATAAAAAAAATAAATACAATGGTCCCAGAAAACGTGGTTAGAAATTAGTCAGCTATCATCAAGTGTAATTACATGACTCTTTAATAATTTTAGTGTTCTAAAAATAAAGTTTGATAGTAAAATTTCATTTGTCAAGCTACATTCCATTACTGTGTATGGTATTACATTACCAAGTGATTTACAAACGTACCCCAAAGAACCAAATCAGTTTAATACGTAGCTAGGCAATATTATATCATTAATTTGGATGATTGTGAATGACAGTCTACCCTCCAGCAAGAAAATAAATATACGAACCTTGCACAAGCGCGTTAGCACTTTCCACCAAACTGTGCGTAGCAGCAGCCACTAGCCTAGCCGCAGAAATGAGTCCTTCGGACCATTGTCCGTCATCTGAAGACGAAACGGGGGTGCCAGACATCTTTCCCGCGTCGATCAGTTCTCGTTGGGCAGCAGATGCTGCTTTCACCAAGGCTGACGTGGCTGCCGCGATAGATTTTGCCGCTTCCAGGATCATCTCGTCGAAATTCATAGATTCGTCCAGGTCTTGAGTCTGAAATTTTGGAGAATTCAAATGTGAATCTAATCACTATAGTGATCAAGGGCGAACCCAGCTCAAAACGGAAAGAGGGCATCTTAAAAAAAAGTTGGTTCCACGAATCATATCTACATAAAACTATGCATTGCTATTTTTCTTCCTTTCTCCCATTTCGTTTATATAGTCTTCCAAGTCGATTTGACAATTCATATGGATATGGAATACTACTAAGATTATTTTTTGGAACATTCAAGCAAATATTGCGTGAGATCCGTTTTCAAGTAATAGTTTAGTCGTTTGTAATAACTGAGACCAACATCCGATATAATACATGGCATATAGCCAAAAATAGTTTTATAGAATGTCTAGAAGAATATGCACCTAATTTCTTTAAGAATGATTTGAAAAACAAATTTGCCATATTTTCACCATTGTATTTCCGAAACGGTAAAAGATACGTGTCGGTTGAACAGTGACAAAGTTGCGTATTTATATATTTTGTAAAATGCATTAGAAAAGTGTTGACGCTTATAGTATCTACAGAGATACACGGAAAAGGTAACGAATTTTCTCAAACTCGTTTCTATTTTTTTCTGAATTTATTCAAAATAGTGTTTCAAAATCAATTGCCCATTGACATTGACACTTTTTGATCTCTGCAAGGTGGCATAAATAGAATATTAATATGATTTTTCGTCTGCATAGGCGAATAGCTTTTAATTCTGACTTCAAATATTATAGCATGTCATACACTATTAAACAAAAACTTCCTGAGTAAGCCATGCAATTATCAGTCAGTTATTTATATCATCAAAGATATGTTACGCACTGATATAAAACTTCAAGTGCCTAACTTCATATACTTGTTTTAAACTCGTTGAATGGGGAACGACATAATGTGTGTGTGGTTAATATTATTGTGTAATTTCTTTGAAATTTATAGTCAATGTAGATGTCTGAAAAGTTGTCTTTCAGAAGTCAGGAAAATTAAAAACAACCTAAAGTAAATTCGGAAATACTTTGAATTTCCAAACTGTCCAAGTTCCATTTTTTAATTTACCTACGCAACTTGCTCCCATAAAGTACTCCTCGTCGTGTAGGTGAATGTCACAATATCAGTATTTACTGTGATCGTCAATATATTTATTATGAGATGTGATATTTATTGACCGTGTAGCCTGGACGTCAGTAATTATTGATGCATAGTGTTGCACAAAAATCCAATGATGGTACGGACCACAGTAAATACTGATCGTATGGCATTCGCTTTACCGTTTCCTAAATTCCAAAGGCGAGGTCCGTATTTGAAACACACTTAACATATATATTACTTTTACATCTAACATACATTTCAACTAATCCTAGAAATTTCTCATCTAATAGATAATGATTCAGCTTGTGGAAAGCCCTGAAGATAAGTAATTTAATTTTTGTAAAAAATGTTCTTTCCAGCTGCCCTCCTTAGGTACGCCCTTGATACTGATTGACGCAAGCTGTCAATTTGTCGATCTTGAATTAAAAACAAGCGCTGTTCAAATCTTTCTCTATTAAAATGTGTTGCTCTTAACATTTTACTGGATTAGTAAACCATTACTTTTGGCCGATCCAAATTATAGGAATGGGTCAAATGTGGATTGTTGTCAACTTTATAAGAAAATCAAGTCTAGATCAATATGGCAGTTTATAATAGCCAATTCTGAAAAAGGTGATTCTTTTTAGATTAGCAATTTTTATTTCAATGATATAAACAACTTGCAGTGATTTGCGATATCAACATTTTGAGCAATTTTCACTCATCACTCTGTAAAATTTCAACTGTTTCTTCATTGTAGCACCCAAAGTATGATTATTGTTAAACATATTCTGTAAACTGTGAGACTTATAATTTATATCTTATACAAAACTTATACTTATTTACACAACTATTATTACTTTTGTTAAAATTGAAATATTGTTTCTTTACACTTTTTTGAGTTAAGTGGCAGAATAGCACTATGGCAAAGTTTACCCTTAATAAAGAAGAGTATTATTATTTAGATGAAAATACGGCTTACCACACACCTACAATATTTTAACCATTATATGAACATACTTCTTCTGTCTCATCATTTTTCAAGAATTTTTAAAAATAACGTCCAAAGTATTATTGAAGTAAAATTATCTAAACGAAATACCTTGCCGAAAATATTGTGAATTTATTATCAGTTTAATAATATTTATTATACTTACAGGATGTGGCCCATTAATAATTAAGTTCCCAAAATGTAACAGAATTTGATTATACAGGGACGTACCAGGGGGAGGTCACAACCGAAATTTTGAGTGCGGTTAGCATTATATCAATATATATATATATATATATATATATATATATATATATATATATATATACATGCACAGCTAACCTTCTCGCCTCCACATACGAAACAGGCACCCTGGCCTCCGGCTGAAATACTACATATCTCAGTGTATATTGGTTACAGAAAGATTCCCGTCCATTGTTTTTCTCATTTCCCCCTGAGAGGGGTAAAAATATGTCTTTTTTAAATTATACAGATTTTCGCTATACTTTTAAATGTAAGATGCCTCCGACCACTTATTTGCTAATATACCTCCGTTTGTATATAGTTTGCTATGTTGGTTGACTAACCAGCCTCCCGCGGCGTTGCCGGTTCTTTAATAGTAAAAATTGCTGACCTTGAGCTATTTTTAGAATCCTGAAAATATTATTTGACAATGCTTAAATAGTTTCAGATCTTCGGTGTCGTGTTAGTCTAGTTAACGTGCTCAGAGTGTGTGTGTGTGTATTGGCTTTTGTTTCGGTCTCCAGTTCCACAATACAAAAATGAATATGTAAGTGATAATGATTTTAGTTTAAGAAATAATATAATAATTCTGCATTTTATTATAGCCCAACATACAGAGCTAGAAAAATTCTAAACAGCTTAGATAATACAAGGAAAAAAGAGGATAAAGGTGATTATTTATTCCATGTCTATTGAATTAGGTGATCAAATTGAATACTAACTTAATTTATTGATTTATGAAAAATTCAAAAAAAAATCACATTTTTAATGTATTATTTAGTTAATTCAAACAATAGTCTGGAGTCGTTTAATGGAAATATATTTGTTAGGTTATGGTTTTGAATAATTTTATTTTCGATTTAATGATTTTCCAGAAGATGAATATGAATATGAAAGTAGTCCCGCTCCATCGATTTCTGGTGATATGTCGTTCCTCGATTTCGATTCCGATGACTCGATGAAGGATCCCACATTTAAACCAGAAGTTAAAGATAAGCAAACGACATTTTTCGATCTTCAAAAAACTGAGGTTTGACTTTTTTCTACTTCATTATAACTCTTGAAGATAATTCAGTTTTTTAACTATTGTATTCATAAACATATTCTAGGATGTATTGACAATAGAGAAAAATAATGAAAAAGAGTTAGAAAAAAAGGAAGTTAAAAAAGAAAGAAGAACAAAATAACGCTGCAGTGGAAGAAATTATGAGATCGGATATCGTTTCCACTGTAAGTAGCAGAAATTTTTATTTCATTTTTCCAATTAAAATACAGATAGAAGTATATTTACAGTGCGTTCCATTTAAAAGGAGCCTCCCGATATATCTGCATTAAAAATGAATTTCCGAAAAAAATCGGCGGGGAAGTATTGTAATCGCGAACAAAATCGAAATTGAGATGTTATGTTTTTTGGAGGTCACATGACATGTACATCACGAAAAACCATGTCACTCATTTCCGTCAGTCTGTCTGTCTGTCGCTCTGTCTGTCTGTCGCTCTGTCTGTCTGTCTGTCTGTCTGTCTGTCTGTCTGCTAATCCTATAAGCCCGTATAAGTTGGAAAGTACCAGTCGGATTTTGAAGAAATTTTTACACAAGGTTACTATTATGCCAAGGACGTAAAAGCTTTATAATTTTTGAAATCGATCCAGTGGCGGCGGTGCTGGAGGTAAAAAACGAAAAAAATAAATAAAAAAAGCTCAAATCTCGTTTCTGGACGTTTCAGACGTCCCTGATCATTTTTGAATTTTTTTTGTAGGGGTTGAAAATTGGGGGTTGGGGCAGTAGGGGGGCGGGGGCGGGTATGATTCAATTTTTTGACGCTTTTATTTTAAAGGTATCCTAACACAGTAATTCACCGCTACAATTAGGATATATTTCGCAATGAGATTTCTCCGTACATTTGTTCGAAAAAATGGCGTCAAGTAAATTGATTTGGCACTTCCCTCGCAACGCCAAGATTAAAGACCTTGGAAATTTAGGAACTGAAATATTGTCTTTCTAACAAATGTACGGAGAAATCTAAGTGTGGAATATATACAAATAGCTGCGTTGAATTACTGCTTTAGGATACGTACTAACGTCAAAAAACTGAATAAAACCCTCCCCCCACCTTCTACCGCCTTCTACCACCCCCAACCCCCAATTTTAGACCCCTACAAAAAAATATCAAAAATCAGGAGCCTCTGAAACGTCCAAAAACGAAGTTTGAGCGATTTTGATTTTTTTACGTTTTTTGCCTCTAGCACCGCCGCCACTGGATAACTTTTCAAAAACTATAAATGTTTTTTGTCCTTGACATAATAGTAACCTTGTGTCTTGTAATAATTTCAAAATTTAAACAGAAAATATGGATTTTTTTTTTAGAATCTGAAAATATCTGAAATTTTTTGAATAAATGTACGGAGAAATCTGATTGCGAAATAAATCCTAATTGTAGCAGTGAATTACTGTGTTAGGATACGTATAAAAATAATAGCGTCCAAAAATTGAATCATACCCGCCCCCGCCCCCTGCTGCCCCCAACTCCCAATTTTCAACCCCTACAAAAAAATTCCAAAAATGATCAGGGACGTCTGAAACGTCCAGAAACGAAATTTGAGCTTTTTTATTTTTTTTTTTCGTTTTTTACCTCTAGCACCGCCGCCACTGGATCGATTTTCAAAAAGTATAAAGCTTTTACGTCCTTGGCATAATAGTAACCTTGTGTAAAAATTTCATCAAAATCCGACTGGTACTTTCCAACTTATACGGGCTTATAGGATTAGCGGACAGACAGACAGACAGACTGACGGAAATGAGTGACATGGTTTTTCGTGATGTACATGTCATGTGATATCCAAAAAACATAACATCTCAATTTCGATTTTTTTCGCGATTACAATACTTTCCCGCCAGTTGGCGAGGGAAGTAAAACAGAATAATTTCAGATATATTCAGATTCTAAAAAAAAAATCCAAATTTTCTGTTTAAATTTCCAAATTATTACAAGACACAAGGTTACTATTATGTCAAGGACGGAAAACCTTTATAGTTTTTGAATAGTTATCCAGTGGCGGCGGTGCTAGAAGCAAAAAACAAAAAAAATTAAAATCGCTCAAACTTCGTTTTTGGACGTTTCAGAGGTTCCTGATTTTTAAAATTTTTTGTAGGGGTCAAAAATTGGGGGTTGGGGGTGGCAGAAGGCGGTAGAGGGTGGGGGGAGGGTTTTGTTCAGTTTTTTGACGTTAGTACGTATCCTAAAGCAGTAATTCAATGCTTAGATTTCTCCGTACATTTTGTTGGAAAGACAATATTTCAGTTCTTAAATTTCCAAAGTCTTTAAACTTGGCGGTGCGAGGGAAGTGCCAAGTCAATTTACTTGACGCCATTTTTTAGACAAGTGAAACGTTTCGTATTTTTTCTTTTTGGTAATAAACAGATTCTCTAAAAATGATTTTACCCTTTTATGATGCAAATTTTCAGTTAAATACTGTATATCTGTATTTGATGGAAACTTACTAATATTTTTTTCAGGATGAACAGCTAAATGAAAAGTCCCCTAAAATTGTTATCCTGAGTAACATTGATGTGTCCAATTTCAATCAAATATCGGAGACTCAAACTAAAGTAAGTTCAACCATAAAAACTTCACTTGGAAATAATCATATACAAAATATTACTGCGGATATTTTATTAACTTGATAATCAAATCTTTAATTCTAGAGTAAAATATTTTGCTAGACGTTTTCTTACTTTGTGGGAATATAATATTTATAAGCTTTGAAATTCTAGACTAATATTTTTAACTTTACCTTGAGTCACCTATTATTCCTAAAGGCATGATTAAATTATTTTGTCAGTCTCAAATTAGCACCATTGTATCGTTGTTTCTAGTAAATAACTGCTGGTCATCAAAAATCTTTGACAAGATTCTCACTGTCAGAAAATATAAAAAATTTATCAGTCATAAAATATTGTAGCTAAAAAAGCCAGGCCAGCTCATTTTTTAAATCAAGATATCACCGAAAATGCCAAGCCTCTCCCTCAAACTTGTATTGTTTCATTATCAATTTCTATCAGCATTTTTGCAGAAATTTAAAAAAATCAATTTTTTTTACATTTTTCAGACAACAACGAAAAAAAAGAGAACAAAGTGTAAGTTTTGTCAGACAGATGTAACAAATTTTGAGAGGCATCTTGAGCGGAACCACGATGATACTAAAGAGGTACAAGATATGATGTCTTTTCCAAAAAGCCATCCTGAAAGGAAAAAAATTCTAAGTTTGTTGAGAAATGCAGCAAATTTTACAGAGTATCTTAAAGGCAATGTACAGCCTAAGTATCATTATAAGACAGAATCTAAAGAATATTACCCATGTTCACGCTGCAAAGCAATGCTGTCTAAATCGTATTTGTCACGTCATAAAAAAAACTGCATACTGAAACACACGAATAATAATGAAATTCGTAAGATGAATTCACTAGCAGCATCACAAACATTAATAGCTAGTTCTTTTGATGATAATAGTAACTTGCACAAACTGAGAGTAAAAGAGGAAGTCTTTGACCGAATGAAACCTGATTATATCTCCTTGGTTGCGAAATCCGACTACCTAATTTATAACTTTGGAGAAAACTATCTCAAAAAACACAGAAGAGAACAACTCGTTACAGTTTGTTCCAATAAAATGAGAGAATTGGCACGGTTTCTGATACAATTCAGAAAAATGACAAATAACTCAAAATTCAGGCTACAAGACGTTTTTAAACCAAAATTGTTTGATATGACAGTCGAATGCGCAAAACATGTAGGGGGATATGAAAAATATTCTAAGACATATCGTGCACCTAGCCTACCTGCACATCTGGGAACTTCATTAAAACAAGTTTGTGAACTTTTCACAAGACTGGTCCTGAAAGAGGATGAAGCTTTAAGAATCTCTGATAAAGAAGAGGCATTAAGAGATATAAACAGATTTCGAGAACTCATAAATACACAGTGGACCACGGAAATCAGTAGCTTAGCATTTAAAGACCTTAATGAAAAACAATGGGAGAAACCAGCAATGTTACCTTTAACTCGGGACATAACGAAATTCAAAGACTACGTTACCAATGTGGCAAATAAAGCAATGACCTGTCTAACACTCAATCCAACTGATAGGAAAGAAATGAAAAAGTTGATTCAGGCTTCTCTTATTTTAACGATATTATTTAACAGAAAAAGAATAGGCGACGTTCAATACACAAAATTAAGTACATACATCAACTACTGGAAACCGGTTAACCAAGAGGAGTGTGAAAAAGCATTGTCTCAGTCAGAAAAAATACTAACAAAATATTATAAACGCATTGTGACAGGTGGAAAGGTAGTAGACCCATAGCTATTCTATTCCCTCAAACATTACAAACCTATATAGATTTCTTTGTTAAAATCCGCCAAGAACATCACTTAGTACCCGAAAATAATCCATATTTATTTGGGTGTCCTGGAACTTCGAAGTGGACAAGAGGGGATGTTATTATACGGAAATTTGCCCAAGAAGCTGATCTAGAATTTCCCAAACAAATATCTTCTAACAGATTACGGAAGCAAATTGCAACGGTAATGCAAATTCTTAACCTTAGTAAGGAAGAGAGTGAACAATTCGCCCACTTCATGGGACATACTGAAAAAACCCACAATGAATTTTATAAGTAAGTTCTCCCTACAATAAATTACGGCATACATTCATTTGAAATTCAAGTTTTCGTTATTGTAAAAATGCCCTGAAGAAATATTACGCAGTTACTTTTATTTTAGAGTAAAAGGATGTCAGTAGAAATGTGTTCAAATAGGGACCCTATTTTTGATTAGCATCTGAAATTCTAAGTTACATTCCCGATTTTTCAAATGATTTTGAGAAAATGGTGTCGAATTATTCACAATTTTTAACTTTGTGATCTTGTGGCGTTTAAAAAGATCAAGTCAAAGTACTTCCACTTTTTTCTTAACATCCAACAATACTTATTCTGAATTTCACCTGGTGGTCAGCTTTTTCCTACTATTTATGACTAATGGTATCGGATAGGTAATGGATCTTGCTATAAGAAAGTGGCAACCATTTTGATCTAACTTGATTAGTCTAAATATATCAATGCGTTAAAGTATCAAATTCAGACGCCCATTTCTCGATAACAATTGAAGATCGGCATAGGATTCACTTTGAATTGAAAAAACCGACAATGAAAAAAATTTTATTTGATGTCATGATTTTTATCTCAGATGTAACAAACTTTACTTATGCTTAATAAATTGACGTTTCCTTTTTCCTGGATCAAGACCAATATGAATTTCAAATGAATATATACAGGATGTCGCTAAATTAGTATTTAAAAGTTTACCTACAAATAAATCAGAAAATATGTAGTTGAAAAATTTCCTCTGGACCAATTTTAAAAGTAATACATTGAGAAATGTTTATAAAATTCAAAAAAATTCGAATTTCAATTTTCAACTTTACCATTCTCTATCTTGGAAACTAAACATTTCCGGGTCCATTGTTCATAGGAGATGTTTTAACTATTTTTTGAAGTTCGATTTGTGTTTGAAATTTTGAGTAACAATTTAGTGACACTCTGCATATTTTTCACTCTTTAAGTACTTTGTTTTCTAGGCTGCCACAAGATGTGTACCAAACCGCAAAAATTTCCAAACTCCTAATGTTAATGGAAAAGGGCGTTGACAAGTATAAAGGAAAGTCGCTAAATGAAATTAATATTAATCCAATGAGTGAATTTGCTGAAGAAGAATCAGATAATGAAGATAACGATTTCCTAGATGCAAATGAATCTGACTGTACGGCATTTCAAGGTAATCAGTGAAAAGTCAAAAAGTGATCAGTAAATATGGCTGTTTCTGCAAAGCTTAAATGTATGCGGCAAAACGTATCAATTGATAAAAATAAAATTGCAGCTATTTTAGTAATTTAATTCTCTTTCCGCGTAGATCTTATAAAAATATTTATTATCGATAGTATGAAATTATTAATAAGTATTTCTATTAATAATAATAATAATAATAATAATAATAATAATAATAATAATAATAATAATAATAATAATAATAATAACAGGACTTTATTTGTAATTATATTACAAATCGGCGAAGTTTAGCCATATATTGCTATTCTACTTAACCTTAACAAAAATACTATATTCATGCCCCTTTTGGCCAAAGCAATTTCTGATCGTTCTACTGAAGAAAAGCAATGCAAGTTTATATACCCTTTGACTCATTTAGTCAGTGTATTTAAACGTCCTTGATGTAAATCGTACGTATAACTTTTAATAGTAATATTGAATATCAATTTATTAAACGCAGAGCCATTCTCAAGCTGTTGAAAACTTTCAGAATAAAAAAACATGTTTTTTAATATCGCATATCAAGTACCAATTAGTACATGGATAGGAAAGAAAAAATGTTTCAAGAGTTTAGTACAACGAACATTCACTCTAGAAACGACACTAATTACCTCTTATTAGATTTTTTGCTTTTAAAATACAATTCGATTCAAACACTAAATGACCATCCCTCCCATCTATTAGAATAACAGAATGTTGATATTTATTAATAACTTACTTTAAGCAATCCCGGAAGAAGAAAGTCGACCAGTATCGAAGAAGAAAATATCAGGGAGGACATTCTGGACTTCTGAACAGGCTCTTCTAGTGAAAAAACATTTCAAGTCCCACATTAGCACAAAAAAGGCCCCCAAAAGAATGAATGCATGCAGTTAATAGGAAAGTATCCCGAGATATTCCATGACAAAGACTGGGTTCGCGTGAAAACTTTTGTCTATAATATCTATAGAAATAAGTGAAGCTTTGTTCAGTCAGTAGTATATATTTTTTTGAGCTTTGGTGAAATTTGAAAAATTCACAAATGTGAAATAAATTTGGAATTTGTATTAGACAGTTGAAAATTCGGATGTAAATAAAGAATTGAAAGACAAACAACTTTTTCCTTTAGCATTTCCCGAAATTTTGAGAAGAGAGTTGGGTTTTTGAGATTTGAACAAAGAATCCTCAATTTTGACTATGAAGAATGGTCACGTAATTGCTCATATGCATGTTATTTGGCATCATTTAGCAAAAACTAACCGCGAAATCAAATTCTTTCTAAATAGTTTAAGAAAAAAAAAATCCCATATGATTCTAACTTTATGTGTGACACTGTATCCGGCAATATAAAAATATTTGTTTTTCAAAGGTATCTTATACAGATCACTGGTTGCTCTGAGTTGTGTTTTAAGGATATGTAGAAAAATCTGTGAGCTGATATAAAAAAAGCTTCTATAAATGCAAGAGTACAAAGCGTCGAAGATTTTTATTATTATTTTGTCATTTTTTCACTGAATATACAGAAGCCATTCAATCTACTACAACAAATTCTGGTCCACTAAATTTTTCAAAATGTTGTCAAAGTTGTGTGTAAACTAGATAAATAGTTGAACTAAACAGTACATTTTTCTTGAAGACGTGCTTTTCATCCACAGAGTTTGTGAATTTTAGAAGTAAATCTGACTACAAAATTTAAGTTGTGTTGGAAATGTCTTTCAAACTACCAGTTCTTTGCGACGTCATTACATTTAAAAATAAAGAAATTCTTATTCAGAATTACATCATCTTGTATAATAAAGATTCGTTTTGAGATAATGTTCATTATGTCATCCAGTGTTTTATGTCACATTCTGACATCTATCTTATTTATAATTTTCAGACACTCGAAAAACTATTCTTTCCTTGCTAATTTTTTAGTTTGTGCAATTGTTTTTAAAACCTATAGGTTTTATGTTGTGAGGTACTGATCAAAAGATATTTGAGATATAAGCAATTGTATCGGTATTTATAAAATTCGGAACCAAAACCGTGAAGTTCTAGTTACCTGGATTTTGGAAAAAGCACAATTTCATTTCACCATTAAACAGAATAAATCAATTTATTTCAAAATGTTTCTTTAATAATGCAGAAACTTTGTTTAAAATATTAGGAAACTGTGCTTTCTCAAAATATTTTATTTTTGTTTATTTAAAAATAAATAAAATTTTTGTTTAGTTGTGCTTTTTTAATAATCCAAGTTAACAGAATTTCCACGATTCCGTTCTTATTTTCGTCTGATTATATTTGATAATATATGACAGTAAATGTTTCACATTCCCCTTGCTACTTTTTCTGCTGTACAAGCTGATGTTATTAGATTGTCAATCTGACGTTTCGTTTCACGGCAACCTTTTAATTCAAAATCCAACTACATATCGCTCTTTACATTTATTCGATATTTCGGATGAGAAAAACCATCATCAACGTCATTTGATTATAATTACGAATGAACGAATCGTCGGATCAAAAATCTAATTAAGTCATCATGTAGAGGGAAAAAGTCATGCGAATGTGAATTTTACTTTTATTTATCTTCTTTATTAGAATTTAAAAAAATCTATCACAAACTGCGAATTCTTGAACTGTCAAAACTAAATTTTCGCTTTCTTATACATATGAGACACCGAATATACATGAGTATATATAAACCGTCCAATTCAACTCCATGCCATTAGATCATCCAATTCGCCTCCATGTAATGTTGCCAAATTTCGGAGGCGCATTGACTGAAGAATGCATGGAGGTAAAGTGGTAAAGCCCACAATATGTCGTGTATAAGTGTATAAGACTTGAGTGCCATCTATTAAAAAATTCCTGAACTGAATTGTATAACTGTATATGTGCACATGACGAATTGGCCTCCACCGAAAAATTTGGGAAAATGTGTTTTGATACGTCACACGACGATTAAACATGTTATACACGTCGATACGTTTTGGCCTCCGAATTTTCCAATTCGCCTCCGATTTTGGAGGCGTATTCGTATAGAGCATAGTGCATTTCGGAGGTGTATAAGACAAAATGCATATATATATATATATATATATATATATATCAGTAGGTTATAAGGCAACACTGTTGCATCAGTGGTATTGTGAGTCAGCAGGGTTTCTTTTCTTGTTAAGACACACTGGGTAGGCTTCATTTCCTCAAAATTTACCAAAATACGCCAAGAGAAAGTAAAAAACTTACCAAGGAAACGATACTGAAGTCACTGGCTATGCATATCGCTGTAATAATATGTTTGACTCCTGGGTGCTTCAAAAACGACAACCAAGAATATCAAACATATCTTACAGAAATACACAGGTTCCTACGGGAAATTCTTCTAATCCATCCGAGATCACTCAATTTATAACAAAAACACTTACCTTGATGTGTTGCCTCGGCCGTAAGTTAGCCAGTTTCTTTGCAGCTGCGTCTATGGATGCTGCAGCTCCCAATAATTCGTTTTCTGCTATGACTGTTGGATCTTCAGGGTCAACCCAGTCAGAGCCTGGTTAAAAAATTATATGAAATTACATTAATTAGGCTGGAATCTGGAATTGTGTATTAAATCTTAATAGTGAATATGGAATCTTCATTTTATGAAATAGAAAAAATTGTTTCGAAGAAAAGCATCGTTAAGATTCTAATTCTTACATGTTATAGTTTTTCAGACTAACAGTTTTTTACCTCATTTAAATTAGTTACATATAGTTTTTACCTTTCAATCTTTTCGCGATGCTCAGAAGTTCAGTAACGGATTGTGCGATTTTTCTTGAAATTAGCGGTAACATTTGTTTGACATCTGCCGTACCACCTCCTTGCAGTACTAAAAGCAACAATTCTCTGAATTGTTTTGCGCAGTCACGAGCTGTATTCAGTGTTTCCTGTAAACAAATATTAAATTACACACCAATACTCAATAGAGGCTGTGAAGGAAGGTTCATCCTACGAACACGATTTACGTTGAAAAAATCTTTCAATAACATATTGGTACAGGAACCTGCCAATTAACACGTATTATCGTAAAAAGTGACGTTATGTCGATTTTTTGACATTATATTGGGTTTTTGTGACATTATGTAGGTTTTTCTACAAGATGTTAACTTAGCACTAACTGATGGACACTTGTGAACTCGTTTTGTAGTTGTGCGTGTTGCCTAACCTTCAGGATGCATCAGTTGTCAATGTTTGGCTCTGATGTGATGTAAAATCTACTTCAGAGATGGTATTACTGGAGACCTAAACTGTAAGCTGTATATTATAGCTAGAAGCAAACGGCAATTCATACGTGCATAGTGAGGATTTGTGTTATATGTTTTGATGACAATTCCATTGCATTCTTGTCTCAAATACACTTACTTGAGATTCAAATCAAGAAATTCGTTGCGCATCCACTTTTTCTGGAAATTACATATGCAAATTTGCTGAATTTAAAAAATAAGAGAGATAAAAGAAAATCCCTTGTTGGTGAAGGAACAGGTGAGAAAATATGCTACAGTCAGGAATATTTGTGAAAGTGGAAACATTATTTTTTATTTCCAGTCATTTAAATTTTATAGAAATTTATTCTGGGATGTCAATAGAAAAATAGATGTGTAATGCACCATTTTTCTGTGATATGGCTTAATTGCACACAACACGGGCGCGGTGACGATTTCTCAAAGTTTTTGAAAACACAAAAAAAAAACGGGAAAAATCGTAAATTATAACTTTGAACATAACCTGTCTTCAGAAAGGACAACATATAAATGGCAGCATATAATAATTTTCTCACACAGCGAATATCACTGATCTTATACACATGCAGACCAATACACACAATCATCCAGATGCGATCTTTCTATTCAACCAACTTTCTTTGTTTCTCTTCTTCTCAGAGTTGAAAACTACAGACTACTCGGCTTCACAAAACATATGCAACCAACAATGCGTGTAGTTGAGTCATTCCTCCATAGATAGACGCTCACAGCGGTCATAGCGAGCAAACGTGGAATGAACTATTTGCACAGTAAAATTACTTAGCCTGTAAGATGACATTTTATTGTTTTTTTTTTTGAAGTTTTATAGGTTTTTTACATAATACCCGTGCCGGACATTTGTTAAGAGAACAAAATTCCATAATAATATCCAATTGGTCTTACCTGTTTGAGTTCTGCACTTTCAGCCAAATTAAATGCTGCGCTCTTGCAAATGACCAACATATCAGATATGGATTTTCTCGACAGATTTGCGGCAGCGATGAGATCATTTTGCTTGTTGCTTATTCCGGCTGCCACTGATTTTGCGGTAGCGTTCGTTATCCATTTAGTACATCGGATTAAGTCTTCGGCAGTCACGCCTTGTTTAATGCCATCGTTTGAGTACAATGCCTATAAAATAACGAAAACTTATAAATTTGGCTACTGAGCACTAAAAAATTGAAAACACATCAAGTTTAGTTTATAATAATTTTGTTTAACAGAAAACAAAGGACAATCGTGGACATGTGCGCAATAAAGGAACAAGAGCAGAAATACAGGGATTGATAACCAGAACGACGTACATTTCCGCTTATAAGTGAAAACAGCCTCGTTTTCATTCAGATTAAGCCCGTATCTAGATGTAAAGGACATATTACAATTCAATCTATCAACCAAGTCACCTATGAGTGGTTAAACCTAAAGTATGAATGAAAGTTGTATAAAGCATACGAATTTGACGATTTTATGAATGTCAAATTTTGGAACTCTTATAGAAGTGAAGAAATTTGACTTTGCCTGTGTTTTATTTGAACTATTTACCATGATACTTCAACTCATTCTATAATCTATTTAAGCGCCTTCTTATGTAATTTTTGTAAATTGATGAATCTTTTAAATGTTTATTAAAATTCATTTAAATCTAAGCTGACTTAAATGGTGTAATGATCCGTGTCATGATTACTAGCAGCTATATCGATCAGTTTATTTTAATTACACACAAAAATTCCCTTATTACTTTACGCAAAACAAATCATACCAAAGCTTCTAAATCGCCAGGAAGTACGAAGCAGAACGAGATCACATAAGAGTATTTTGAAGGTAAATGAATGTTTGTTGTCACGTATCGACGCGTTAAGATATCGTGGTTAGTAGTATAATGTATTCCACAAACCATTTATGCAACAAAAAGTGCTTATCCTTCAAAAACTAACTATTAGATATATAAAAGCAATCCTAGAGCTACATAATAGCCCTTTCCTTGTAAATCTTAAAATAATGAATGTATAAAATTGTTCATTTAATCTAAATTTGAAACATATATAAGTTACAATATTAGTCGAAAGACTCAATAATTTATAATGGTTAGAAAAATTACATGTCTTCCCGATGCTATCAAACGAATTAACAATTTAAAGATATTCCGCCGTCAACTTAACCACATATGTAATTATGTTACCTTTTAGATATAAATTAGTTTTGTCATTAAGAATGGTTGTATTCTTCAGACAATAAAGCATATTTATCCATCTATCTAACTTACCCTCATTTCTTGTGCGATTGCTTCAATGGTCGACTCTAAAGCTCGCGTACCTCTGGTGTGTTCATCTTCAACAGCTTTCACGGTTTTTAACAGTGATGTAACATTCGTGACCATAACCTGTAAAATAAGTTTTTTAGCATAGTTATGCTGAATCTTACTAGAAAAAAGACCATGCGTTTAGATAAATTATGTGAAAGCTGGACAAATGAGTTATTTTTCAAACAAAATAAATATAAACAAAAGTATAGCGTATCTTGAAGCAAAAGAGAAACGAAGCGATACTCTGTAAATGAAATATATTAATAATGCGAAAAGTGTCTATGTAGTTATTGAGGAGTATAAAGACTGCATAAAACTGAATTGTACATACCAGTTTATGTGAGAAAATAAAACGTTACTACTGAATTCACACAATTTTATTTATAAACATGAAAAAAATTCCAAATGAGTCTGTATTATCAAGTCTAGAAATTTATGTAGCACACTCAATGATGAAGTATCTTCAGCAGTTCAGAATACTCGAGAAACGCAGTCTCACATCACATATTGCTCAAGTAGAATTTCTAGCAAGTCATTGCAATCATAAGGAAACAAAAATTAATCAGTTCAATCACCATTGTAATTCTGAATGCGGCATTTTGCGATATTCACTTCAATAAAGTATTGAAATGCATTATCATTCTTTCGCTCCAAACAAAATTTTTATGAAACTAACCCTTGTTGTCTACATTTTGTTTACTAGTATTCGCAATCTTGAATGGCCTTAATGAGTTGCTACTTTTATACTTCCAAAAATAAATCATACATATCGTAGTTGTTCTTCAAAGCACGTGCGTGTGACGTTTTTCTCAATTTCCCGTGTAAAATCTAAATAGAACTTGATATGTTGGATACTTTAACTGTGAGGGTTTCAAAATTTTGATAAACTATCGATTCCGAATAAGCAAGATATTAACACTGCATTTTTATTTTTCATATAAATTCGTTTGGTTTTATTCAACATTATTGACATGATGTTAGTAAAGTTCTTGGTAAACTTAAAGGGTAGATTTCCTTCCACGGTTCTAAGAAAAAAAGTGCATATAAACATGGTATTTTTTCGGAATGATCATCACGTATCGCAAAAAACTGGGTAAAACGCTTAAAACGCTCTGTTAAAACCATCCATTGTCAAGAACACTAAAAATGCACGTCGATATGCAACTTTTGTGATGGATGCAAAGTAGATAGCGCATGTATTGCAGCATATCAACTTATCCCAATTGTCTCGTAATTTCTTGCGGGATAAACTACGTGATATTTGCAGAGACTCGACCCCCTCCCCTGAACACTTCACGTCATTAATATAAAATTACGAATTTTCAAAAAAAAAATGATACTTGGAAATGACGCGTTATCGGACATATTAATAACAAATTAATTTATAAGGCCTTTTTTTCTTAGAGTTGCCAAAGGAATTATCCTTGACGATCGGACAGGTGCTTTATTGTGCTGTATAATAATTAAATAAATCAAATTATTGCTTCTCCGATATGACCATGTTAAGCGTTGTATGAAACCACTGGTAGATATTTAAGCAAGAACCTTTCTGGATTTATTCTGTTGATACTCCACAATGTTTCTCGAATATCCTAAACGTCTTCAACAACCTTTCGACAACATAAAAAAAATAATCACACTGGCAGACTAGAGAAGTTGATTAAGTGCAAAGAGAGTATAGTAGAAAACAAAAGCGAGACAACCTAAGAAGAAGCCGACACTAAACACTGAACAATATCCGTCTGCATATCGTCCGAGTTTACGTTTTCACGACTGTCACTCAACAGTCTCAACAGTTCCTCTTCTTCCTTGTCTGATATCCACCATTCCGTTTCGGAATCCGTCACCTGGGGCCAATCAAAACACGTGTTAAAAACCACCAAAGAATAAAAACAAAAAAATCATCGGTGTGCTCAAGCGATAGAACTCTGACTTCACAAAAAAATTCCTTGGTGGACTTTAAACAAGTTGTGTTGACTGACTGACAGGTTTATGTCATAGGACCATGTACATTTAACATAGTTTTAATGGGATGCATGCACAATGCATGTAGTGATTTAACGAAGATGTTGCTTTAATGATGTAATGATTTTTGATGAGTTATGGCGATCAAGGATATTTACACTAGTGGGTTGGATGTATGTAACTAATAGCAATGACTAACGAATTATACATGAAGATAACCAACCTAGTGATATTTATTCCCGCGTCCAGAAAATTATCCGATATAAAATGAGAGCTTGTCACAGCTACACGAAATACGAGTACACTTAGAAAAAGTCAGTGCCTCATACATGGTACTTTAGCCAACTATATGAACATGTACGAGCATATAGGCGGCGCCATCTATGAGAGACTAACCTTTTCAAAGTATATATAGTGAAAAGAGAAACAGTTTTGCGTCAAATTCTCATGGATGATGCTACGGTATCTCATTTTATCTCGGATAATTTTTTGGACGCGAGAATATAGCATTAGGTTGGCTACCTTCAGGTAGAATACGTTAATCAATGCTAATAGTCTACCATAGTTAGTGAGATTTCTATAAAACCATTTTTTTATCAAGAGAGCTTAGCCAGTGCCTACAATGAAAGTGTACAGGGTGTCGCATTGGGAACTCCACCGATAGATATAACAAGACATAACAAGAAACCACTTATTTTGGTAAATGTTCAAAATGACCACCTCTAACTTCCAAACATTTAAAATATCTACGTACTAACTCCTGATGAGTGGCAGTTCTTATGATTTCCGGACTCAAACTAGCAAGTGCATTTCTTACTCTCTGCTTACAGTCATGTAGAGTGGTCAGAGGGTTCTGGTAAACAATATTTTTAATTGTCCCCCATATAAAGTAATCCAAGTCTGTGATGGAGAACGGGGCGGCCACTTGAATGGTACGTTATTAGCAAACCATTGATCGTAAAACGTAGCTTCTAAGAAATTGTTTATAACGTATCCGCTGTGGGATGGGGCACCGTCATGTTGAAAGAATACATTTCGATGATTAGCAAGTGGTAAATTATCCAAGTATTGTTTCCTAAATTCCGAAAAATGTTCAAATAACCTTCACCTAAAAATATTATTGGGTAATAATAATAATTTTTTTTATAACTGCATAACGTTTTCTTTAATATCCAAATATTTTTAAATGGGATAAATTAGTACTAATGTTGACAATACTGACCTTATGTGTTAAAAAACTTATACTACTGGTATTTGCATATTGCGCATTCTTATCAGTTTCTTTTATAAAAAAAAACTGTTAATTGCTGTAGAGAGACAACTTGATTATCTCTGACAGCGCAGTATACATTGAATAGCCAATTGTCTTGAAACAATAATGAGAATTGTGTCGATTGAAAAGGCCATTTTTGGTAAATTTTGCTTCATCTGACCATATAATATTTTTGAGGAAAGAATCATTTTCTTGATACCTTGTAATAATCAATTCGCAAAATAGAAATCTTTTAAAAAAATCGGTTTCTTTTAATTGTTGGACTAATGATAGCTTGTATGGATAAAAATTGTGATTGTGGTTTATTCCTTTGAATCTTAGGTTTCACACAACCGAAATTTTAGAAATTTTCTATTGCTCCTTTAGCCGTATGTGCGTCCGGTCTTCTTTTTTCTGGATATCTATGAGCAAAATCATCACATGTTCTTGATATCCCTGTTGCATTCACTATAAATAATAAATAAATTGAAATATTATTCCTAAGTGAAATTCAAAGGATTAAGGATTAAAGGATTATTATTAATAATTTATAAATAGACTGTCAAATGCCATTATTATAAAGTGACGTTTTTGTAGAGCCTTATTGTTTACTCGCCGCGTTCCGCCGTGATAGCCAACTAATTAAAAAACTAAATATGTACCTATACGAGTTTTACAATAGATAAGTAATAAATTGCAAATTGCTCGAAAAGTAAACATTTTTGTATAAAGTTACGCTAATTTTTAATGCCTGATGCGATTAACTTATAAAAATAGGGGGTTTTCATTTGAATAAATCGCCTTTTGGCAATTATTGACATTCAATTTTCATACTAATTTTTTTACCACAATGTATAAATAATTATCGAAATATCATACAAAGTCTATTAAACTATATCCCTGTTTATCAGAAAATCAATCCACATTAAACAATAAGGTGTTCTACATAGGGGAAATGAACCATTATTTTAGGGCCTGCAAACGTCATTTTTGGCATAAAATTTGAAATAGGTCAAAAACGGTTAGACTTGGGTATAGATCATACATGAAATGTGATTAGAATTTTATGTAGAATCTGATTATTGAGTAATATACAGAATGCCCAATTTAAAATAAGCAAGTTGGCATCAACTTCCGGTATAACCGGAAGTGCCACCATCTTGAAAATATGTTAGCTGCCGTTGCTCCATCGACATTAGTATACTCCCAAATTTTCAAAAATATCATATGCCTACTTTTCGAGAAATCTATCGATGGAGTTCCCGATGCGACACCCTGTACAAATCTGCAAGTGTTACAAAAATAAGTAAAAAACTAATCGCGTTAGTAAACTTCAGAAATCTTGTCCATGGGTACCCACTTGGGAGAAAGGGCGTAGGCCTACCTTCCCAATAATTATGCCCCTGGTACCTTATGAAGTTGGGCAGTTGCTTGGAATTAGGCGGCTTTATAAACCTATGATTAGGTGGCTTTTTTTAATTTTTATTCGTTCTTTCATGATTTCTGATTACGCCAAACATTTTATTACAAGCTAGTAGTAGTTTGTATGTGCAGCTTGCAAAAGTGTCAGGCGTCCTATATACACATTTAATGGCAATTTGGGGTGCAGAAACTTCACACAAAGACTCAAAATTATATACATGATCCTGCAAATGTTGGCTCATGTTCTATGAGCCAATGGTATTGTCCACTACTAGTTTATTTAAAGTCCACAAATATTTGAACATTTTTGTTATACATATATTAAGATCATGCATCTATGTTGTTAGTAACTATCAACAAAAATCCACTGACAACCGCTACAAACTTCCCCAAATAAATCTAACTCAATACTTACCAACTGTTTGAGTTTCAGTAATTTTGCCTTCCTAATCTACGATTTACAATCACCGTCACAACTTTATACGATTTTAGATTACAAGTACCGTTTAACAATAGAAATTTCATATAATCACTCACATATACATAGTATGGTTACTAAACTGAACTTTGTGAACCAGAAAATTCAACTTTTATTATTATTACTATTCTAAATTTCGGTAGAACGTGTAGTAGGGTTTTTTAATGTCTGTGTTATCAACATCAACGTCCGACTGCTAGTTGAACTGAGAAACCAGTACATATATGAAGTACAAAACATACGTTTTTTTTGATGCCTGAATCAATCACCGGTAGTCATAAACTATAGTAAGATTTTTCTAATCCTAACAAGAAGTATCCACAATATGACGAACCTCTTCCACAAAATCATCGGCGCGTGAGTGATTGTGTATGAAAACGTGGTGGGGTTTTTGCAGAGAAAAAAATGGGAAATACACTGTTCGTTTACAAGGTTAGCCACAACGCAAAATCAACAATCATCCATTCCAAGCAACCTTTTATTGAAGAACAAACGCAACAAAAGAACAAAACAGAACAAAACAGCGCAAGCTAAAAGTGATTATAAGTAGATGCTGTGTAATAGCGTACCTTAGCGCTATCCTTCAAATAACTCATCGCAGGGTCGTTAATGGGCTTCCCACTAGCAGCTTTCGTAGCGTGAATCAGATCCCCCAAAGCACTGGCCACATCTCGTACTGCGTTGATAAGCATTACTTGAGAGTCGGGATTGTCGGAGCCCAAACTGGCTGCGCCCAGTTTCACAACTTCTGCTAGTTGCACTGAATGAAAGGAATGTGTTATTAATACACCACTATTCCTCATGTTTTACTTACGAACATGAAATCTCTATAGTAAAAAACTGAGCGCCGATGAAACAACTTAAAAATTTGTTCCATTGTATTAAATTTAAGAGGAGAAATTGTCCTGATCTGCCAAAACTGCTACGGTTACATGTTGTATGTGGACCTCAAGAAATGCCTCAACTTTTTTCGGTCAAAAATCCACACGTTTTTGTCAAACACAGAAAACAATCCATATATGTAGTTTCTTTTGTGTGAAACTTGACATTCTCCAAAATTAGAGCCATTTCACATAGACGGTAATTAATGCAAAAATAAAGCTCGTAACCATGCCCAAAATTTTAGTTATCACGTTACACGTTGAAGAGTTCTATTGTAAATTTTGCCGTAAAAATGTTCTCTATAACCTGTATTATACACATTAACAACTGTAATTGTCAAATATCCAAAGAGATTCACATTTTCTCAATCAAAATACACGTGAACCACCCCTAAATACGCTTTAGACGAATTTATGATGAATCCCAACGTAACGTCTGGAAATGATGATAGACTCCCATGTTTCTCATTTGGCCAGAAAGAACATGGAGTTCAAACAGATTCTACCGCCCATTGCACTGCCCCTCTCGTTAATTTTATACTGTCGGCAAAAGTGCTTTTGAAGGTATTATCTACTATAACGGAAAAATTTTTTCAAGTACTGATTAAAATTCATTTAATCTTAGCTGACTTGAAATGTAGTCATCATCATTAGCGACCATACCGATTGGTTCGACCCGACTGTATACCAAATTGGTTTTAATTACCTCATGTAAGATAATTCACAAACTCATAACAAAGTCAACGTTGCTAGGGAGGGGATACGCCCCTGTTAAATGATAATGTGAGGTATTTTGAATGTCACAAAATAATCAGCTGATATTCGTCGTTATATTTTGCCATGTGGAAATACTATGTAAAATAGTATGAAAACAAGCTTCACAAAAAGGTTATCGAAGCTATGTTTATGATGTTGTATGCAAATGCATCGAGACTAAGAACAGTCTTCTGCATCAATTTTTACGCATATCCTATAGAACAATATTTGTATATTTATTGCGACAATTTTTAGTATTTATTATATTATAAAAACAAAGTAGAGCACCTTTACAGATTTGTTAGCCTGGGCCGTATCCATACGCGAGTTGTACGCCAAACAGTTTGAAAAAAAAATATCCACAGGTACTACTTATAGTTGCTAAGTTTATACTAAAGCAATGTTTATGGCAAACTCACCAATGGTAGCAACAGAGTTCTGTGCTGCAGCAGCCAGCTGTTCTTGCGATGAAGCTGCTCCAGCAACAAGGGTTTTCGTATCTTCGACGAGAGCTTTAGCAGTTTTCAGAATGTTCTCTCTATGATCGGCAAATGACTCATGTTCATCTTCCGGATTGAGATTGCCAGCTGTAGCAAACATGATTGTTGTCTCCAAGTCACCTAAGGAAAAATAAAACAAAGCAATTAGTACATAATGAATGATGAGAACGTATCTGTCAGTATGTAGTTATTCAGAGAATAAACCGGTGTGAAGTTGGCAGACAAAACTTAGCAGACAATTTGCCGAAGATACCCGAATGACCAGTGGCGTCGACATCCTCGACCAGACTGTGGTTGTGAAGGATACAGCTAACAGCTCGCAACAATAAATATATACAGGGTGACTTCGAAGTTGAGTCATTTATTTTAACAGTGAGTAGATCTGATCAAAAGAAATGTTTTTTTCCTTTACCATTTTTCTGGTAAAATTAAAGTAACAAAGTTATAGCCCTTTGGAAGTTTGAGTACCGCCCTGTCTCAATAATAATGTCATGTGCTTGTGTTTGGCAACAACGGATATAATCCACCTTATCGGTTCATCGCATCGGAAACAAAAAAGCGAAAGAATTTTACAATATTTCATTCAGTTCAGTTATACATACAATCAGTGTCAGTCGCGTGTGAATAGTGTCTGTTGCGTGGCTCAAACGAAATAAAAAATGGCACATGTTTATGCGGATCGGTTTCCCAATCGAGTGCAACCAACCCCTCGTGCCTTTGTTAATGTAGTACAACGGGCTCGTGAATCAGGTGACTTAAGACTTCACAGGGGACCTCACGATCAAATACAGGTCCGCACTGAAATACTTGTCGGGAGGATACTTTATAAAACAAGGTAAACATTTTTTTTTATTTTTACACACATATTTTGGTTTATCTTCCTTCTACAATCATTATCTGAAAATTAATGACTCAACTTCAAAGTCACCCTGTATGCACGAGAATAAGCACCCCTATAGGAAGAATCATATTCACCCCAATTAAATAATTCGCAGGAACAAGACTTAACCCAAAACCATTCTTCGAATTTTCACTTACGGATTATTGTATATATGGTATTGAAAGTAATTTATTGAGGGGTAAATAAAAAAAGTAAAACTCCATTTTCGCCAAAAAAAAAAAAAAAAAAAAAATGATTCCCCAAAATCAGTTGTACCTCAAAAAAATACTCTATTATAGAGACAATTTATAGGCTAGGTGGCATGGTGTGAGAAAGCTTTTGAAAGGGTGGCAGTTAAAACAATATGTTTATAAATTCATTGTCACTCCCAAGGAAATGATTCCTCAAAATCAGTTGTACCTCAAAAAAAATACTCTATTATAGAGACAATTTATAGGCTGGGTGGCATGGTGTGAGAAAGCTTCTGAAAGGCTGGCAGATAAAAAAATATGCCTTTCAGAAGCTTTCTCACACCATGCCACCTAGCCTATAAATTGTCTCTATAATAGAGTATTTTTTTGAGGTACAACTGATTTTGGCGAATCATTTCCTTGGGGGTTGAAATGAACTTTTTAGCATATTTTTTTATCTGCCAGCCTTTCAGAAGCTTTCTCATCCCATGCCACCCAGCCTATAAATTGTCTCTATAATAGAGTATTTTTTTGAGGTACAACTGATTTTGGGGAATCATGTCCTTGGGGGTGAAAATGAATTTATAAATATATTTTTTTAGCTGCCACCCCTTCAGAAGCTTTCTCACTCCATGCCACCTAGCCTATAAATTGTCTATGTAATAGAGTATTATTTTGAGGTACAACTGATTTTGGGGAATCATTTTTTTGGGGTGAAAATGAAGTTTTACTTATATTTTTTATTTACCCCTCATTAATAAATTACTTTCAATACCATATATACAATAATCCGTAAGTGAAAATTCGAAGAAAGGTTTTGGGTTAAGTCTTGTTCTTGCGAATTAATTAATTTGGGTGAAAATGGTTCTTCCTATAGGGGTGCTTATTCTCGTGCATATATATTTATTGTTGCGAGCTGTTAGCTGTATCCTTCACAATCACAGTCTGGTCGAGGATGTCGACGCCACTGGTCATTCGGGTATCTTCGGCAAATTGTCTCCTAAGTTTTATCTGCCAACTTCACACCGGTAGAGAATAATTTGTGAGCCTATTAGACCGATTGTTCAGATTCACGTACAAAGTCAACCAAATGATATCTTAGTGTATACTCAGACTACTATTAACTCACCAATAATTCCAGAGACCGTAGATGCGGCGTTAATACAGGCTTGGGTGCCTCTAGATCCAGACTGCAATGTCGCCAATACTCTCGACACTTTTTCGCTGACGTTCCTAGAACACTCTCCTACTTCCCGCAAGATGATGTCATCTTTTCTTACTAGACACTGGCCACTGGTTTGAACAAGTTCTACACATGCTCCGCCCAACTGCTGAACGACGTCCTAAGAAAAACAGATTCATATATCTACTGGAAACTAAAAAATATTTAAAATGCACATTTCAATGGTGAAGACAATGCAGTATTTTCCAAAAATTTTAGTTCTGCGAAATATCAATATTTAGCGCAAATTCACAGTTTTCACCGTTTTTTATAAGCAAGAGGTGCAAAGCCTGCCCTCCAAAGTTAAAACATTAAATTCAGCACCAAAGTTGTAACATATTAAGTTCTAGTGTAATGAAATGAATTCTGGCATTCTGTAACACCCTGAATACTTCTATTTTACAAATTTTCCATATCTACTCAAATGCTGTTCGAGTATTCGAATTGACATATGTAGATCAATAAATAATCAAAAGCCTCATTCAAGTTTTTTGTGTTGCTATTTCACAAGAATGGAAACCCGAGCAAACTGAATATCATAAGCATTCTAATATTTTACAGAAATTTCAATGAATATAGAATTGGGGAAAATATTTGAATGGATTCTACAATATCTGTATAATAATAATTCTTTGTCGGTTTTAGCAATTTAGTACATGAATAACAAAAAACAAAACCATTTAGAGGATCCACTTTACCCGGACCCCCTCGTAAACCGGATACAGACATCGTTCAATGTAAATATATATCAAAAATGGTTAAGAACATAATTTTTTTTATATTCATATATTACCTGCATCATATGAATAATACAAATAAAGTTAGGGATATAGTGTATCCACTTTACCCTAACCTCTTGGCCCAATGCCACTTACTTTGGAACTATCTTGTTAAAGATGCATTCCATATATCGAAAAACCGATGATGAATATGGTACGATGGCCACGCTATATATTTTGAGATACACGAAAACTAAAAACTATTTTTCGAAAACTAGTTTATTTATGGTCAAAGTATTCTCCTCCAGCATAAATGCACTGCTCTTCCACAAATCAAATGCTTCTAACCAGTCAGTTTTTGGAATGCGTTCAACAAACTGATTAATTGCTTGATCGATTTCCTCTTCGGACGAAAATTCAAATTGTTGAAGAGCCAGAAGATACCCATTGCCAAAGCTGTCGAATAAGGCAGATGTTCCAGCATTTTGATGGGGCGCTGGCGTAAAAAGTCTACAGTTAGTTGAGCAGTGTGGCAAGAGGCATTGTCGTGATGCAGGATTGCAAGCAAGATAAGATGATCATGCAAAATGGTGGGCACTGTTGCGGATCCTGCCTCAAGAGTTGCCTCTATAGTGGCATATGTGCAGCGAGAATCTTCTTCAATTAGCCGTTGAACTTTAGCAATTTTTTCTGGAGTCACACTAGAACATGGCCTACCACTACGTTCTTCATCAGCCAATGAAACAAGCCCTCTTTTAAATTAGGAATACCAGAGAAACACACTTGCCCGGAACGGAGATTCATTACTAAATGCCTGTTGCAACCGTTCTATACATTGATGTTCAGTTGAACTGACTTTAAAGTCATAGTAAATCATAACGATAACTCTCTCGAGACAACTCCATGTTTCGTCTTAAATTTGTTTACACCACGTGCACTGTAAGATGCTTGCAAATGAACTGAATGCGGCGACTTACTAATAAAGTACTGCTCTTTTTAATAGTGCACTGTTGCCAGTTTAGTTAATGCGCATCTCAAAATATACACCATGCCCCTCGTATAAAACTGGAATTATAACTAAATTAACTAAATCATTATTCTGCATAATCAATCTTTTTCTTGAAAGTCAGAGGTTTCTTCTGCAGCTGCCTCGTGATTATCGAAAAAAAAGGACGAATTAGTACTTGATTACGATGTCCGACTCATGGTTTCTTTATAATGAAGATATTCGCTTTGTCCGTGTTTTTCTTATTTTAGATTATTTACGAGTATATACTATCGATCTTACCTTCAACCTCATAGCCACTTCTCCGTTGGTAGCAGCTGCAGCCGCACCTACACTATCATTGGCCAATTGAGTGTACTTGTGAGCCAAATCAGCCGATAACTGTGCGATCTTCTGTGTATCAGTTGCAGCCTTGGTTGCGATCTCTCCTGCTATCCTCGCTGTGCAAATTCAACAATTCTTAACGCAAATTCAAGACAAAGGGAACATACATGTATACCGCAACTAACTATTAAGCAACTTCACCGATTAGTACTCAGCCTCACCGTCCGATGACGCCACTATCGCAAAAAAAATTACTATCATGTAATACTGTCAAAATTTCAGCGGGATCGGAATCGTAGTTTTGTTTTGACCGCGTGTGGAAGAGTGTTTGCGGATTTTAGAATAATGGAAAAAGAGCAATGTCGGTTGGTGATTCGATTCTGGTTTTTGGAAGGGAAATCGCGCAAACTCGAAAAAGCAACTCCTCAGGTAGACATTTGAGTCGAATGAGGAGGTACTTTGCAGACCTCCAGAAAACGTATTTTTCAGACGGGTTAAAGAAGTTGGAGCACGGCTAGGTCAAGTGTTTCGAGGTAAATGTTGAGAAATAAATCACCACCTTTCCAAATTTTTCGTTTTTCTTTTGTAGATTAAGTACTTATAACGCGCATAGGTGGCACATCAGTCAAAACGATTGACCAAATATATGTAAATTTCTTGGACTTTGGGCAAAACTGTGTAGTCGACAATACCATCTCTGATCATCGAACAGTGCTGTCAGAATTAAGTGTGATCAACCAAACTCATGGGCGACAAGTTTTTGTCGAGAAAAGATCAAACAACGATAAAAATATCAACAACTTTATATCCGATATATGTTCTGAAAATTGGACCAGTTTATACAACATGTCTGACATTGAATTAATTTTCGATACTTTTTCTCAAATTTTCAACCACCATTTTCAAGTTAATTTTCCGCTGCGTAAACACTTGGTTAAAACGGCCCACAAAGACTGGGTTAATAATGAAGTAAAGGAATCCAGCAAAAAACTCAAGGATTCCTATTTATTGCCAAAGATCATCCCAGATACTAAAGAGACATATCTTCATAAGAAAAAGATTCATCGAAATTTAGTAACTTCAGCAAAGCAACAATATTGTCATAATAAAATATTCAAGTCTTCGAATCGTAATAGGGCTGTCTGGAAGGTAGTATCCGAGTTAACAGATAATAAAAAGAGTCAAAGCAGTATAATTTTGGAGGATGCTGGTAACACATTAAGTAATACTCAGGATATAGTCAATAAATTCAATAACTATTTTAAAGATACTCCGTTAAACATTGTAAATAATATAAATCGGGCAAATATTGAAACCGTAGATTCGCGTCCCACTCATTGTCGGCAAATGCTTCTCTATCCATTTAACGATGAAGAGTTTTTCGACTTGATCTCTTCGAAATTGAAAAACAAACATTCCTCCGGACCAGATGGTATTCCGGGATTTCTTGTAAAAAAAGTACTAAAATATATAGTGAAACCATTTGCATTTCTAGTAAATCTCTCCTTTTGCACGGGAAGGTTTCCCCAATCCTTAAAAACTGGGAAGGTAATCCCAGTTCTTAAAAAAGGAGATCCTTCAAAGATTTCCAATTACAGACCATTAACAGTTCCTTTCTGCTTCTCCAAAATCTTTGAGTACTGCTTTCTAGATAGATTGTTGCGATTCCTAGAATCTGAAAATACTTTGTCAATTAACCAACACGGTTTTCGCAACGGAAAATCGACACACACGGCCTTGCTGAGTTTCATTCAGAATATTATAGCATCGATTGAGGCAGGCGAATGTCCTGTTGGGATATTTTGTGATCTCAGCAGGGCATTTGACTGTGTCAATCATGAGATACTTCTGGGCAGACTGGTTCAAGTCGGCATTGTTGGGACACCCTATAGCTGGATTAACTCCTTTCTATCCGATCGATCACAATATGTTTGTTTACATGAAAACAGCAACAACATTATCTCTGAGCTGAAATCAGATGTAACGTACGTAGACATCGGCGTACCTCAGGGATCGATTTTAGGGCCTGTTCTTTTCATTCATTACATAAATGAATTTGAGCACTCTTTCTCCCAAGCCAATTTTATGCTTTACGCGGATGATGCGGCAATCATATTGTCCAGCAAATCCAATCAAGTTTTAAAAGAAGACTGTGAACATTTATTAAACAGTGTTCATGATTGGTTTAGCGCACATCATCTTCACATGAATGTGGAGAAGACGGCAATGATGAGATTTCACAACGTGCACAAAGAAATGACTCCGCTTGATCTTCGAGTTAAAGATAATCAACTAAGTGTTCTCAAAGAAACAAAATTCTTGGGCTTGTGGTTGGTCGAATGTTTCAATTTCAAGGCCCAGTGTGATCGATTGGTATCCAGGTTGAAATCACAGTCATATGTGTATAAAGTTCTACGAGCCACATTGACTGGAGACCAGTTAGTAACACTCTTTATGCTCAGGTAGAGTCTAGGCTGAAATATGGTTTGTGTTTCTGGGGAGTATCGACCAATGCACAACATGTCTTTTTAAGTCAGAAAAGAATTCTAAGATCTATGGCCGGAGTAAGCTCATTACGTAGCTGTAGGGAGCTGTTCCAAAAGTACCAAATTTTTACGTTGCCTTCTCTATTTGTATACGAACTTTCAATATATATGTATGAAAATAAGGATACACAACTACTTAACAAGGATATAAATGCCTTCATAACAAGGCAGAGTGAAAATATGTATGTTCCTTTCGCCAAATACTGTGTCGGTAGTAGGTCACCTAGAGTTTTGGGGCCTAAAATATATAATAAACTGTCAGAAGAAATAAAAATCTGCAGTTCACTGCAACATTTTAAAAATAGGTTAAAGGCTTTTTTATTAAATAAATGTTTGTACGCTGTTTCAGAGTTTGTTAATGTGTAGATGGTATGTTTGTTTCTCATATTTGTTTGTTACTTATTTTCCATGTTTGTTATAGATTTTTTATTTTGACGAATCCTATGCATACTTATGTCTATTGGATTATAAAGGATTATTATTATTATTATAGATTCGTTACAGTATTTTTTTCTAACTACGACTGTACTTTCTTAATGAATTTAACATGCTAGTAGTTTCAAAAAATTGACTGCTCACCTATTTGTTTGCAGCAATCCACCATTCTGGTCTGATAATCTACGAATCCTTGCGTACTATCAGAGATGACAAGTGATGCTCTGTTATCAGAAAGCCTAGTCATAGATCGGGTGAGGTTGTCAACAACCCCTGATACTATTCCACTTTGAGTCGAAATCGCTTCCAGAGTTTGTACCAAATCTTTGAGGGTTTCCCTTGTTGAAACAGCGCATTCGTCTATATCTGGATGAATGTTGACAGCCTAAGGTGAAAAATATACGATACTAAGTCTGCCACAACAAAGGTTAAAAATGGCTCCAAACTATAAGTCACAGGAGTTAGAATTTGAAAGTTATCTAAAAGTGTTTCGTATCTATATATCATTCAACTTACTTTTGGATTTCCGCCACAATCTTTGGTAGCATAAATAAGTTGTAAAGCTGATTCTGAGACAGATTTAACCTGATCAAGGATTTGTTCTTGTTGCTTGCAGTTGGTCATGTTGGAAGCAGCCCCGATGGTGCTTTCGACGAGAGGTTCAAAGTATTGGACCAGCTGAGTGACTGCATGACCTGTTGAGAATAAATTAGCAAATTAGGTTAAAAATTATTGGTATTTGAATAAAAATCTACTTCAAGTTCAAAATATTTCCACAAGTTAATACTTACCAATATTTTCGGCTTCGTATTTGCCAGCATGACGTAACGGTTCGATGGTATCCAGCATTCCTGCAGCTGATCTTTCAACCTGCTGGGTATAAGCAGGCAACGTTGCAGTACGTCTAGGCTGCAGACTTTGCGACACGGCGTCCATATACGCCATGTCGATTGTCTTGTGGAGACTGGTAATAATTTGAGCTGCAACCTCGCATTCATTTCTTCCTGGTGCTTCATTCTACAATAAAAAATGTCATGTAGACTATATATGGGCAATGATAAATGAAAAAATATATAATTATACAATGATCATTTCTGCATTACATATTAAAAGTTAATACCTTCAGATTCATCACCAACTGCTTGATAGAATCAGACACATTCTTGGACGTTGCAGCGAACTGTTGCCATGTAGAGGGATCTTTGGGCATAACAATGAGGTTCTTAGATGCTGCGATAACGTCACACGAACTGTCAATGAGCCTTCTGCCAGACTCAAGAATCGGTTGTTGGGCTTGTCTTGCTTGTGGTGCGATCTTAGCTGGGATTGTTGAGAACTCGCTAGAGCTGGCGTAGACACACAGGTTTTCGACCGCATCTGAAAAAAGTATCCAAACCTTAGTATAATGGTCCCATTCACAAACACGCTTGACAGAAAGACATTTGATATTCCCCAACACTACAAAGCAAACATTCGGTTTGCGCTCTTTAAAAAATAAAAATATTTTCTTCCGTTTTCAAATTCAGCGCCAACCAAGGATGTTTTTGGAATGAATGTGTCTAAGGCCTGCATCGTCAGTCGTCCCTACAATTGTAGGGCGCGTTTATGGCCTCCTTGATTTCGATAATATTACGTCTCCTTCGTTAACGTACATGTATGTCCTGCTTTACCTTTCCGACATACTGACAGTTCTGGATTGAGGTTATGTTGTTGTTTTGACGTTCAATGGAAAGCAGAACCATAATTTATAATTTTCTTGCAAATCATCTCGATCACTCAAAAATACCTCGCTACATTGAACAAATTCCACAACCTGTGATATCTTCAAGAAATTGTTGAGTTAGGATAATTAATGCACATGGATATTTTATATTATATTATTTTATTGTGTATGAAAGTCCAGAAGCTGACAACCAAGCTGTTCTCTTGATGAAGGTTGGTAAGTTACAAAACAAATCATTGCATATCCATATTATATACTTATCGCATTATTTTCAGGTGTGATTCATTCTCACAGACTTTATGAGATGGTTCCTCCATGGATAAGAAACATTGTATGGCAAGTGCAATTATTGCATTGTCGATGTCTGAGATGCTTTTTCACAAATCATTGTGGGACTCTAGATTGTGTAGAATGTCAGGCACAATTATGCATAATGTGTGTATGTGAGGATCAAAATTACTATTATTGACCATCGCTATTTCAGGGTGCTCAAAATGCCATGGTTATGTAGGATTACCAAAAATGAAGTGTTACAGAGACTGAAGAATAGAGTTGCAGCATTAAGCAAAATCATAAAAACTTTATGAAAATTCCATAATTAATTACGAATGGGAAAATAAAAGAAAATTTTGACTCATCAAGGGAATTACTTTCCTGTTAAACAAACATCAAACAACTAGATAAGCGGAAAAGACCCATTATGTTGAAAATTGTAGTTACCTCTAAGTCCTAATAGATAGTTTTAAGATAATTTCATTGCATTCATAATTCAAGTATCAAATTAAAACTCCCAACTTTATCATGAGCTTAACCTAACCTTCCTCTAAGGTACAGAATTTGATTTGTATTTAAACTGCTGGGTATAAATTTTGGATTTAAATCGCTATCAATAATGGAGCCTTCAGCTACTAAATAGACTTCAGTGGCATCATCAAGAACAAGCACTGAGCCTCAAAGAACAATATGTTGTATTATCAAATGTGTTGCACCATATATTAATGTTATAGAATGTGGTATATAAAGAAGAAGTGAGGACAGCTAAATACAGTTTCTTTTCCAATTTGTTCATTGACTTGTAATCTTAAAATAAAAGGGAAAATCTATTAGAACTGTGGCATAGGAAACAAAAACATTTACTGTTAAGAAATATCAAAAACTGAACAGGTTTGATATTTGAAACACTCATATGAAGAGCAGATTTTGCTAGTTATTATAGCCGCAGTAAAAAAAATATGAAATCTTTGGCTCGAAAGTCTCTTGAAGTATTGGTAGCTGCAATTTAGTTTGTTTCCTAATGTCCATATCTAGGGGGGTGGTTTCAGGTCGATTTATAATGAAAACTTCAAATGATCGTATGTCCTAATAGTTTTAACTTTTGTAACACAGGGTGGTAAAAAAGGTCAAGAAAATAAATCCTTGATTATGAATATCCGTATTACCACTTAATGATATTTGGCATACATGTAAACGTGTCATGTTTTGATAGACAGCGGTAAGCTGTTTAATTCTCTCTTATTGAAATTTTCAATCACTTGGAAGCAAAAATCGATGCGAAATGATTTTTTTTTCAATCTGATGCACGGTTTTTATAAATACGATCATAACCATATTGTTAACATGACAATATCACCATGCATAGAATTATTTGGGTGGAAATAGTGGGACGGACATGAAAAATTGAATTCTTTTAGTCTGACACACGGTTTTCACCTGAAAAATACAATCTATTTCGCGACATAGTGACATTGTCATACTAACGATATTAGGATCATGCAAAGAAACGATATTTTATTTTTGTAAGCATCCGTGCATCGGAGTGAACAAAAATTAATCAATCAAATTTGCCTAGAAATGACAGGATTTCAATAAAAAGTTTTTATTTTAAGAGAAATCAGTTGCGTACTATCATTGTTTGTCAAAATAAGCAAGTGAAATCGTTACGAACGTCGCTGGGGAAAATTCGTACACTAAAAATACCTCTTGATAGTACATATATGCAGAATTTTAATAAAGTATTTAAAGTGATATTACAGATCGCAACAAAAAAATGATGGATTTTTAAAAAGCTTACCACCCTGTTTCTCAAAAGTCAAGACGTTTAGGACATACAATTATATAAAGTTTTCTTTTTAAAATGGAACCAAAAGTCGCCCTCTTAAATATTGACATTCAGTTGGGAAACATCTTATATATTTTATGTAAGTAAATTTGAATTTATTAAAGGTTATTGTAATACACTATTGTAGTTTTTCATTTTAAAAATGTTCATATTTCCTGTTATTATTTGTACCTTTTAGATATAAAGACTTCATTTGATTACTGATACTTATGTATTTTGACATACTATCTATGAATTCCTTAACATTTTCATGTATCATATTTTCCAGTTTGTACTTGCAGAATATAAATAAAAGAATACTTGGTAAAATAAATATTTTTTATTCTACATTGTATACCCACAGAAATACAATAGGTTCGTTCAAAAATATCTAGAAATATAGATTTCATCAATTTTTAATCCTTCTTTTCTCTTAAAACGAATGTTTTTTCTCTAGCATGACGTTAACTAGATTATATGCTATTTTCTAAATTAGCTAAAGCTAAAGCTATGTAAACAAGGCTAAAAGGATATCTAATCAATTACAAAGAAATCTTTCTAGTTTGGGGGTACATTAGATCATTTTGGAAAGTTAATTAACTCTAGGTATCAAACTTCTTGAAATATCCAATTATATTCCTTCTAATAATGTTTCTTATACTGGAGTTATTGTCTTGGAACAATAGCTTGTGCCCTGGGCTTATCACGATTGGATCTTCTTTGAGCAATGCAAGTAGATCTGAAAAAAAATATTATAAGTAATCGTGATTTCTTATTTTTTACTCCTAAGTACCGATATAACCATGAGTGTTAAAATATGTATTTCATATAGCATTTTTGCTAGATCACTGGATTCTTATTTAACCTATGGCATCTGCTTTGTGAGATTTTGTCAAATAGAAATGTTGATTACAATATTCAAAAAGCCACTTTATCGAGTTTCGTGTGACATTTTATCTCTCACATGCAACATTAACCATTAGACATTTGAGAACCCCCTACCCAGGCATAAAAAAGCTCCTCTTGAACTCAATAGCTTTTAAGTTTTATAAATATACAGGCTTATGCCTACCTTTAATTTACAAATTGCAGTGTAACACTTGTCCGTCACAAAAAGCAAACTCACTTATTTCAGTAAGGTTGGCTCCTTCAAACATGCTTTCAAGTGCCTGGATGCATGATTCCATTCTTAGGAAGATCATTCGCCTCTTTATCCTTTCAAAATAGATAATGGAGTTTTGTATGCAATATCGCGATGGTTTATATTTGAAAAAAGTTGCATAGATTCAAGAAACATTAAAATGTTTACACCTTGGTGTGGGCTACAATTTTATAATGATATTTTTTAGAGTTATAGTCTGAAATTTTTAGGTTAAGGTTCCCACTAATATAAAAAATACCAGATAGGGCAGGGCATGTTTAAACTCAATTTCAGAGCATTTACACATTTATACATACTTGTAGCCTGACACTAGGCAATCCAAAGTCTGACAATGATTTGTGAACAGCCATCTCCGACATCAACAATGCAGTTGCACTTGGGATACAATGTTTCTTATCCAACATCTCATAATGTCTGTGAGAACGAACCACATCTGAAAAAATACGATAAGTATATAAATATGAATATGCAATGTTTAAAAATTTTGTAACTTACCAGCTTCATCAAGGAACAACTTGGTTGTAAGCTGTTAGGCAAATATATATATATAAATGCACATCCATTTGCAGTAAATTGTTGATTTTAGATCATTAATACCAGATATGGGACTTGAAGATACCACAGCCTGATAAATTTGTTCAATCTAGGAAATTATTATTGAATGATCAACATTATTTGCAAGAAAATATCCTTTGGCATTTGATTCATGTCTGAAATTTTTAAACGTCAAAAAAGAAACATAACCTAACATCACAATTGACTTCTGATTGACAGCAGACTAGAAATACAAAGCAGAACATACAATGTACCCCACCAAAGAAGACGTAATATTATCGAAATCAAGGAGGCCAAAAACACGCCTTACAATTGTAGGGACGACTGACGATACGTTTAGTGAATAACGTTCCCTATCAACCAGACAATCACAGGATAAGTGAGTGTCCTCAACGACGCACTGCGTGATATGGTGCACTAGAGATGGCAACCACATACACGATCTGATGAGTTGCCAGCGTATATAAAAAATAGAATAGCAACATAAGGTGTTAGCAAGGTTCGCTCAACAGTCTCGCTCAGGGGGTAATTCTTCAAATCAAAATGTAGAATAGCTAAGAGAAAATGGGACTTGGTTCTCTATCTTTCGTGGAACTGTATTCCTAAATGCTGATAAGCATTTACAAGCTTGTTTGACAAACAACAAACAGCTATCAGAATTTTTGATTTTTCCCCGGGAGAGTGGCAGCCGCTCAGTCTCTCTCTCTCTCTCTCTCTCTCTCTACTTCTACTCCCTCGTTTTTAAGAATAGGGGTCTTAGTGTGAGAAAGCAGCTTCTCGCCACTGCCAGTAAGAGTGACGTTAACTCGTCAGATCGACGTAATATCTTTTTCACGAGTATCCATTACGATAGAATAACAGCTGATTATCTAGTAATATTTCAAACTTCCCTATATGACATAATTATGACGGATCCGTCAACGCCAGGTGGACATAGCTGTATTTTGTTCTGTTTTTTGTAGGTCACATATTTATTTTGTTCCTGGTAATCACTCTTTTATTTAGAAAAGTTAATTTCATACAAAAAAAAACGCTCCGCGCAAGTTTTACCAGACTAATACAAATATGTCACTAGCTGATCAGCTGTTCACCTCATTAGATGGATACTCATGAAATAGGGTTTATGAGGTGGTCGATTTTTCGGTTAGGAAAATTCCATGTGATAGAATGTAGACAGGTTGGGAAATAGAACAATAACAAGGAATGATAGATAATCTACTAGGCATATTAAACGATTTCCGTTGCGAAAATCTATTCTTGATTTTTCATAAATTATGGGTGCCAAAAATAAGCTGCACAAAAAAGCCATTCAAAACTACACAAGTTATGGTTAAGTATGAATGTCGGTTGAATTAAGTTTTCCCAAAACATCAATAGTTCAGTGCAATAGTAAAAAATCAATACAAATTTAAAATAACTCATTTTGAAAGGACAAAATACACATAAGGATGAAAAAGACAAAAAAAAGCCTATCTAAAATCTTTTAAATTTCGGATATCTTTTCAGTGAAATCAATTACCTAACAAAGGCCTAGTAGCCTCAGCACAACTCCTCCTATTCTCTTCGCTGTAGTTCGCGTCCAAAGTCTTGATCTCTTTCACCAGTGCCGACGTGGAATTCGCCACCGCCTTGGCACTCTGCACGAACTGCCTCTTCGCCACGGGATTGGTCGTTTTGGAACTGGCTGTTCGGCATGAGTTACAGAGGGCGCTGGTATGTTTTGCGATCAAAGTGGCCGCTTCCAGAACCTGCTTCTGGGGACTGGCGGGAGACGACAGTGCGGCGCAGCCTTGGTGAATAGCCTGGGAAGCTCTGGCGAATTGGGCTTGGTCTACCAAGCCTGGACGGCCCGCTGTTCGGAATAGAGGATAACAACTTACTGGAGCAAATACTTAAAAAATATAGATCGACTAGATTGAGTCAGTACATTCCATGCATTCTCGTGTCCTACATCGAATGATGTACCACTTTTAGTTCTTTCGGCCAGACAAGCATGGAGGATTGTCAATGTTTACGTTGGAGTTTATTACAATAATTATAATACTAATAATAACAATAATAATAATATTTATTTACTCCTAAAACACAATACAAAGAATGCGTAAATAAATATGAAGTAACGGCCCATAGGAGGCATTTCCTGTACATGAACCATTGATGTTGCAACTGTATTATTGAAATATGAATAGAGATACAACTAACCAACGAATTATTTGATCATATTTACTATTAATTTGTATACGTCTGGTCTTGCCAAAGAAAAAAATCCATTATTTTAACTTTTTCTTGAACTCATTCTCAAAGCGTAGATCATTTATATCGCCAGGTAAATGTATGTATAATTTTGGACCTATATAAAGGTGTGATCGTTGCGTTATAGATTTATTTGGTCTAGGTACAACTTTTACTCTTAGTTTATGCCTTGTGTGGTGATTATGTATTTTTTGGTGTTATTGATAAATTTGCTGAGTTGGTTATAGCATGTAAGAGATAAAGCTGTTTTAAGCAATATACATTTGTATCTTTGTATAAGTCATCAGTTGGATAGAATTTTGGTTTGTTAAACATTGTTTTTAAAATCATTTTTTGAAAAATATCCAAATCATAAATATGAGTTGAGCATGTAGCTCGCCATGCTAATATACCGTAGGTTAAATGCGGCTCAATCAATGTGTGGTATAAGACAGGAGTTCCCAACCAGGGGGGGCGCGCCTCCCAAGGGGGCCTAGAGAGATGTCAAGGAGGGTGGAAAGCGTTTGCATTTTAGAAAGAAAAAACAAAAAAATAAACAAATAACATTAACAAATAACATTACGATGTAATGTTTAATTTACACGCATAAAATTAGGAATTAAATATCATATTTACTTATTCTGTCAACCGCTGTTTCAAAGCCCGGCGTCGTAAATCGCAGTTTGTACAAGTTCGACAAGTCACAACATGAAATCCGCGTGCACTCCCGCCGCGTTCCACTTAGCCTTCATCACAGAAAACAATTGTGTACCTACCAGACGCGGATGAACATCTGTGACATTCATTTCCACAAACTTGCGAAAAATTTGACGTTTCGATGTACATGTTTTGTTGAGAAATCTGTCTGAGTGTGTTACATTATTGTGTCTCACTGTTAAAAGGTAAATTTGTGTATTTGCAAAATTCACCACTTGACTCCATTTTTTTAAGCAACAAGTTTTTAAAAGCAGACTTACCAATACTTGACGGATCGGAAACACCAACCAAATACGCCGACTGTGCAGATGCCTCTATCAGACTGCAGATGGCGCTGCTGAAGCTTTTAACGTGCTCCGTGAACTGCTCGTGCTCTGAAGCCTTCGCACTCGTCGTAATACCAGATAGGCCCTCGCCTAGCACTTTGCTTTTTTCTATCACCATATCCAGAGCCTCATAGTAGGAAGAGTCGTTGATAGGCTCGGTGGGGCTGTCCAGCAAATAACCCATCGCCTTGATTTTCCTAATGGCGTTGTCGCACTCGTTCTGGCCTGGTGCCGCTTGGGTGCACACGTTCACTAGGTAGTTGATGCTGTCTGTTACAGCTCTGGCGGCAGCTGCCAACTGATTCTTACCTAAAATAAATAATTATAATAAAAACATTGGAAAACGGTTAGCTGCTACCTACGAGGTCTGTAAATTAAGTGATGAGACTGATTTTTAAATTTTTTTTATTCTCGTATAATTACAATTTTATATTGTCATCCTCAAAATAATTTCCTTCTGAAACCACACAGCGCTGGAGACGATTCTTCTACTCCTCCGATATTGGAATAGCCTTCAGCTGGTCGGTTACAGTCGTTTGAATGTTTTCGGTTGTCCTAAAATGGGTTCCCTTCAGGTGATGTTTCAGGAAGAGAAAAAAGTTATACGGACTCAAGTCAGGCGAATATTTAGGCTGAGGAGCTACAGGAATGTTTTTACTGGCCACAAACTCGGTTAATGACATTGCATTGTGACAAGGAGCATTATCATGATTCAAAACCCAGTTGTTCTTGATCTGATGGACGGTGGTGTAAGTCAACTTTAACTCTTCTTATCATTTCGCTTCATGGTTCACCTTCAATCGACTCTCTCTATTCTGAAAATACCATAATCCAACGACAAATCTGAGCTCTTGACAAAAACTGATCTCCATAGGCCTGCTGAAGTTTAGCAAGTCTTAAGCAAAACCTAATAGCACACTTTTGCTCGAAATTGAAGTCACTCATTTTTAGAAGACAATAAGAAAAACTTGCTCAAAAAATCGCTACAGATGACCAAATGACTCGTGCGAGTTCAAACTTGTAGTGAAGGCGGATCACATGTTCCCCTGTCTCCTCTCCAAGCCTGGTGCCTCCAGTGTTGCCAGATCGAACGCTAGTCTTATCACTTAATTTACAGATCTCGTATTTATAATGTAGCACCTGTAAACGTGATCATATCAATAAGACAAAGCCATGAGGAGCAAAATCTGTTGATATGTTGGTAGAAGAGATGTGCTAGTCAATATGAAATGATTTGAAAAATTCTGTAAAAAAAGTCAGTCAATGTAGTCTTACCAGCAAATTTCCAAACGGAAGCAGTACCCTAATGCTGACATCCTTATATCGTACAAAATGCAATTCAGTTGGACAGCAACTGTCAAAAGTCAAATGCAAAATTGATACTATGTAAACGTGCAATCGCTAGTCGGTTGGTAATACGAGGCGTGTCTCTTATCAAGTGGGACTTGATCAAAGTAAGCCTGTTAGCATCAATTGACAGACCATATATTTTTGAGGTTAGGTTGTTTGTTCCGAATCGATGCGAAAATTCATTCGATTCCAGTGAGAGTTAAAAGTTTCGAAGTTGGTTAAAAATGGATTTGATGCAAGAAAATGATCGTGCAATAATTTTTTACAATTTAAAGTGTAAATTAACGCAACAAGCTTGTATCGCTGAACTTAGTTGTGTGTTTGGAAAAGAAGCTCCATCAAAAACAGCAGTGTATCGCTGGTATGCAGAGTTTAAACGCGGACGTACTAGTCTGGAGTAACATTTTGGCAGAGGTCCACCAAAGACAGCGATGAGTCCAGAAAACATTGATGGTGTACAAAAGTTCATGGAAGATAGACATGTTGCATATAGGGAGATTCAGGCAACTTTAGGCATCTCAGGGACTACAATTCAAAAGATCGTGTTTCAAGAGCTTCTCAGCAACGACCAAAAAGCGGCTCGTGTCGATTGGTGCCGTAAAAGTTTGCGGCGATTTAACGAAGGGGCTTCGAATCACGTATATGATATTGTAAGTGATGACGAATCATGGATATACAGCTATGAACCCGAAAGTAAGGCTCAATCACCAGTTTGGGTATTTCAGGATGACGTGAAACCAACAAAAGTGATTCGCTCCAGAAGTGTCTCCAAGAAAATGATCGCTAGTTTTGTAGCCAAATCTGGGCATGTTGCCAAAATTGCCCTTGAGGATCGTCGATCAGTCAATGTAGATTGGTATACAACCATTTGCTGACCTCGATTATTACCGAACTGCGAAAAACAAATAAGAATCGCCGAATCCTTATTCAAGACGATAATGCAACCGCACACGCTGCTCGTAGCACAGTTGAATTTTTGGACTCTGAGAATGTCGAGCTTTCAGACCACCTACCATATTCACCTGACTTAAGCCCCAACGACTTTTATACTTTCCTCAAAATTAGGAATAAATTGCGTGGGATGAGCTTTCAGTCTTCAGAGGAAGCGGTAGAAGCTTGTATAGAGGCTATTTATTGTAAGTACGCCAACTTGAGCATGGAATTAAGTACCGCTTTACAGATTGGTTTGTTCGAATGTAAAAAAGGAACGAGTTTAAAGGCGAATACTTCGAAAAACAATAAATATTCTCTCATTTGCTTAAGTTGTTTCATTTAGCCAAATCCCACTTCATAAGAGACACGCCTCGTACAATGAACAACAATTTCTTGCAAGTAGTACGAATTTTGCGTTAGACATCAACGGCTACTGTCAACATTTTTTTTATGTGACATGGGGGAGTCTTATCTGGGCCTTCCAACGGACTGGAGCTAGGAGAACAGAAGTTATAACTTACCGTTTGGCAGATTCGGATCAGCCGAAAGCGACTTGGCAGTTGTAAGCAACGCACTGGAAGTAGTAGAAACATTTTTCAACGAGTGCACCATCTCTCCTCTAATCTGCGTGTCCGGCGTCTGTCCAGCCATCTCCATAGTCACATTCAACAGATCGCTATACGCATTGGCAAAGTCTTTTGAGGAGGAGGCCAACTGGACCGAACTATGCACCGATTGCACCACGCTGGAGCTGGCCTCGTTCAAATTCGCCGCAGCAGTGTTCAGCTCTTGCTGCAGCTCTCCGTAGCTCTTGTTGGTGTGTGGGAAGGTCGATGAGGTGGTGATGGAAGATGACCATTCAATGATGTTGGTGATGACGTTGTCCACGTCCTTCTGGCCTGGAAGGCAGCCCACGGTGGCGTTTAAGGCTTTGGTGATATCCTTGGCGACTGCGTTGAGACCTGGCGTAACCCCGACTGTGCTCAGACTCTTTTGGGCTTCGTTTACCTGAAACACGGAATTTGGGGAACATCTATTTAGCAGAAAAACTTTTTAGTAAAACCATACTACCGAACAGATCATACTTGTAGTTAGGTAAATTGTTATTTCAGGAGAATTTATGGTGGAGTATCACATTTATTTCAGGTAACACTGCTGTAACACCCAGAAAAGTATTTTTTGTCATTTTTTTTTTGTGTAAGAAATAATAAAATATCAATAAGCATATATTTGAGTAACAAAAAAGGAAATTATAAAAATATTTAAAAATGGTCGTACCGTAGCGTTTTTCTCGAAACGCATTTGCTCAAAATGGTTCGCAGCATAACTCAAACAACAATTGTCATTCATTTCATTCGAATTTTTTACAATATCTCTAGAATAACATTTTGAATAGAAAAGCGTAGGGGAGTTTCTGTAAGTTAATTTAGTCGTTTTATTTATTAACAAAAAAATTACCTTTTTTCCGTCTAAAATTGAATCCGCCAATAACACAAAAACAATATTTCTAAAATCCCCTAAATATTTTTGAAAAATTCGCGTCATTCGGGTCCAAATCTGCGTAAATGATTAAATCGTAAATGGAATTTAAATCAAGGAATACAATACTGTGTAACGGTTTCACCGTCCGATCGTATTTGTTAAATCACTTCTCGATTATCATTTCATTAATCCCATCTCTAGCTTTTTTACTTGGAAAAATTTCCGCTTGGAGCCCGCTTGATGAGGAGTTCCTGATCTGCGATCTTCCTCGCGTTTCCTTTTCACTTGAGCCGCCGATCTAGCAAGAGCTAAGAATTTTGTTCTCTGTAGCATGAGGTCGTATAGCACCATGTGCTAGAATTTTGTAGAATGTGTGTCCGAATAGGACAAAATGATTGGGGCCACCCCATTTCTCTTTCCCTTTCCCTTTGTCTTTGACTTTGCTTTTGCCTTAGTCTTTGACTTTGCGTTGCTTGGCCTATCACTTCACCCATGCATGTGCCTTGGCAGCGCCATCGCCTTTAAGTTCAACTTCGCCTACAACTGGTTTTGAAGCCACTATATGTGAGGTCACCCCTCATAACTGGGACCTCCACTTCAAGCATCTGGCCATCCTCGCTTCAGTCCAGTCAAAATGGACCAGCGAAAGATAAGTTGATAGTTTTATAGCAGCGCCAAAGATTTAAAACTTATTTTGTTCTTTAAAACTTTAAAATTGTAATGTAATGAAAATGCTTTTTTTGTTAAATAAAATCTGTTAAATTTTTGTGTTCTGTTTGTTCTTCTATCCTCTAGCCATGCCATGGTCGACACACAGCTGCACGCCTGTAGATGTCTTCATGCCACCGACTGAGCTACCGGAAGCTAATGGTAACCCCCTTTCTGTGATTGTGCAGAAAAGTTGGAGTCTTCATTGCATTCCATCTTTTCTGGACTTTTTGCGTAAAGGAAGCGTTACAACTGTAAGATTTTATTCTGAAATTTGAAAAGCTATAATTATTTGCGATGCTTAGATGCACTCATTGTTTTGTGGTTTCTAGCCGTAATTGTGCATTCTTTAAAAATACAATGTTGAACTCGGCATAGATGTTTTGCAGTTATTTTCATTTTTTTGTCTCACTAATTTTCTCATCGCATATTTTTTTCGTCTCCATATTTTACTGGAGATGAATCAGTGTGACAACCACAGAATTAGTTTCATGAGATACATTGATTTTTGTAATGCACAAGGCCGTTACTTAAAAAAAAATCTAAGGGCCACGCATTTTGAGTCTGTTTGGAGTATTATATTGTGTAGCATATTGTATATTAAAAGTATTTACTAATTTGCTTGAGTGCTCCAATACTTCTTGTCCAGAGCTGATGATCTTCATTTGAGTCTCAACGCTGTCGGTGGTAGCACAGACTGTTCGGATAGCACCTGTGAAATTCTTAAGACTGTGCGCCGTGTCTCTTGAAGCTTGGCTAGTGTACATTTCGTTACCCTGAGCAGCTGCGCTCAACATTTGAGCAACACCTAAAAAGTAAATTATTACAAAAATTCCAGCTAGATAATGCTGTAGAAACTTTGCTCGTTTAGAAGCTCCATTTCAGCAGTATTGAAAGATGTCAAATAAATCGAGCGTAAGTGTTGGTTTGTGATCAGATTTGACTGAAAGTCACGACGCACCCATGAAAATGCTACTTTGCATATTCATTTAAAATGTATTGTGCTAGTGGGGAGGTAGCACAATACATTCGAATGAACTGGCCTAATTTTCGAGCTCGAGTGCATCGATCATACAATGATATACTATAAACGAAACATGCCATTCTATAGGTCTAAAAGATTCGATTTCAATGTCACTTTTCTCCAGAGCAAGCTTCATTACCCAGTATTTTCTTACGAGTTTTTTTATTAATAATGTTATCACCTTGGTTAACCAGCTTGCTGCTGGCAGTCAGCTGTTGCACTCCTTTCTCAGCCGTATCGCCTGGCAACGGCCTCAACCTCCTTGCCGCCACCGACCTTTCGACTTCTCTTATTTCCTCTTGCAAGTCGAGGATCATCTGCAGCGATGCGTCCAGGCCGAGTCCCTGGCAGGCCGGTTTCGCTCTGCTCAATGCGGTGTGCAGCTCGTTCAATTCAGAGTTGAACTTTTGAGTGGTGGTGGAGAGTTGTTCGCAGACTGAGTGTTCGGTGATGGTTGGCAATACCGATCTGGAAAAAGTATATTATGGTCTCCTTAAATTATAAAGTTATAAAGTTCTACAATAAGTGGGGTGTGACTTTTGTTACAAATATTATCAATAGAAAACTACATTCTAATTGAAGTTCAAATTAGGACGGCTATAGGCTATCATATTTAAGAACGCGTTTGATCAAACATCATAAAATGTCGCCCCTAATAAAGTAAATGGAGCAATTTTGTGGAAAAATAAACTCCCTGTAACATTTTACCGTACCATCAACAATTCACGACATACGAGGTTTGATCCCTATGCTCTATCCATGACGCCTTCTTTCTTCGTAAATGTAATTTTAATTATCAAAATACGAATGTACTGGGACAGGGCTCTGCAAATGTGGTGTGTGGCCACCAATTCAACGCGTGTTTGGTACAGGGCGGCCATAACAATGCAGGAGGTATGGCTGGAAGCATTATCCTGATAAAGCAATACGCCTCTTGTCAACTTCCCCAACGTTTATCTTTGCAATTTTTAGATCAAGTCTTCTTAATAGGTGCGTGTAACTCTACATGTCCATATTGTATCACCATGTTATGCACTTTTTTCATGTTTTGTTCAGTCGATACCGTGGCCCAATGCCATGTTGGTTTTCAAAAGACATTCAAATTCGTGAAACCAGTGATGGACTACATCATGAGAAACCGCAAACCATACAGCATTCACTTTCAGTGAGCGCCAAATATTTTTTCAGACATTTTATTACGGCTCTTTGCTGAGCAGGATCAATTTCTATTAGAATCATTGTGTCACATAAATCAAAAAGTACACCACATCAAAAAGGTTTGACATATAAGTTTACTATTTTGCTAGCACAGCCTACTATGGCACTTGTTTTAATGTTAGCAACATTCATAAAATACGCATGAGCAAGGATGTATAAAATCTTTTTGTACAGAATGAGATTTGTTTTGTTGTTAATACAACCAACAACCTTAACTCTCTATATCTCGAGAATAAACTAAGTAAAACATACTAGATATATTCTATGTACAATTTTTTTAACTGTATCGTTAACACCGTATAAAATTGTATAAAAGCAAAATGAAAGAATGTGATTTTCTACAAAATCGTTCCTACTTGGGAGAATATCATTCAAACGTGTTCCAGTCCTATAGACGAATTAATTTGAGCATACCATTAGAAAGCAGTATTTTGACAATACCAACAAAAGAACAGCCTGTCTCACTTTTTGCAAAAAAGTACCTATTCTCTATTATCCACAAATAACTTGCATCAATACCTGTTAACGCCTACCTAGGTGACAAGCTCATACGATAGGTAATGGCATCCTAAGGAAACATGATATGATAATATCAGTACAGGGTAAGTAATTTGAAATTCTAAATTACGTACCTAGACGACTGCACGAACTGTCCGGCTGGATGCAAGAAGACCTCCGCAACGTACATAAGTTCCACCTGACTGTTGGTATCTTCAGGACTCTGAGCGTTTGCTGTGACCGCCTCGATCAGAAGTGGGATGGTTTCGGAAAGCTCTCTGGTGTCCTGCACGAGAGTTTCTCTGGTCACGGCATTGGTGTTGTACGTGAGCGAATTCTGCGCCGCGGTGATGCACTGAGTTGCTGAGGCGACGGCTTTCTTTGCGTAGGAGTTGACACGGTCTATTAGTTTGGAGCGTAGTTGAGGCGTAGTGGCAGCTACAACTGTCACGTCGCGTAGATCTTCGGCGGTCCGGCGTAGCTGATCTTGGTAGCTGCGAAATAAAACAATTGTTTCAATTCTCGAAGACCAGCCTGCCTCAACGTTTTTCAAAAATAAATCAATTTTATGAATGGTTTTATTTCACTAAGATGATTTATGACATTTTGTGTTAACATGTGATTTAGGCTTTAGACGGGCAATTAAATGATAGCCAATAAAGTAGGTGGAACAGCAGATAGAGTCATATATACTTTATATGCTTATAGGCTTATGATGATATCAATATCTGACGCGCTCGAGTATGTCCATGCAACAGTTTTTTTTACATTTTTGAAAATCTATAGCCGCTCCCCCCACCGATGAAAAGGTATACATTATAGGACATTTTTTTCGATTTATCATCTAAGCTTCGCAACCCAATAGGTCTCTATGACGCTCGAGTAAATCCCGATTTAGCATCGTGGGCTCCCCTACTAATCGATCAGTGGAGTGCATAAATTGCAGTCAAGCAGGGCACAAAGCCAGTGAATGCACCTTCAGTCCATACCTGTTCACACTGCAAGACCAGTAACCACAGGACAGATAGCACGCGATGTCATAAGTTCAGAAGGATGGTAAAGTCGAAACAGAGGGAACTTATAAAGAACTTTCATTAGAACAAATAGGCATGCACAGCATTAAAATCCTGCAGTGCAATACCATGAGGGCGAGGCACAGCCCTGATATGACATACGCTACCGCCCTCGATAAAGGCATAGACTTAGCATAGACTTATTATGGCGAACCGAACAATAAAACAGTGAATGATGCTACATGGATAAAAGACTTAAAGAGTGATGTTGCGGTATTATTTGTTAATAAGGATTTGGGTGTAAAGAGCATTAGAACAAAAGAGGGTTTCGTATGTAAAGAACTGAGCGCGTGTATTATCTATTTCTGCTATAGCTCTCCAAACATTACAATTGAACCGTTCAGGGCCGACGTGGATAACATAATGTTAGATAGCATAAATATGTCTGGGAAGAATATTATTCTTGGTGATCTGAATGTAAAGTCTCCACAATGGGGTTCACCAGTAGCAGACAAGAGGGGAATACTAGTGCGAGTGGTTGGCAGCGTTAAATATGCTGGTAATAAATACCGAAGAATGCCCAAAATTTGTGAGAGGCGCATCCTGTTGGTACAAAGACACAGAAAGTTGCTGCTCTTGTGTAGAACTGGCATGTTCTACAGAAGAAACTCGTAGTGACCACAAATTTATATACTTAGAAATTACAGGCAGGAACAGCGGGTTCCACAAACGCATCGAAAAGACTAAAATACAGTATGACTGGGAGACGTTCAGATCAATACTAGAGTGTACGGTTTTGTCTACCACCGACAACCGCAACCCAAAGACAAGCGCCGAACTCATCGAGCAAGATTGTAAGGTGAGCAGGAGGCCTACTAGTAGGTCCCGGAGTTTTGGGCCGTATTGGTGGAACGAAGAGATCGATACCAAAAGACGGGGATGCAAGGCAGCCAGACGGAGATGTACATGACGGCATAGAATAGATCACATAACAGAGGAAGCGCAACTATTGGAACAATATAAAAAGGCGAAAAAAGATCTTCGTCTGGCAATTGACGCATCTAGGAAAAAACTCTGACTGGAGCTGTGTTACTAACTAAATGAAGATATTTGGGGTGATGGATACCGCATAGCTACTGGGAAGCTAAGTAACAGGCAACCAGCGGATCTGGCAACAGACTCTAAGCTGCAGATTGCTATGGAGTTGTTTCCGCATAAGTCAGATACACTTCAAGAGATCTGCCTGTTGTGGTGAACGCAAGGGATGATGACGAGTTGATCATGTTCAGGGCAAATGAGTCCGCCAGGAGAATAAATGTCTGGATGAAAAATCGATACTTCTGTACGCGGACCCAATTTGGAGCTAGGCACTGGAGAAGAAAACGTGTAGAACCTTAATGGAGAGGGCACAAAGAAAAACGCTGCCGAGGGCAGTTAGCGCGTACAGGACTGCACCCATTATGGCTCAATAGGTCTTGGCTGCAGAGGTACTGATCCACTTAGTAGGTAAGGAAAGACGGCTGGTGCACGTACGCAGGAGCGAAGTGTCGAAATGGTTATCAAGGCTACCTAAGAACAAATAATTGTGTAGACAGTCTAGAATGTAAATAATCAATGTGGAATGTCCAGTTTAGTCTGGCATCATGTACCGTTCCCAGAAGATTTACTGGTTCAGATCTCACAACCCGCCTGTCAGAGGAAAATGTAAAATATGTCTTGTTTTCATTTAGCGATAACTAAAAACCGTTTTTTAGCTTGGTCCAGACTATATCCACACCTGTTTTGGTTAGGTCTAGGCGTCAAGGTGGTATAGCCTGCAAGATCCGTTATCAATACTAGAGAGCAGGTCATTGATATATATTAGAAAGAGCAGGTTGCAAATAGGCAAAAGGTCAGAAGCGGTGCCCTCAAAGCTTACAAACTGCTTCCTGTAAAGGAACAGTTTCCTGTTATAAAGTTGCTGACGTTCCGGCAAATTGTATTTCCTTTTTCAGAAAAAAGGAAGTATTCTTCCATATCGTCGACAACCTCATAAACTGTGTTACTTTAGACCCCTAATCCAATTCACTACAAGTAATTTCATCTAAGTAAGAGTCATTAGAAGACAGATATGTTAAAAAGCAAATTGACTCACTTGACATCGTGTGGATGACTGGCACACTGCCTGGCCGCCTCCACCATCCTGGCAGTCGCATCGGCGAGCGTCTTCGCGGCCGCCAGCAACCTCCTTTGCAGGTCCGTATCGGGCGCATTCTCTGCCTCCCCTTTGATGCTCTGGATAAGCTGCGCCGTGGCCTGGCCCAATCGGCGCGCCTGGTGCACCATCTCGTTGGCATCGCCGCTGGCCGCCGTCAGCTTGTCGGTCGCAGAGTAGATCTCCTCGACGCTGTGCTCCTGGATCGACTCCTTGGCCCGCTCTCGGGACGCTGGGTGTGACAGTTAGTGTTAGTTTGCGGGAAAGTGGAAGGCGGAATGGAGTTAGCGATGTCAGCTGATGTGTCTACGAGGACGCTTTTTAACCATTTCAACTGTTTCAGTAAGTTACCATCTAATTTCGCATTTTCAGCGAGCTCTGATCAATTACTAACGGGCCTCTTGAATACAAGGTGGCTGAATGGTTTGTTCCTTTAAAAAGAAATAACATACATCCAATTTTTATTTCTTAATTTCTTATTGAAGTTAGAACTTATTTATGAAAAATTATATCACATAAATGTCTGCACAAACTTGAGTCATCTTGATTATGTTTTTCATCACTTATCGTCAAGTTGCGGGAGGAATATTTTGAACAGCTTCCCGAATAATTGCTTTTTAGTTTAGTTTGGTTTTAGTTTCTTTACATTTGTCAAGATGGCATAAGCCTTATTTTTTAGAAATCCTCCACACAAATAAGTCTAGTACACTATATACAGGGTGGCGCATCGAAAATGAAACAGACGCATTTACTGGCAGCTCAGTTTTTTTTTTTGGAAAATCGCTCAGACGCGCCGATTTTGTTTTCGAGGGGGACACAAGTTTGGCAAAAAATCACGTTAACACGTGCAGCCCCTGGGCGGGGGTGACACCAACCCTAAAATCTTAAATGGAAAGGGGGGTCGAGTGATACCTTCTTTTAAAGGTCTTTCAATTTCCTTTATAATGATGTAAAATACATGAGTTTCAGTTCAGTAGTTTTGAAGATTTATTGATTTAAAGCTTAAAGTAGACTTTAAAAGGTACATCTGATTAGTTTGTACTACTTTCAGAAAAAATTTGACTAAAAGAATTTACTTAATAAGTAATGGTTTGTTTATCATTTTGTTGTTGAAAATAGCTATTGGAGCGTTTTTTGTAGCAAAAAAGTTATTTCTTGAAGAAAGATAAGGGAATATCTCGTACTTATTTAAATAGGAATTTAGTACATAATTTGCGATTGATTTGACCAAACTTTGTTGCTAAAATAACTAACCGAAATATTTTTCGGAAATAATCAGTGCGCTAATAGAACAGCAGAAATATTTTATGAGCGACATGAGAACAGTAACGTGCATCGAAAATATGTTCTAGAACTTGTAGCTAAATTTCAGGAAACTGGGTCAGTTGCCAATAAAAAACGCAACATTGAAAATCCCATAAGGAACGAAGCAATAGAAGTGGGGGTTTTAGGGCAAGTTTATGTAGATCCTACGTTAATTACCCGCAAATTGGAGACTGTGTGTGGTGTTAGTCGACGTACTGTTCAACGGGTGCTAAAGGCCCATAGTTTTCATCCGCATAAAATTAACCTGGTACAAGAACTTAATGAAGACGATTTTGATCGGCGATTACAATTTTGTGAAGATATGAGTGAACGAATTATCAACGATCAACATTTTCTATTCAACATTTGCTTTTCCGACGAATGTTCCTCTTTCTTAAGGGGCGTAGTAAATCGTCATAACTGCCGATATTGGTCCGATTCTAATCCCAGATTCTATCATGAGGTTCATACACAGCAGCCACAAAAATTAAATGTTTGGGCTGGTATTTTTGTCGATCATTTAGTTGGTCCTTTTTTCTTATCTGGAAATTTGACCGGTGAAATGTATTTGGAATTACTGGAAGACGCCATAGATCTTGCATTAACAGCCATAATTGAAAATCAGAATGATCGGCGTTACATTGCGAATAGGTTGATGTTCCAACATGATGGTGCCCCACCACATTACACATTACGTGTTCGACAATATTTAGATCAGACGTTTCCAGACCGATGGATTGGTAGAAGACGTGCTATTGAATGGCCCCCAAGATCGCCTGATTTATCACCTTTGGATTTCTTTATATGGGGTCATTTAAAAAGTCAAATCTATGCTACTCAGCCAACATCATTAGAAGACCTGCGACAAAGAATTGTGAAGGAGTACCTTCAAATTACTCCTCAAGTATTTCAAAATGTGCGCCAAAGTTTTGAGCAAAATCTTTATTATTGCATGGAGAGTCATGGTGGCCATTTTCAACATTTACTTGCCTACCCGTTAGGTCAGTTAATTCTTCGTTTTTAAATTACTTTGCTGCCAAATGTATTGATCTACACTAATGATGATGTATTAGTTTTATTTAAGCTTTAAATCAATAAATCTTCAAAACTACCGAACTGAAGTACATTTAATTTTATATCATTATAAAGGGAATTGAAAGACCTTTAAAATAAGGTATCACTCGACCCCCCTTTCCATTTAAGATTTTACGTGCTAACGTGATTTTTTTGCCAAACTTGTGTCCCCCTTAAAAACAAAATCGACGAGTCTGAGCGTTTTTCAAAAAAAAACTGAGCTGCCAGTAAATGCGTCTGTTTCGTTTTCGATGCGCCACTCTGTATATATATACTAAGTGACATATAAATCCGAACACCCAGTTTAAATGGTTTTATTTTAATAAAAGTTGGTGAATGTATTTATCTTACTGTAAATAACAAGTAAAAAAATTTTCAGCCTTATCAGTTGGACATTCCGGTTTTTGTACTGCTTTTTTTTAATTCACTAACGCTCTAAAAATGAATATTTCAGCCGCAGTAAAGAATCAACGTTGGCGGATTTTGGTTCTTGACATCCTTTACGATCGGTTACGATGCCTAGAGTACGGAGACCTGTACGATTTCGTCAACTTAGTGAGTTTGATATGGGCCGTATAGTTTGGACTTTCTTTTCGGGCAATTGCAGTTAGAGTGCAAAGAAGTGTAGACACTGTGGTTAGGTGTTGTCAGGCATGGCTTTGAGAAGGCCGTATGCAAAGAGCAAGGGGCACTGGACGCCGCCGTAGAACAACAGACCGTGAAGATCGCCGCCTAAGATTATTGGCCTTAAGGGACCGTTTCTCCACTACCAGGTCCATTGCAAATGAATGGTTTGCAGAACACGGAAGACCTATTGGCATGCGAAGTGTTTACCGGCGAATGAGAAGTTTTGGCTTGTTTTCATACCGGCCACACTGGGTCCTCCCTTTAACTCGAGAACACCGACGTAATCGCCTTGAGTGGTGCAGACAACGGTCACTCTGGGATCAGGAATGGAACAGTATTGTCTTTAGTGTCGAGTCTCGATTTTGTTTAGGCATGCACGATGGTCATGCCAGGGTTAGAAGGCGATGTGGTGAATGGAGGAATCCACAGTTTTTTGTTGAAAGACATGTTCATCACACTGTTGGAGTTATGGTTTGGGGTGCTATAGCTTATGGTTCCAGGTCACCTTTAATCTTCATCAGAGGTAACATGAACACGCAGCGTTATATCCACGAAGTTCTAGAACCCCATCTTTTACCCTATCTTGACACCCTGGCAGATCCAACCTTCCAACAAGATGATGCCCGACCACATGTTGCAAGAGTCACAATAGACTTCTTTCAACATAATGATGTCACATTGTTACCATGGCCACCAAGATCTCCCGACTTATCCCCAATTGAGCACGTGTGGGATATGATGGGTAGGAGATTGCTCAATTTGCAACGTCCTCCTCAGACTCTAGAAGCACTTCGAGAGGAGTTGGTGGTTGCCTGGAATGAGATACCACAGGAGGACATTGACCACCTGATCAGAAGCTTGCCTAGGCGCGTTGGAGAATGCGTAGCACATCAGGGTGCATCCACACATTATTAAAGGTCAAAGGGCTTTAAAGCAGTGCAATCATTTTGAAATTTTTATCATTTACTTATTATGCTTCATTGAGTACCTACTTATACAAAATTTTATTAAAATAAAACCATTTAAACTGGGTGTTCGGATTTATATGTCACTTAGTATACATACATACATACATACATACACTCACATACATACACTCACACACACACACACTCACACACACACACACACTCACATACACACACACTCACATACTCACACTCACACACTCACACTCACAGACACACACACTCACACACACACACTCACACACACACACTCACACACACACACACACACACACTCACACACACACTCACACACACACACACACTCACACACACACTCACACACTCACACACACACTCACACGCTCACACACTCACACACACACATGGGTCCGCAAATGCTTTCTTATCGAGATAATGATTTTTTTATTTTTAGAGTGCTAATGGTGGGAAAACCACAATGTTGTTGGAAAATTACTTTTATTTAACACAAAATTACTAGGTACAATAAAAATAACTATTCACAATAGTTGTTCAAATTGTCCACCTTCACACTGTAAACATAGTCTAGCCCGTTTAATAATGTGACCGGTGGATTTTCCAGTAACAAAATGATTACTTCTTATGTCGTCTGCGACATGAGTAATTTTACGGAGCAGTTCAGCCCTGGTATGCGATTTCTCTGCATACACTTAAGACTTCATATGTTCCCACAAGTAATAATCCAAGGGATTTAAATCGGGTGAGCGGGGTGGCCAAGAAACTGCGCCCCCTCGTCCAATCCAACGCCCAGGAGAAGTTTTATTTAAATACATTCCTACCACTGTGGGGCGGAGCACCGTCATGCTGTAACCACATCTGCTGTCTTCTCTGCAGCGGAATATCCTCTAACCACACAGGCAGTCCTTCTCGTAAGAAATGAAGATCAGCTTCTGATGTCAACCAACCGTCAAACAAAAGGGCCAACTAAGTGATCCCCTAACAATTTGCACCAGATATTAACAGAAAAACAGTGTTGGAAATTCCGTTCGATAGTTGCGTGGGGAATTTCAAGCTGCCAAGAATGGGAATTCCTCAAAGTATTGACGTCGTCTCGAGTAAAAGTAGATTCGTCGGTGAACAAAATCTTTTTAACAAGATTAAGATTTGCGAGGAGCCAGTTACAAAACTGCATACGAGGGTCCGAATCAGTGAGCAGCAGAGCTTGGACAGGTTGCAGATGAAATGGGTACAAACCAAAGTTATGCATTGTTCTACACACAGTCATTCGGCTAACACCAGCGCGACGTGATATTCTGCGGGCGCTGGTTGATGATGACCGGTCAACACCATCCAGTATTAAGTCATGGGCAGCTTCTGAACGTGTTACAGTAGCATTCGGAACCGATCCTGCTGCTCTCACATGTGCCAAAACTCTTCCAAATACCCTTCCGTCAGGTGTTCTTCGATTTGGATACCTGCGGCGGTTCACTGATGCTCTGCCATTTCCGTTGCAATATCCGTAGTCAAACATCATGTCACCGTACAACAAACATGACAGTAATTTTTGCAAAGTTCAATCAAACTGACACAACAAATCCGTCAAAAAACAAACACCAGCGTATTAATCCGGCAGTACAACGTGAATGTGGACTTTAATTATTGTAAACAGTTGTTTTAATACGAACAGTATTAAAATTTTGTTAAATAAAAGCAATTTTCCAACAATATTGTGGTTTTCGCCCTCTAAAAAAAAAAAATCATATCTCGATAAGGAAGCATTTGCGGACCCATGTTAATACGACTTTTTCGACTCCAACTGACCTGAGGAACACGCAGACAAATTTTGTCCCTTACCTCGCGGGACACCCTGTATATATATATATAATGATCATGCGGAGAAAGGTATCCTATTTTCTGCTCGAATCCACTTTCCTCCTTTTTGCGGATTTTGCCCATTATTTTCCTACTTTTATATAATATATAAATACCGGGTACGCCATCTTTTATGTCGGTATTGGAACATCGAATGACTTTGATATTTACCAACCGAGTGATTTGGTTATACGTGTTTCTGAAACGTCAATTTACTACAATTTTAGTCATGAATCGCTTTACACCGAAACAACGCGCCGAAATAGTCACAATGTACATTGAAAATCGTCGTTCAGTTGTGTTAACGCAACGTGCATATCATCGAAAATATCGTGGCAAACAGGCACCGCCTGACAACACTATCCGTCGTTTGGTTTCAAATTTTCTTGAGTACGGGACAGTGGGAGATCGTCAACATACCGTTGACCAAAGACCAAGACGTTCCAATGAATTGGTTGAAGCGGTCAGAGACAGCGTTGCTCAGAACCCAAAAGTGTCGTATCGATGATTTGCATTTGTTTCCTTATAAGGTGCAGTTAACACAAAAAATATTTCCAACTGACCGTCCACGTCGCTTGGAATACGCCCAAACAGTCGCTCGCATGGTTGATGCTGAACATGATTTTTGGAGGCCAAATTGTGATGACCGACGAGGCCCATTTCACGCTCTCTGGCGGCGTAGATAAGCAAAGCTGCAACATTTGGGGGACGGAAAATCCACATGAGATCCACGAAATGCCGTTGCATGACCGGAAAGTGACTGTTTGGGCCGGCGTTTGCGCCAAAACCATCATTGGGGCATTTTTCTTCAACGAAAACGAAACAGTCGATGGAAAACGATATCGGTGGATGTTGGCTCATTATGTCTGCCTACAAATGCGTGAAAAAGGTCTGATGTCAAAAAGAGGTGACCTTGACTGGCCACCCAGGTCTCCATTTGACCCCACCGGACTTCTTCTTGTGGGGTTATTTGAAAAGTAAGTGGAAAATGTAGCAAAACGGGTACATTTCGTTTTGGCCAATAAAAGTGGCCACTTGTTAGATGTTGTGTTCAAAAACTAGTCCCAATAAATTGTAAAGGACCATATTTAATAAAAATACCAGATATATAGAAATCAGTTTTTCGTTTTCAAAGTTATTTCATGTTTACATACCGACATAAAAGATGGCGCACCCTATATAAAGCTTCCGCCTTTTGTTGGGTACTTCGACAAAATTTAAGCAAAGAGGACTCTTTTAAACTTTATTAATCTCTCTAGTTTTCAACGGTCTTTGCCATCATCATCAGGAGCTGCAATCAATGTTATTGCAATTTTTTTATTCCGATTGTTTCCCCAAAATGTCTTCTCATAATTAATAGTTTTGGCTGCAACCTCAACGACGAATTCTGATGAAGGCTCCATAGAGAATGCCGCAAGCTTGATTTTATCATCAAAAGAGTCAACTAAAGCCTAAAAGTTTGCCAATTTCCTAATTAACAATTAATTATATATAACGGGTGATTTTTTAAGAGGTATAGGATTTGATTTTCAAAAAAAAAACACAAAAAATTTGAAAAAAACGATTACATCTTTATTTGAGTCGATAGAACGGTCGATATAATTTAATGTTTAAAGATTATTTCATGTAAATGTTGGCCGCGGCTCTGCTTTAGATGGCCCATGCGCAAGGTCCAATTTTGGCACACTCTCTCCAACATATCGGCCGGTATCTCACGAATAAATGCTTCAATATTGGCTTCCAGTGCGTCAATCATTGCTGGTTTATCCCTGTAGACATTAGCCTTAACATGGCCCCACAAGAAATAGTCCAACGGCGTTAAATCACACGATCTAGGCGGCCAATTGAAGGGCCCCAAACGTGAGATAAACTGTTCACCGAACTCGCCTCTCAATAGGGCCAATGTTTCGTGTGCGGTGTGGCATGTGGCACCGTCTTGTTGAAACCACATGTCAGCCAAGTCCAGCTCTTCCATTTTGGGCAAAAAAAAGTTTGTTATCATCGCACGGTAGCGCTCGCCATTCACAGTTACGTTCCGGCCATTGTCGTCTTTGAAGAAGTACGGCCCGATGATGCCACCGGCCCATAATCCACACCAAACAGTGATTTTTTCGGGATGCATTGGTAGCTCTTGCAATGCTTCTGGCTGGTCTTCACTCCAGATGCGGCAATTTTGCTTGTTAACGTACCCATTCAACCAGAAATGAGCTGCGTCGCTGAACACAATTTTTCGATAAAAATGTGGATCTTCCTACAACTTTGCCAGCGCCCATTCACCAAATTGGAAACGTTGTGGGAGGTCGTGTGGCTTCAATTCTTGCACCAGCTGTATCTTATAAGGTTTTACACCCAAATTCTGTCGCAAAATTTTCCACGTAGTGGAGTAACAGAGGCCCAATTGCTGCGAACGGCGGCGAATCGACATTTCACGGTCATCACTAACACTGGCGGATACAGCCGCAATATTTTCTTCAGTCCTCACTCTACGTCTGCGTGTTGGAGGTTGAATGTCCAATAATGTAAACTGGGTTCGAAATTTAGTCACAAGCTTCCGAATAGCTCCCTCAGTAGGCCGACCAAATTGCCCATAAATTGGAAGCAGTGCTCGATGCACTCTCTTAACCGAGCATGAATTTTGATAGTAAAATTCAATAATTTGCAAGCGTTGTTTGTTCGTAAGTCGATTCATGGTTAAATTATAGACCAAACTGAACAGGTTTGACCATGACACAAGACACGATTGACGCGTCATCTGTCAAAAACAGTGTTGCCAAAAAGATACTAGCAAAAAAATCACCCATTATATATATATATATATATATATATATATATATATATATATATATATATATGTGTTACTGGCAATCTGTATAATTACTGCATTTAATTGTGCTAGTCTAACTTTATTTTTAAACCAAATCAATCAAAATAAATTGAATGTTTGGAACGCAAATGGTTAAAAAGATGTAATAATAATTTGTTTCATCCTCATAAAGTAAGCAGTGCTGTTTCGAGAAAATACAAAGAAAAAGTATTCTTCCAATTCTACCAACATTTATTTTTCGTAAACATTTTCTAAGAAACATCTATAACTCCTTTTCTTTCCGATGAAATGTTAATACACTCAAAACACCGAAATAACCATTAAACATAAAAATGTAACAGTCTAATCGTCACCTATCAAAGTAACAGTGATAAAAAAGTATCAGAGAAAAACTGACAAAAATACAAATCATGAATATATGTGCACACATAGCATCAATAACATTAGTATTACCTAGTTTCATGTGGTTCAAGAGATCATTCAATGTTCTGGTTACTTCTGCAGCGGCACTTTGAAGTTGATCTTTCAAGTCCTCATTTGCACATGACTCGTTACAGATGGACACCAGGTTTTCAACTGCTTTGGCAACCTGAAGGGTAAACGTTACCGGTTTCAAATAGAGAATTTCTGTAACATGATTCAAGGAAGAAGTGCTAAAACATGCATTCAGTTGTTAGCTCAAACATTAAAAACAGGAAGATCTATAAAATAAAGAGCTCAAGGGGTGCATCTTCAAGAACAGAAACCTTGATAAGCGATTGTTTGATCATTTCAATTTGTTTATAATACTGTAGGGTAGGATGACAAATAATTGCGTATGTAACAGACACAAGGAAGAATTAATTAATAACAATAACAGTGTTTCAGTAATTTGGTGGCGATGACTAGCATATAATTTTGAGTATCGAGTTCAGGAAACGACTTTTGACAATTCATGCTATTTTTGACAAATGAGAAAGCAAAGCTTACCTCTCTGATGGCAGTGGTGAGCTGTTCTTGACAAGCAGGTGAATGTAAAGTAGGTGCCACTACTTTTGCACATGCTACCAATTGTGAAGTAGCTAAAGCACACTGTGTTGCTGCTCCAATTACTCTATTCTGTGTCTGCTGGTCTTCGCAAGTGGATGCTATATTCTTAGCTTTAAGTACGAGAGCAGCAGTCGTATTGGCCACAGCTTTGGCAAGAGATAGCAGCATATCCTGTAATTCTTTGTTCTCAACAGTATCTTCGCCGATGGTAGCAAGGACCTGGGTGCTTGCTTCTCCCACTCTTGTGGCTGCATTGAGTAGACTTTGCCTCGGCTGAAAATATAAGATATACAGTAATGGACAAAAGTATATAGACAAATTAATATTGTGCTATATTTCTGTTTTAACTAGTTTTATTAATACACCAACCTGTATACATAATTCGTTATAGCGTAATACTCACTTATACATAAATAAATTTATTAGACTCCCTTCAATAAAAAATTAATTGAAAAAACTGGAACTATAATATATATAAAAATATATAGACAAAGCAAAACAATTATAGAAAAAAGAAGCAAAGTTCATTGAATTATAGAAAACCAGCCATGTTTGTGTTAATATTTTGTAGCATAACCATTATTATCAATCACCGCCTGGCATCGTCTCGGCATAGATTGTGGAAGTTTCTTGATATAAGATTCATCAATCTGTCTCCACTTTTGCTCTAAAGCGGCAAAAAGTTCATCCTTGGTTGAATAATTTTTATCTCGTATTTGCTTATCTACGTATTCCCATAGATTTTCAATGGGTTTTTATCGGGAGACTGTGAAGGCCATTTGAGAACTGGAATTGTTTCATCCAGAAAGAATTCCTTTGCGAGATTTTAAGTGTGCTTCGGGTCATTATCTTGCTGGAAGATTGATCTTAAGGGCATATTGTCTTCCATATAGGGTAACATGACATGCTTTAGTATGTCTGTGCAAACAAACTTATCCATAATGCCATCTATTCTATGTAAAGGTCCCATCCCAAACCACGAAAAGCACCCCCAAACCATAACAGACCCGCCTCCTTGTTTGACAGTGGGCAAAGTGTACTTGGGGTTCAATCTTTGTCCAGTAGGACGTCTAACGTAATGAACACCATCTGATCCAAACATATTGAACTTGGATTCGTCACTGAAACATATCCTCTTCCAGTCACAGATGCTCCAATCAAGATGCAACCGTGCAAATTGTAATCGGTCCTTACGGTTTTTCCTCGAGATTAGCGGCTTCTTCTCGAGCGACGTGCAAATAACTTCAAATCATTTAATCTTCTACTTATAGCTTTCGCAGAAACAGTGACAATTCCTTTTGTTTCGATTTCGGCTTTTATTTGTCTTGGGGTTTTAAACGGACCTTTGGACGAAATTTTATTAATCTAACTGATCTAGCATTTAGTTTTCTAGGCCGACCACTTCTCTTAGAGGCTTCCAAAATACCTTTTTGTTCAAAATATTGACAATAGCCCAAACTGCTTCACTCTTACTTGTCGTTGACCATCTTTGTATAACCCAATGATCTTAAGTTTTCACATCGAAAGAAATTTCTGGACCACGCGGGATGGTCTTAAAATCATTCAACTTATTCCACAATACTTGATGAACACAAACTAATCCTCTTCTGATACGAAACTGTACTAAACTAACGTTGAAAAGAATTTGTCTATATATTTTTGTACTTCATAGTTCCAGTTTTTTCAATTAATTTTTTATTGAAGGGAGTCTAATGAATTTATTTATGTATAAGTGAGTATTATGCTATAACGAATTATGTATTCAGGTTGGTGTATTAATAAAACAAGTTAAAAAAGAAATACAGCACAATATTAATTTGTCTATATACTTTTGTCCATTACTGTATATTAGAGGATCAGTTTTCAAGCATGCAATCCGCGAGTTGGCTGTAGTTTTAAAAAAATATATGTCATGTGTACAACACAGGTTTATGGTACAGAACCTAGAACATATTAAACTTAATTAACTATTACTATTAACGATTTTTAATCTGACTCAAGTGATCGTAAATGCCAACAGATACCAAAATGTCATTGTGTAAGTAATAATACAGGTGTCACTTGGACAGATGCCAAATCTACCGTGAAAGCGGTAGATTTATTGTTTTGAGCTGTCGGCTACCGTTCTCCCGCAAACCACTCACGGTTTCGGTCAGCATCAATTAAAATATCCACTATATAGTCTTTGCATCTACTTTTTTTCCGGTTATGGTGTCCATCACTATATATATTATTTGAGTCTACCGTTGTAGTTGAGTGACAACATTTACATTTTTTTAAATTAGTAAGTGCGGCTGTAAGTATTTATTGCACAATGGAGCCAGGTTTCGATGAAGGGGATAATATGAACTTGGCCAAAATATACTAAGTGACATATAAATCCGAACACCCAGTTTAAATGGATTTATTTTAATAAGATTTTGTCTAAGTACTTAATGAAGCATAATAAGTAAATGATAAAAATTTCAAAATGATTGCACTGCTTGAAAGCCCTTTGACCTTTAATAATGTGTGGATGCACCCTGATGTGCTACGCATTCTCCAACGCGCCTAGGCATGCTTCTGATCAGGTGGTTAATGCCCTCCTGTGGTATCTCATTCCAGGCAACCACCAACTCCTCTCGAAGTGCTTCTAGAGTCTGAGGAGGACGTTGCAAATTGAGCAATCTCCTACCCATCATATCCCACACGTGCTCAATTGGGGATAAGTCGGGAGATCTTGGTGGCCATGGTAACAATGTGACATCATTATGTTGAAAGAAGTCTATTGTGACTCTTGCAACATGTGGTCGGGCATTATCTTGTTGGAAAGTTGTATCTGCCAGGGTGTCAAGATAGGGTAAAAGATGGGGTTCTAGAACTTCGTGGATATAACGCTGCGCGTTCATGTTACCTCTGATGAAGATTAAAGGTGACCTGGAACCATAAGCTATAGCACCCCAAACCATAACTCCAACAGTGTGATGAACATGTGTTTCAACAAAAAACTGTGGATTCCTCCTTTCACCACGTCGCCTTCTAACCCTGGCACGACCATCGTGCATGCCTAAACAAAATCGAGACTCGTCACTAAAGACAATACTGTTCCATTCCTGATCCCAGAGTGACCGTTGTCTGCACCACTCAAGGCGATTACGTCGGTGTTCTCGAGTTAAAGGGAGGACCCAGTGTGGCCGGTATGAAAACAAGCCAAAACTTCTCATTCGTCGGTAAACACTTCGCATGCCAATAGGTCTTCCGTGTTCTGCAAACCATTCATTTGCAATGGACCTGGTAGTAGAGAAACGGTCCGTTAAGGCCAATAATCTTAGGCGGCGATCTTCACGGTCTGTTGTTCTACGGCGGCGTCCAGTGCCCCTTGCTCTTTGCGTACGGCCTTCTCGAAGCCATGCCTGACAACACCTAACCACAGTGTCTACACTTCTTTGCACTCTAACTGCAATTGCCCGAAAAGAAAGTCCAGCTTCCCGAAGTCGCACTATACGGCCCCTATCAAACTCACTAAGTTGACGAAATCGTACAGGTCTCCGTACTCTAGGCATCGTAACCGATCGTAAAGGATGTCAAGAACCAAAATCCGCCAACGTTGATTCTTTACTGCGGCTGAAATATTCATTTTTGGAGCGTTAGTGAATTAAAAAAAAGCAGTATAAAAACCGGAATGTCCAACTGATAAGGCTGAAAATTTTTTCACTTGTTATTTACAGTAAGATAAATACATTCACCAACTTTTATTAAAATAAAACCATTTAAACTGGGTGTTCGGATTTATATTTCACTTAGTATAGATATCCTCATAGTGGCAACTTATTTTGCCACAAATCCAGACTTTTGTTCTGTAGAATTTAGAATCGTTAATACTGCTACGTAAGTATAACGTTTCAACTTGTGAGAGTGCGTACAGATCTGGAGAATTTCCAATGAACATTTACAAAAAAAACTTTTTTTTATTCCGGCGAGACTTATTCAATACCCAGTTGTGCACCTTCTGGCCAGATTTTCGTATGTTCGTCTTTAGTGGGAAATAAATGTGCAGTTTATTAGGAGCACTAAGGGCCGATTTCACCAACATTATTATTATGGACCAATAGGAAAATACCTTATCGAAATGCAATTTGACGGAAGCTGTCAAAGGTCTCAGAATATCAGTGATTTCTATTAAAATGTTGAATAAAATCGTGAAAATTCGACTATATTATAAACAAGACCACTTTTTGATTCCAACATGATGCTTTTGTACAGAGAAAACAGGACAACTTTCATGTATTTTGATTTATGTTATAGGTGTACATTTGACCATCCGTTATCCCCTCAGCGAATGGGAATGGGAGAAATAATAGGTCGATTTTCTAGCTGTTAAATTTGGCAGCAGGTTTGGTCGTTTGTTAATTCATGGCAATCTCGAAATTTGTTAAGTTCAATATACTGTGTGTATATTATGAGATCATTATAGCTACACATACCTGTTGAATTGTGCGGATTTGCAAGAAAATAGAATATAAAATATATTCCAACCAATTCCGCATCTCTCTTTACATCATAATTTGTTATAAATTCATTGGTTAATGAATATCTTCAAAGCAATCAAAACAATATGTCGTCCCCATCCTAAAACACCGATATGTGTAAAACATGTTAATCCCTACATCTCCGAGGTGCATAATGCAATTACTGTAGACATAGACCTAAAATTATTAGTAATTACTGTAAAATAATGTCGGGCTCATGCACGATTTAACGTAACCGAATTTAAGGATCAGCTGTCTCTACACCAGTGTCCTCCACGTGTTACGCCGCCAGATGGTAACTAGCTAGTGATTTCCGGTGGTGGTCAACGTTTTGTTGACGTCACAGCCATTTTTTGACATGATTCGGGTGGTTTCGGAACTCGTCTTACCCTTGGATAGCCCTTTCTATACTGTTCTATGCTCGTATTGACGTAATTATAATAATTCTGTGTCTCGTGTTCCACGACGATTTACGGTCAAAGCCAGGCGGTGAATCATCTGTTGTTTTTGTTTTGAGTTGTTGACGAATTTGCGGTAGAGATTTGTTTTGGTGTTCGTCTTCGGGTGTGTTTTTCTGCCTTGAACTTGTTTTTTGTGCGATTAATTGAGGATGACCATGCCTAGAGCAAAAAAAACGAGAGCCGCGCTGGTATCAACTCCTGACCGTGGTGAAGAGGTACCTGCAGAAGGCACCTGAACGCAATCGGACATCGCCAGAGGAGCGCCTAATGATGACGTCATGTACACGTTAAATCTGCACGAACCCCTAAATACGTGGTTATGGTGCGACTGATCATACACTGAAATTAAAACAAAGAACTGCAACTGCAATTGTATGTATGAATGTTGAAACTGTTGAACAGTTTCGGACCAGTGGGGTTAAAATATCGTTGAGGAACTGGAAAGAAGTGTATGAATGTGTTGAAATGCAACACCTAACAAAAATTTGAGTGAAAAGGCTTTTTCATGTAAGGGTTTGGAAGTGCAAGTTTGCAAATATAGGATAAACTATAAGCACACAGTAGGTGATATAATCACATATGGATTACAAATGTTGCAGTAAACATGGAAAAACCTTCAGCTAATCTGAAAAAATAGATTTTACTCAGACATCAAGCATTTTTAAAAATTTTGGCTCAGTTTTACATAATTTCATAATATTTAATAAACTGAAAAGATTTCAATGGCAAGCTGTCACTTCATATTTTACAGTGTTTTGTTTTGAATACTTTGATGCTATTTGCTGCCAAAAATTTGACGGAGAGATCTTGAGGCTGATTGGGTATATTTAACGGACTGTTTGGTACTCGTACCCTATTGGTGCAGAATAATGGTTTGTTAAATTGTGAAATCCACCCTTAAAGAGGTATTTCCATAATGGGGCATCAAACAGTATTACCAATAGTTTTTTGTACTCATAATTCTCACGAGCAAACTTTAGATACACGCGAATAGCTTTGGTTGACGTTTTAGATTAGCTGTCATCTTACACAATCACGTCACATCATCGGATTGGTGCGTTAATGGGTCTAGTTCAAATTTTGTTGACAAATCACTTTTTATCGGCATTACAAGTTTAAGTAAAAAGGAAATTTGAAAATTATAATACATATTTGCACCCAAAAAGTAGTTTAAAATTAGTTTTGAAATATCGTCAAACTGGTACGACAAATTTTAAAACCCAGCTCTTCTTTACTTTTGGTACGTATTGTGTCCTTTGTCAATTACGTACGTAGAATCTGAGGCATAAAATATAAATTATGACCTACTTCCTTGGATTCTGGTTCTGCAGCTTTCAACAGGTCACTAAACGCACTGCATAACTTTCTGGTAGCATCCAAAAGCTTTTCGCCCATGTTTCCGTCGTCCATCAAGGCTGCTATCATCTTGACATCCTTTGTCATTTCTGGCAGATTGCTACCAATCGTCGTGATCGCCGCACCAACTGCATGATGGTCGACTTCATCCTGGGGTCCTATAGTACAGACAACAGTAATCATTCCTCAATAACTACGTATTTCAATGTTTATCTAACAAGAAACAATAATAAAACCATATCTTGCCCACTATTATTTCCAATTACAATATCGTACAGTTCTGGTTATATCACTCAAATCAAGTATTAAACTTTAAAGTGCATGTTCTAAGCTCTTTTTGCTCTGAATTTGACAGACACCATGATTTTCGCAAAGGTATGTCTACATTGACCAATAAATTGGACAGAGAGGAACTTGTAATTACTATCATTTGGCTTAAAAAGTATATTTAATACAGTTGTCAAGGATAAAATGGAAAATATGGAGACAGGGGTAGTATCAATTCATGGTTTCTTGCTTAATAGGTCGTAACTTTGCTGTTGAAATTCATGGATCGCTGTTCTCGAACGCCTGCTCTTTCTGCTTTTCATCAACGATTTACCAGACCACATCACTGAAGGCGAAGCATTTTTATATGCCGATGACACTACTACAACAGTTGCTGCTCCGTCAAACACCGAATTGCAACTGAAGGTGAAGAGTTTGCTAACTGGTGTAACCTAAACAATCTAATGATTAATCACGATCAGGGTAATTCTCATTATTGATTAGAACAAGTACCAAAAAGTAAAAATATCTATACGATATAACTAATGCTGGATTCCAATTGCTTTGGTGTTGCTCTTTATTAGGAAAAATACCCTCCGAGCTTGCAGGCCCTTAAATACTGAATTATGGGAGTCATACACGGTAGTGACCTCAGATCCACGGAAGTGACTCCTCAGATTAATGTATGGAAGAAACAAATCCAAATATTTTCAATTGTTGAATCTTTATTCATCATCAATACTAGGTAACAAAAGCACTTTTAACTCGTATGACTAAAAATACAAATCAAACAACTTCGGCTTATTGCCTTACACAAAAATGCTAACTAAAAAGTATTTTCCTAAAGCATGCAAAAATCAGTCTCCAGCGTTTTCTTATGTGATTGGTAAAGTTTAAGCAAACATCCAACTACATCAACGACTACCTTAGTAGTACTACTCTGTCAGCCTACTTATATCACAGGCGTTCATTGTATTGTTTGAGATCAATATTGCTAAATAGTAACTCTCCGCGCCGACCAGGTGTAGGCTCTTTTAAAATAGTTACATCATCATCCCGAGGAACATCCAATATATCTTCATGATCTATCCACACAAAAATAGCATGCCCTTCGGTAGCCTGTTTCTTTTTCGTGGATTTAACCCTGGGCTCATTACCATCAAATCCAATTACTTGTCCAATGAAATACTTTTCTGTTTTTTGACCAAAACCTTGCAACAATCCTTCTATTAGTAATACAGAGTTCAAGTTTGGTGGTTCATTCTCGTTCCTTTCAATCAGAGCACCGGCTTTTATATTCCCTTGCAGACTAGACAAATCATTTCCATGCGTGCTAGGCCGTGAAGTGACATTGTCATCTTTGAAACTCAATATATTGAGATCGGTAAAACCTTTCAGCAATGAATAGTGAGAACAAATTTCTCCAGGTCCGCAAGAAATTTAAGATCATTGTCTCAAATGGATCCTAGCTGGATTCTTAAGGTCCCAGGTAATTTGATGGATTTTGAAAGTTCCACTAATGGCCTTTATTTGGGCATTGGCCAAGAATCTGTCTATTGCCTCTAACTCAATTTCCGTTACAACAAAGATGAATAACATTACTTGTGTTACCCTCTACAGACTTTATAAAACTGACAAGGTCAGGGATGTCTTCGCCTTGAGCTACTTACTATCCGATCTGCTGTCCGTTTTACAGTTGCCCCCACACTGTCCATTGGGCCCTTGCTACACCTTTTTAATCCTATATTGCGCAATTGGCCCATCGCTCAACACATGCAAAGTTTTGATTGGATTCGACAAACATCACCAAAAAAATTTTGCATGTGTGCAGAAATTGCACCAGCGTCATGTCGCAGGTAGTCCGAAAATGTACAAAAGCATTTACTTTTCACCATATCAGTTTCAATGCATTTGTAGTAGTATACGGCGGTATGTAATGCTATCTGGTGTCTCGAGGCCCCAAAATGTACTGTTTGTATTTCATCGGAGTAGTTGCAACACTAATTTTCTGCAAAGTCTACTATTTCTTCTATAGAAAGGTTTGACTTCAGATGGGTACTGGCTAAGTAATGGTGCGTTATATTGTACTGGTGGTGCAAAAATTTATCCAAAGCCTCCTTAAACATCAAGAACAGCGTCTTCTTCGTTATTTTAATTTCTCTCTTCACAGTTCTTCGTATTTCTTTTTCCTCGCCTTTTATTATTCTGGTTTCTTTTTGCGTGATCCATGATTTATAAGTTGTTTCAATAGAGTCGTCAAAAGTATTTATTTTTGCAACTCTATACTTAGAGGCCATACAGCTGCGTAACATACATGTCTCTGAATTGATGTCACACACTACAGTTTTACACACCTCTCGTGAATTCTTAACAGAAATTATATTTTATTATTTTAATTTATCAAACATTAGCTGCATGTTTTCGTGAACCACACATATACAAGTGTCTCTTTCAGAAATCTTACGTGACATAATCCAAAAAGGCTTAAGTCTGCAAAAAGAAGAGAAGCTTGTTTTCAGTAGCAAAACATTATTACGTTTTCATATTTATAGAGTGAATCTATTAAAGATATTTCCCTTTGTTTTTAAGCATTCACTCCGACAGTTGAGCCATATGCCATCTTTAAGACACCAGTGCCCTCACATCCACGAAAGGGACATGTTTTATGACTAAACAATAAAAAAAATATGAAACAATTTTGACCATTATTTTTTCTAGAATAACTGTACATTATGTATATTCATAACACCACAAATCACAATTGCATTATTCAGCTAATGTCAGTTAGAAAATTTATAATCACAGTACCATTTTCCAAAAATGAGAATTATCCATAAAACAGTAGCTGTGAATATAAGATCTGTGTGAAAGCAGTCCTATAGTCTCTTAATGGCTACAACCGAGATTTTTAGTGATGGATTGCTAACTAAACCGGTTAAACACATATTGACAGTGTTTGCAAAAAGCTAAAAACAGGCGATTTCGGCATAAATAAAAAAAATTGCGTAAGTCGTGAAACCTTGATTAGTGTCTACTACTCGTCATATAATATCATTGATTGTCCCAGCTATCGACAGTCTTCATCACGTAAAAAAGAATAATTAGAAACATGTTCAATTTATTGTTCAGAACGTCCTATAGGGATTATTTCAAGAAATATAAACTTTTGACCGTCCCCTCAATTCATTTGCTAAAGCTACTTACTAACCTATAGGTACTCATAAACAAATGTACTTTTCAGAATAACTCGCACATCCATGATTATAATACGAGGAATAAGGTACCGATTTTGCTTAGATAAGCATAACTTACTCCCGAAACGTCGTCTAGTCACGCTGCTACCCGAATGTACAATTATTTACTAGAATCGATTAAGCAAATAGATAACGTTATGATCTTTAAAAAGCACCTTAAGAGACTGCTCTTATCTAACACTTTCTAAAGCGTAGATAAGTTCATTGTATTTTTCAGGGACCTGAAATAATATAATTGTCAGGTGGTCCATTAACTTGGTATTCACATGTCTTTTTTAATTTTTCTGTATTCAGTTTGTTTGTTCCTTTAGTTTGTCTTTTATTTGAATTTTAATATGTTATAAGTAAGGCGTATTCCTATCTATACTTATTACGTATATATATACCTAACAAAGTAATTTGAATTTGAATCGAATTATTTACAATTAATATCTGAAAGCTGTATTTTGTTGGTACATAGGTGGTGCTCTACATTAAGATGTATAGTAGGCACGTTTTGAATGAACATACCTGTTTAGTAAAGGTACGTTTATACTAGAGATTTATATCATTATCTCAGGTATCGAGAAATACATAAGTGTCACGCAATAAAATACCTGATACCTCTAGTTGAGAGGAAATTCTGATATAAATTGCTGTTCTGTTTAGACACATAGAGAATTAAGATCTCTCGACACTTTTTCTGTCCGTCTACCGTGTAGTTTCAGTTAAAACTTTAATATGGCTTGTAGTAAACGTCCGGCTGCTGCAATAATAATTTTATTATTGGACGATAAAAAAAGAAGGAAAAATAAAGTGTGGGTGAAGAACTGGTTATGTAGAAGAAGTACTGCAGGGGCTTACACTCAGTTAATTAATGAGCTAAAAGTTGAAGATCCAATACAATTACAAAATTTCGCGAGAATGTCGTCAACAGATATAGATAATTTAATAAATTTGGTGGGGCCATTGATAAAAAAAAATGACACCAAAATGAGAGGAGCAATTTCAGTGAATGAAAGGGTGCTTGTCACCTTAAGATATTTAGCCACAGGTATGAAAGTTTTATTTTTCTGTGATAGCAGAGGTAAAGAAACAATAAATTTTAGGTGACAGCTACATTAGTTTGAGCTATCTATTTCGCATATCAAAGTCTGCAATATCGGGTATAGTTTATGAAGTGTGTCTAGCCATTGCCATTGGCTTAAAGGATTATTTAAAGGTAAGTAATTAAAGAAACCTTTATTAAACTAATTGGACTATACATTAATTGCTTACTAGAATCAATTATTATTGATGTAATAAACTAGAGATCAGTATACTCATTTGACACAGTATACACAGAGCTCTGACTTAAATTGGATGGAGGATTGTAGTCAAAAGTTGATGTAGTGGAAGTCGATGGGGTATTTGAAAATTGTACCAAGGAACTCATTTCTTCATCCTCCTCTGCAATTTCAAAAGCGAGTTTCTGAATCCCTCTCTTTAATTTTCTTTTCAAAAAATCGTGACGAAATGCCCTAAGTTCACCAGCAATAAACGAACCGAAGATATCATACTCATCATTTGAAAGTGCGCTTCGTGCTTTCGTAAGTAATTCCTCCTTATCGTCTACTATATTCGCTTTCTTTTTCACCGGCTTACTGGTTTCTTGGGTTTTTTCTTTGATGGAGTCAGACGTGCTTTCTTCATTTATATTCTCCAAAGATGCTGAGAGAGCTTTTCCCCTTCATCACATTGTTCCTAAAAATAGAAATAAAGTTTGCATTATAATAATTAAATTTACCCTAAAAAGAATTGTCTTTTAATGCTATTCTATTTTATATTACAGATGCCAACAACAAATGAAGAATGGTTAAAGATAAGTTGTCATTTTGCCGCTAGTGCTATGCCTGGTATAATCCAGCGAAGTGGTATAAATCTACCAAAGAAGCCATTGCCTGGACGACGACTAGCGGTACCCCACATAGTCGTCGCAGATGACGCTTTTCCACTTCAAGAATATATCATGAAACCTTATAGTACAACAAATATACCAGGCTCCGCAAGAATTTATAATTATAGGCTTTCGAGGGCACGCCGAATGGTGGAAAATGTTTTCGGCATAATATCAAGCGCTTTCCGTGTTTTACGAAAGCCTATCCTTCTTAAGCCCGAAAGAACGGATTCTGTAATATTAGCTGTATGTACGTTACATAATTTTTTGATGACAAAAAAATCTTCAAGAAAATTGTATGCAACAGATAATGTATTTGACAGAGAAGATGGTAATGGTGAAATTGTACCCGGTAGTTGGAGAATTGAGGGACTTCCAGATCATAATTTGCTGCCCCTTCCCCAACAGGGATCTAATAATTACTGTAATACTGCGAAGGAAATTTTAGATGAGTTTAGAGATTATTGTAATTCACCAGTACAAATGTAAGTAAAAAAGGAGAAAAATCTGTAAGTAGCCCAGAGTACTACATATTTGCAAAAAATAACATATGTACTTACCATATTTCCAGTTGTTTGTCGTGTCTGTAAACTAGTTTTTATAAACAATAAATTTTTGAAATAAGGTCATTTTGTCCTGATTTTTTAGAATTAATTTTCTTTAATTCCGTATTAAATTATTATTTTATTTTTATATTCATTGGAAAGTACATTCCACAAACAAGGGTGTTGTTCATAGCAAGCAATTAAATCGGTCATTTCTGCACGTGTCCATTATGTTTTATTATCGGACATTTTACCTATTGTAAACACTCTTACAACGTAAAATAAACAGCATAAAGTATGCCGAGAGACTGCTAAAAAGTAGACGGCCGGCCAACTCCTGCGAAATCTATCAGAAACTAGTTGAGACTTGTCTCAGCGTTGTTTACATTTACGACATTTTGTCTCGATCATTTTCTCTCAGCTATTTGAATAAATCTCGGCTAGCGTCTATCAGGAAGGTTTACATTTGATATACTTTATTGCAGAGAGAAATGTAAGGAATAAAATCTCTAGTATAAACGTACCTTATAACACAAGTGCGGCAACATTTCTGAAAAGTAGAATCATCGCAGCTTAAACAGAGCATATATTTATTAATAGGTCATAATGATTAAAATTTACAACAATATGGTAGTTTTCAGAAACAAAAATTTTAAAGTTTTTGCTAAATTTCCCTTTTTGTGCGACAGAAGAGGATTTTCTTATCTAGGTGTTGTCTTTGCCTTGTTTCATGTATCATTTACATATTTATGACAATGTTTGTATGCATATCTAATGTAACTATGCAACTTGTAGCTTTTTACAAAGCATTTGTAATTGCATATTTTGCATTTCTCAACTATATCTAATACTTTTTTTGGAGTAAGATGGAAATGAATATATATAAAAAAAATCAGATTGTTGACGGCGATTTATTTACCAATTTTTGGGGTTGTTTGTTTTTATCTGGATACGCCAGTGATCTTGCCGAATGGGACATCAAACATGTCCATGTTTCAGGGCAGTCAGAGTTTCAATTGGTATGCAATACAAAAATTCTTAGTAATCATTTAGATGAATTCTTGGATTAGCACACCATATCTCTGAGGTACCTATGTCAAAGATTAAGTTCAATTTATGGAATCCGGGTATATGAATGGAAAAAGTGAGAAAATTATATAACATGCAAACTGTGAAACAGTGCTTAGGTACGAACTTATTTTCTGAGGTAGTAATAGTGCAACCACCCAGAATTTTTATTATATAAATACGGGTGCTTAGGATAGTTAAGAATACGGGGTACAAAGATAGCTAGCTGTAGGAGCTTTTAGACACAATGGCCTCTTTTCAGTATATGGAGTATACATAGAAAGATTGATTTTCCTTATTAAAAACAGAGATATGTTTGACCTATAAGTGTATCATACCTACAATACAAGTAAGACTCCATCTTATGCATGCCTAAAAGCTTTCAACTGCCTGCCAAACACAATAAAATGAATCAACAATGAGAACATTTTTAAACGGGAGGTCAGGAGGCACTTAGTTAATATAGAGCCATATAGTTTAAAATACTGCCAGAGACTGAATACCTGCAAATTTTGATAACGCTGTTTCTCTGTATGTCTTATGCATATTTGTTGTAACTGTTACAAGAACTGTACTGAGATTATAATTAGAAATATAGATTGTTTTTATTTTATTTGAATCACTCACCTGACGTTAAGGTGACAACCTGAGCGGTAGCCGCGTTCATAGCCGCGATCTGTGAGCCCACATTCTGTTTCCTGGTGTCCAAAGTGACTTGCTTCCATTTCCTTGCCGACATGTCGGTGCCCAATTCGGGAATGACCGCCTTGCTTTCCAGTTCGATCTCAGATTCCTTGATCTTCGTCTGAGTTTTCGAAATAGTTGAAAGCAGTGCGCGTTGTGGTTCGTTCATCACCTGGAGGATCCTCGTTTGTTGGATGGTAGTCGTCTGGAAAGGATAGAAAATCACGATGAAAACTCCCAAAATTGCGTGTATCCATGCAGTTTTGTTACTACGCTTCCAAACATGATTCCGTGCACCTCAGCAGCATTTTAGACAAAAATAAGGTAATTTTCTTCGGTACGGCGTACTGAAGACTGAAGATGAGCATAACATAATGAACTTTAACAGGTGAACTCTAAGTGAAATTTGGTTTTCTTTTTATTAGTTTGACAATGCAAACATACCCCTGTCTTTCAGACATAAATATTTGCTACCTACAAACATATATAACTATACAGGGTGACTTCGAAGTTGAGTCATTTATTTTAACAGTGAGTAGATCTGATCAAAAGAAATGTTTTTTTCCTTTACCAATCTTCTGGTAAAATTAAAGTAACAAAGTTATAGCCCTTTGGAAGTTTGAGTACCGCCCTGTCTCAATAATAATATCATGTACTCGTGTTTGGCAACAACGGATATAATCCGCCTTACCGGTACATCGCATCGGAAACAAAAAAGCGAAAGAATTTGGAACGACGTTTTTGCAATTAAGTATTTTATTCAGTTCAGTTATACATACAGTCGGTTAGCGTGTGAATAGTGTCTGTTGCGTGGCTCAAACGAAATAAAAAATGGCACATGTTTATGCGGATCGGTTTCCCAATCGAGTGCAACCAACCCCTCGTGCCTTTGTTAATGTAGTACAACGGGCTCGTGAATCAGGTGACTTGAAGACCTCACAGGGGACCTCACGATCAAATACAGGTCCGCACTGAAATACTTGTCGGGAGGATACTTTATAAAACAAGGTAAAAATTTGTTTTTAATTTTTTTTTATTTTTACACACATATTCTGGTTTATCTTCCTTCTACAATCATTATCTGAAAATTAATGACTCAACTTCAAAGTCACCCTGTATATACATAGTTGTTCACATGATACGTATAGCATGCAGATCAGAATTAACACATGACTCTCAGAATATGCGAATTTGTCTATCATGCTTCAAACTGACAGAAAAAATGTATGGCACTTTTAAGGACATTTTAAAGCAAATATTAGGAGAAATCAAATGTAAGTATATATTCCAAATTTCTCAAAACTAGCGATATTTTCCTATGTTATTCCAATTTTTGGAAGATATTATATATAGATGTTTAAATTAACTATTAAACATGAAGGCCATAAAAATATTACTGTATATTTTGAAGAAAATCCACCGTCTAAGTTTTGGAATATTTGAATCGAAGGATAACTAGACAATTCACATTGCATTTTATATAAAAATAATAATAATAATAGAAAAACATGTAAGATGCTGAACGAGGAAACTTGAAAAGCATAGAAACGTGGACAATTTTAAAGGAATCACCTATACCCTTTTTGAAACATTTGGCTGCCAGGTATAGATTTCATTGCATTCAATTGCTAGGTAGTGCTGTTGGCTTTCGGAGATGGTAAATATAGTTCACCTCAGACAATTTTACCTCCGATTGTTGCGTTACTCCTGACTTGACTCTCAGAAGATTTTCCTTAATACCTTCATATGTAGTTCCTATCATTATAGAGTTTAGAAATATTAGAAGCAAAAGCTGAGCCACAGACTTCGTTGCATTCAATTGCTAAGTAGTGCTGTTGGATTTCAGAGATGGTAAATATAGTTCACCTCAGACAAGTTTACCTCCGATTTTTGCGTTAATCCTAAATTGACTCTCAGAAAATTTGCCTTAATACCATCATATGTAGTTCCTATCATTACAGAGTATAGAAATATTAGAAGCAAAAGCTGATACTTGAAAATAAAATATGAAAAATATTAAAGTGACATGATATCTGTAAAAGTTCGAAGCAAAAGAAATACGTGCAGTTGCTTAAAAAAGAGAAAGTTATCTGTACCTACTCTTGCACCTTGTCCTGGATCAGGCATGAAAATATGTTTGTTGTTAGTAGTATACAAACGAATACGAACTATTGTTAACAGTTAAAAACTGAAGAAAATTACGTAAATGTGCATTACCTTTGGTGGAGCATGTCCATAATTGACGCTTCCACTCACTGTGATCTGTTGCGTACTGCTCATCATGCCCATACTGAACGTTTTTTCTCCTAAGAATAAACAACAAGCGAACCAAAAATAAATAAAAAAATCTATAAAATAGCCCTATTCTATCTACCATGAAAATAAAAAGAAACAATACTATGCAGATGCGTGTTAAAATGAAGCTACTCCATTGATACTAATTGAATTCTAAAAACTTGTGAAAATGTGCCCGATATTTCATCAATTTCAATTTGAACTAAATATTTATTTTTGAATGAACTTACCATCAGCTGCTCTCATTACAGCAGGTTTAGCCAACGATTCTGTTTCGATTTTTCCGACTTTACTTGACTCGTGTTGTAATATTGTGGCTCTGAAACGAAATTATTCTCCAATAAGAATACTGCTCATGAAGTCACCACCTAGAAACTTAAATTTGAAAAATTCTCGTAAATCGTATAGGATGCTTTCATGGATCAGAGAAACCGTTTTTCATTAAACAACATTAAGACAACAAATTTTGTAGCTCTTACAAGAAAGAACTGGGCTAATCTATGAAATGTCACATGTTTGAGAAGATCAAAGGTGACCACTATTCCTAATTTTCATGTCCAAGTCTGAAAAGCAAATCTTAGAATTTTGTTTTATGTATGTCCTGGAGCAAAGCTACTATTAACTTTGAGCCTAGCTTTATTTGCTACACCCTACTTTAGGACTTTGTATCAGCAAGAAAAATCTTGTTGAAATCCATAATACTGATTTCAGACAATGTCTGGATTGCACAGTTTCTCATAGGACATGATTGCTTTGGAAGAATTTTAATGTGTATGCCGTAATTTAGAGAATCTTACACTTCCGACAGGATAGCTGATAGAAGGAACATATATCAATTGAGGTTTTCTACCCGAGAGTAGCTATAAAAAAGCTTTCCCCTGTCTATATTATTCTTAAGAACCGTTAGATGGTTGTCAATTCTCAAACCAAAAATTAACACCTACTTGTGCGGTGCTACGCTCTCTTCAAACATAGTCGAACCCTCGTCACCCTCGATGCCAAAATGGTCCTTTGCTTGCTTCTTCTTCAAGATGATGTCGATATAACCGGCGATGATCTGCTGGATCTGTTCAGCTTCGGTGGTTTGTACAGAATAGTATTGGTCGGAGTAGTCGCCGAAGTCTAGCGTAAATGTGTTTGGGCTGGCACCCCATCTTCGGACAGTGGTCAAGGGCCAGGTTTGCAAGATTTCCTTTTGAAATGGAAATAATGATAATAAGGAATCAATCAAACAATCTCAACAAAAAAATGGTTCTTGGGCTGATTTCTATAAAGTTGCTGTAAATAAAATGAGTAGGACGGCTCGTCTTTTGTTTCAACTATTTCTAGGATATCAAAAATGTGGCATAATCCACCAGAATAGGATTTCTTTAGTTCTATTCACCTAAACAGTTCAAAAATTTGTCCAACAGTATATCATTAATTGCCTTATCTCTGTCCTTAGGTTTTGCCTCCAAGGCTGCTCCGATACAAAACGCTAATGCAATTCCAAAGACATACGCTTTCAAACTCTCAACTGTTATTTAATCAATATTAACGTTCGGTAGCACGTTGTTACAATTTTTTACACTTAATCCCCAACATTCAAACATATATTTATGGAAATAAGCGAAAGTTCACTCGATTTTGAGATATCTGAAGCCAATGAAGCAGGAATTTTGTTTAAATGCCTAACCCTGTGTTACGTAACATTCATGTACAATTCGAGCTCTCGATAAAATAATGTTAGTAGTAAGTGTTGCATTATAAATTCGTTAAAAATCCACGACGCATAAGGTCTTGGATTCAAGAATTCACTACTAGATAAATACTAATTGTTGATTACCTTCGTCTTCTCGTCTAGTCTCAAAACGGAGTCCTTGGTGACACCCAAAAGCCGCGGCACCAACTTGTTTTTCCCTTTCATCTTCTCTTTGACCAGGAAGAAAGTGACACCGTACGTAGTCAGTGACCTGGCATTTTTCGTGTATTTCACTTTTGCATCTAGTTCGCTCAAACCCTGGCATTTCCTATGCTCCTGAAAGATCTTCTTTTCGATACCTTTCACCTTGACGTAGGATTGAGGAAGGAACTCTTTCAGACTGACATGAAAATTAGAAGTTGATTGTTTAGTATTTATTGCAGTGTTAAAAATTACATAACTGTAACTATGAACAATGAATGTAAACATCCACAAGACTTAATCTGAAATAGCCGTGTTTTGTTGCAATTTTTGATCGAAAATCTACAAATTTTCTAACCACCTATTAGTAAAAGAAAATCAAAACATACAAGGTCTGTAAATCAAGTGATGAGACTGGCAACGTAGCGTTCGATCTGACAACACGGACTTGGAGGGTAGACAGGGGAACATGTGATCAGCCTTCTGCACAAGTTTGAACCCGCTCGAGTCATTTGGTTGTTCGTAGCGATTATTTTTGTGAAACACTTTTTCCTATTGTGCCCTGAAAATGCAGGCCTTCAGAGATAGCATTTTTAGAGGCTTTCATCTTCAAGAACCGATGAAAATATCGACTGAATCCGGGGTCTTATGCGTTCACATCGTCGGTTGCATCACGATAATGTCTAGTTATTCGCCTGATTTGAGTCCTTGTGACTTTCTTCTCTTCTCGAAGTTGAAAAATCACCTCAAGGGAACTGATTTTGGGACAGTCGAAAACATTCAAGGGGTTGTAACCGACCAGCTGAAGGCTATTCCAGTATCGGAGGGGTAGAAGAATCGCCTCCAGCGCTGCGTGGCTTTAGAAGGAAGTTATTTTGAGGGTGACAATATAAAATTGTAATTATATTTGGATAAAAAAAATAAAAAAAAAATCAGTCCCATCACTTAATTTACAGACAACATAGAAGAATATACTCGTAAATAATTAAAGTTGAATCATTAAAAATCAAAGTGTGAAACTTTGTTTCTTGGAAAATATTTTCTACCTAAACGTATATTATATACTCGTATTTCGTTTTGAGTAGAATCATTTCGAGATGTTCCGAGTAAATATTTTTTAGCAATACTGATTTGATTTTAGATGAAAATATACTTACTCTAAGAATCCAGGTTTGTGTTTTGTTTCAATGTAGTCTCCAAACTGTATCTGGCATTGAATTCCAGCAAATTCGCAAGCTTTATCCTGAGTAACTGGGTGAGTACCATTTAAAATCGCGTCTCTAGCTTGAACGTATAACAGATTTAACTGTACTGGGTCCCTGGAATCGATGTTCTGGTCTGAGAAAAAGAATTTTCTTCTTAGAAGTACGGTCTGGTTTTCGTCTATGCCTTGTTCCCTGTAAAGAATAATAACATGTGAGTATAAAGTAGGATTTTAAGACGAAATAAAGCAGAGTGACTATGAACCCTTCACAACATTAGCTTGAACATGAACAAATATTTGATCTTTTAATTACTAATAAAAACAATATACCCATAAAATATTTCATGAACACTATTCTAATAAAATCCAATCAGACTCTTATTAGATAACTGCATGGAAAGCACACTGTTAATCTAGTTAACGCCATTTTCACAATCGTCTGCCGGCTACGTATATGCATAGGGGTGAGTGAGTGTTATAACCGGAAGGCGAAAAACGGCTAATATTATTCAATACCTTAACTTGAAGCATGCCAGGGAGTGATATTCAAACCCTCGGGTCGGCTACGATGTAAATCGTCATTTTTGACCAAGCGCGAAAATTTCGCCAATGGTACATTTCGATTTCCAAAAGAATTACCAAACACTGGTAAATGACTTAGTTTTTTCATGAAGTACATGTTACCAAAAAAATTGCGTCAAGTAGGTTGACTGCACTTCCCACGCAACACCGTTATCAGTTCATAAATGATTATGTTCAGCACGAATTAGACCCTATGAGAAATAAGTCAGTCAAACGCGTCTATACAACTCATCCATAGACATCCTTTCCATATCCTACAGGTAGTACATTTGGGAATGTCGGCTCTCGCCGGTTAGACGTGGTACATGAACAGGATTCTCTGAAACGTCAAAAAACGAAGTTTGGGAAATTTTGTTTCTTTTTCGTTTTTGGCCTTTGTCGCTGCCGGCACTGGATCGATTTTCAATAAACTACAAAGCTTCTGCGTCCTTCGCATAGTAGTAACATTTTCTAAAAATTTAATCTAAATCCGAGCGGTACTACTCAAGTTATAGGCGGTTATAACATTAGCGGACAGACCAATGGAAATTAGTGACATGGTTTTTCGTGATATAACATAAAATCTCATTTTAGAAACATTCCGCGATTACACGCCAGTAGGCGTGGGAAGTAAAAAGATATCTTGAATTCTAATTTATCCACTATCACAAGATTAAATCCTAGATGTTCAGGTGCAAATTGAATACTTACCTTAGCGTTTTCGATGGATCCAACCAATTGACCTCATCATCTGTATGCAACTTCTTTCGCAGCTGTTCCATTTTCGCATCCCTCTCCCTTTCTTCTTTCTTCCTTTTCAACGTCAACGTTCCGTAATTCCTGTTGTCGATATTTTCCTGATTCTCGGCTTCCTCCAGCACCAACGAGTACTCATCGTGGTTGGTGATGCCAAGTTTCGTGCAAATAACAACCATCAAATTGGCGATGATCTGCGAATCGTCCACCATCATGGTCTTGATGGCGCCGTCAAGCATCTTCACACGTAAAGGGCGGTGCTTCTTTCTATACTCAAGGGTGTCGCCATTACGGAGAATGTAGTACTCCAGATTTCTGGCCGGCTCTAGCCATATGCCGGTTTTGTTGTCTTCGTCAGTGAGAAATAGGCCATAGTCTTTGGCTAGAAATAGAGAGAAGCTACCGAATTGCTAGATATCACTGATGTAACGGATGTAAATTCTTGGGCAATGCGAATATCTGTAATCGATTTTCGCGAATGTGAATATTCTGTTTTTCTTCTTTGTACATCATATCGGAATACAGTTGAAGGAAAGAAGGCCGGGAAGTTTTTATATTTGAAATTAAATGTTCGTCTAGTTTAGGTTGATTTATTTGTTGTTAAAAAACTATAGTTTGTTTAAAAAGAAGTTTAGGAATTATTTTATTATATATAACGATGGAAACCATCGTTAGGTGTTAACACTATATATCAATACACCCGAACACATTAATAATTAACGAAAAGCAATTTTGGGGACAAAAACCGGCAAAGTCCCTTCTAACCTCCTACATCTGTTTCATGTGGAGAAAATGAGAGGACCGGAAGAATGTTGCATCGACAGATGACAGGTGATTATCGCGAAGGAATGTGGAAATGTAAGCATCATTGTCAAACTTCAGGTATAGTGTATACGAGTGACGCTCGTAACAAATGTTTTCTAGCATCTCGTACTTATAAGCAACGGTACCGTAATATGCGACATCCAAGGCCGGAAACATTTTCCACACTACGAGAACGTTTTGAATCAAGTGGAGCAGTGGAATATAGTAAAAAATGTATAAATAATCCAAGTGTTACCGATGAGGCTAATCAGTTTGAGGTTCTATTAAAGTTGCAGGAAAATCCCCATTTAAGTGCACGGCAAATTGGAGCAGAAACTGATATATGCAGAACTTCTGTCCAAAGGATTATTCAGAAGCATAGGTACCATCCATATCACCTATGCTTGCATCAAGGCCTTCGTCCTCAGGATTTCGCAGCTCGAATGGAGTTTAGTAGAATAATGCTAAATAAAGTGAGTGAATACACTAATTTCCTGGATAAAGTTCTTTTTAGCGATGAGACAACTTTTAACAGCATAGGTGTTGTCAACAGGCATAAGATGCACTATTATGCGACGGAAAATCCTTACTGCGTTAGGCAAATAGATTTCCAAAATAAATGGAGCTTGAATGTTTGGGAAGGAGTTATTGGCAGACAAGTTGTCGGGCCTTTCATTTTCGACAACAGATTAACACGTACAGAATACTTGCATTTTTTTATCGAGCATTTGCCTTTGCTTTTGGAGGATGTGAACCTGCAAACTCGGATGCATATGTATAGTACTTCCAACATGACGGCGCACCTGCGCTTTATCATAATCGTGTGCGTAACACTTTGGACCCCTGGAGTAACAATCGCTGGGTCGGTCGTGATGGGCCTATGTCTTGGCCTCCTAGATCACTAGATATGACACCGATGGACTTCTTTCTATGGGGCTACGATAAGCAAGAGGTTTATAGATATCCACCATCTACCCCAGAAAATATGAAAGAAAGGATTAAGGATGCTTTTCTGAACATAAGGTAACACATGCCGAGGGATGTGCGACGGCCATTCATCCAAAGACTACGACTGTGTATTTAACATGGTGGAGATATTTTCGAGCAGTTTTTGTAGATTAGGTCTTGAATAGTGATAGTTGTTTGTTCATGTTGTTGTTATAGTTGTTTTTCTCTATTACGCTTGAAGCTGACTTATGCGGTTCTGATTGTTATTAAGTCGTAGTTTTTACGTCAAATCTGTACTCATAGTGGCAATATGGAACTAGCCCACTGTTTGTCTTTTGTTTTGGCGTTGGTGTGTTGTTCTATTAAAAGCTGAACAACTCAAAATATAGTGACTTTATCTGAATCAAACCTTATACAAAAAAGCTTATAGAAAATTGGTGCATTTGAAATTTTTGAGAAAAAGTACAATTCGCGTTTTTGACCACCCTGTATGAGCAAAAATGAAAATTCGAAAAAGTAACAAATAAGATAAAAGCTGAGGTATGTAAGTTTTTTTTTTATAGAAAATTTAGCACTTCAAATTTCAAAATGGCGGATTGAGGGGTTACCGAAGTGGACGGTTTTTCTGGACAAAACACCTTACATCTCAGTAGCTAATTACCAAAATCCCATAGTATATCAATCTTCTTCTTCTGAATTAGTTTATACAAAAATATGCAATAAAATTTGAGGCATTCCATTTAAAAAATCACAACTTTGATATGTAGGTCAAAATTGGGACTATTGCCTATATTTTATAAATGTGCCCTCAAATGTCACGTATAACATGCCATAAATAGATTTTCCCAAAATGTATTTGTTTATGAGTAATATTCCGTCCACACAAGGATGGGCCACCCTGTATATATAACATAAAGAAGAGAAGTTTTCGTGAAGAATAAAATTTTTGTTTGTTTAAGAGAGTCAGATCCCAGGGCAAGTAGACATCACTTATTTTCTAAAAGGCAAAACGTGGGGAAATGGAACATCCTGTATATTTTTAGCAAACAATATAATCCTTATTTTCGGATTACAAATGTATATCATTTATTATACAAGGTGGACCAGAAAGATGAATTTCAAAACCTACCGGCACGCGGGAGCGGGAAACGGGTAGTGGGGATAAGTAGCTCGGTGCTGCGAAATATAGTCGCCATGGAGCGTTTCAGCGGTGAACAGCGTGTTGAGGCTTATTATAAAAATGGAGATTCGTGTACTATTACGCGGCGTCTGTTTCGCTCTGAGTTTAGTTTACATGTTCTAAATCAATGTACTAGTCAAAGTGTGGATCAGGTCGTAGGTCAGAAAGTTCGAGTCTACCGGTTCGACACTACTCTGGGATCTTAGACTATAGTAAAAAATAATAAGCTAGGCCCACATATGAAAGCTGATTTTTCTTTAATCTAATGCCACAATTTTTATTACATATTCGCATGTAGCTCATTAAAAGAAGAATAAAGATTAATATAATTGTCTGGCTGAATAAAAAATTTGTTTATTGTACGACGTTTCGATCACCACTGTTGCCTTTTCTATGTACAATTAACAATTCTGTGACAATTGTATTTGAAAAAAGCCACAGTGGTGGTCGAAACGTCGTAAAATATACAGAAATTCAAACATATATGTAGTTTGATTGGGCCAGAAAATGGCGTTCTATGAACTTGAAAACCACAGGATAAGTTTCAGGATACATACATACGTATTTGTTTTGGTTATCAGTTGTTGAGCTATTGGGTATTTTATTTGAAGAACACTAAATTTTGATAGCCTGCAGACCTGCTATCTTGACAGGTGAAGTAGTGAATTTTCTAACAAGCTAAATGACCTATTTTTCTGAATGATCAATACAGGATGATCAAAAGCACAAAATGTACTTTTTGCCAAAAAGATTAAATGAAGCATCCGGTATACTCTAACATTTTTTGAGTTCACGTTTACAAGCTTTTCGTCAGACCAAATTTGGAGCAACCTATATAGTTATGAGCATTTTATATGTGTGCTCAGATACCATGTGTAATAACCCATACTTTGAAAAGTTTATATTTGGAAGCAATATTCCGTACCCGCATGGATAGAAAAAGTGACAATACTCAAAATATAGAGGACTAATATTGATAAATCGTCATGATAAATGTTTGTAAAATACCCCAATTAACATGCGCTTATCGATTCTATACTCACGTTGTCCAATAGCTTCTGTGCATTTCTCCCTGATTATCCTGCAGGCATCATGTACCGTGGTGGCCGGGTCGAATACGATCGTTTTCGTAACATTGCCGTCAATGATGTGGATCTTGAGCGACAGAGACATGACAACAGCAACTTATTGATTCTGGAACAAAATAAATACACATGTGAACAGAAATGGAAATTAAATAAAGCGAAACGTATAAGGGCCATTCTTGACATTTGTACGACAGATATGGGACCTCGCTTTCCTGGCAGAAGTGAAAGAGCCTTTTATGAATAAAATGGGAGTATATCACCGTGTTTGTTTTTACTTATTTACTAGCATTACAACACATACAGGGTGGCCCAGCGAAAAGGTCGCACCCCCATTTATGACTCTCCTGGTATATTTTGGGAAAAACGCTCGGACACGTCAATTTTGATTTATACAGGGTATTCCAAAAATAAGATATTGCGTTACACTTCACATTTTTAAATGGAAACCTCCTTTTCTAATTTTTAGATTTTCCATGAAGTTTTTAGTAAATTTTGTATTATAAAGTTTAAATTCAATATATGTGAAGTTATTTGAATTTATAATAAATGTATAATAAAATTCGACTTAATACTGATAATATAGGAATGCACAGCAAAAAATATGAATCGTGGATACCAGCAAGAACATTTAGCATCAGTGACTTATTCAATTCAAGAAAGGGAAGAAATGACAAAACTGTATTATCAAAATGGAAGCATTGCAAGGGTTACTGCCGGTTGTATGTGTCACGTCCAGACAAGAATATTAACGGTAAGTAAGTGGCTAAGTTGATAGACAATTTTTAAGAAAGTGAATCTGTGTCTAATATTTGCCGTAATCGCCATCGAGAAAATTGACCAGTTAGAAATGAAGCCGCAGAAATAACAGTTTTCGGATACGTAGCACTTGACAACACCCTAAGCACTCGTGGACCTTCTACTTCTTCAGGATTTACAGGCTCAACAGTACACAAAATTTTGAAAGACAACAAATTTCATCCGTACAAGATAAAACTTGTCCATGAGCTTCATGAAGACGATTTTGATAGAAGGTTGGAGTGTTGCGAATTAATGTCTCGACATTTAATCAACAATGCAAATCTGTTATTTAATATTTGATTCTCGGATGAGTGTACGTTCTATTTACATGGTGTTGTAAATAGAAATAATTGTCTAAATAACCAAAATAAAATTTGGATTATGACCACACTTTCAGGTAAACTATTCCAGGTGTTGAATATGCGGTTGGGAAGAAACCACTGTCGGACTGTTGTTTTAAATGGCTCCTTATGCAGTTTGAAGCTGTGTCCGCGTAGATTGCTGCGCGACAGACGGTATAGATGCATGAGGTTGGTGCCCATCAAACCATGAAGTATCCTGAACGTAACTATAAGATCGCCACGAAGTCTTCGCTCAGAGAATGAGGTCAGGTTGGATAATTCAAGGCGATCTTCATAGCTTGGTCTTCGTGCTCCAAAAGGGATACGAGTAGCCCGACGCTGTACTGATTCGACGAGATTTCTATCGCGCAGAAGCACAGTGTCCCATATCGGGCCAGCGAATTCAAGAATTGGCCTCACGAATGCCTTGTAAATGTAGGCGCAAGTGTTGACATCGGATCCTTTGAAAGACCTCTCCAGCATGTATAGAAGTTTCTTGACTTTTGATGTGACGTGGTGAATATGCTCTGACCAGGAAAGACGATCGTTGACTACAACGCCCAGATCAGTGTGGCTGGAAACTGCTTCGATGTTGTGGTCAGAGATCTTGTATGTAAATCGCGGATTTGTCTTCCCGAGGTGAAGGACACAACACTTAGTTAGATTTAAGGGTAAAAGCCAACTGACTGACCATTGACAAACAATATCAAGATCTCGTTGAAGCATAGCAGAATTTACGACAGTATTGTAAATCTTGGTGTCGTCGGCATAAGCTGAACATGTGGAGGAAATCAATGCGGGCAGGTCACTTGTATACAGAAGGAACAGCACAGGCCCCAAGACAGAGCCTTGAGGAACTCCACTTGCTATATGATGCAGGTGAGACTGGCTATCACTGACGCGCACAGAGAAAGTCCTCCCGGTGAGAAAAGCCTTAATCTACAGTAACAACTCGTTTTATGCTTGATACAACAACTTCCGGAACAAGCATTTGCCACGGCCCCGCTCCGTAGGGGTTGGGGTTTTTGAAATTCAATATAAAATGTTACAGTTATTTTTCAGACTTCCGTTGTCGAACTTAGATTTACGGCATAGTTGTTTTCCCAGTTTTCGAACCGGTGTTGATCGCATGTAAAAATGTTGGAAATCCTGGGAAAAAATATATCTGTTACATCGTAATTATTTTGATAATGCATGTTTTTACAAAACAAGTACAGAAATACAGGTATATATTCACGTATAGTGTAGCAGCTCTGTGGTTTAAACAAATTCAATATAGCAACATAAATAGACACATACGCGAGAAGAGATGCGGGACGTGTGGTATTGACTTTGAGCATCGATCGACGCACCGCTAAATAAATCTCATAAATGTTCCAATTTAGGCGTTCATCTAACATAGTGCTTCGCTGCAACACCAACCCCGAACAAAATCAGTCAAGCTTTACACACTTTCCAAATTACTATTGAGCAGCAAACAGAAAATAAATCACTTTTTAAGTGCAGTCTGTATAGCTGATATATTACCGATTACCCGGACTTAGATTTGTCACAAGTCACAATACTCGTATATACGTAAGAATTGTGTTGTCAAAGAGGGGCAGCATTTGGAATACCAAAAAATCGCAATGCTCAGTTCCTACAGCTATAACTTATAGTTAGTACGCCTCTGTCGCCATGATGTGTCAGAAAGTAACACAATGGTGTTAGATTACAAAAGCAAGTGTCAGACGTGGGGGTGGGAGGCGCGCCCCCCGCTCACCCATCTAAATCCGCCACTGGGAGCTGCTATTATTATTATTTGTATATTTCAATAGATTAGTTTGACTACGGATGCTAGCAACGTCAGAGTGGCTTCCCGGTGAGATAAAGCCTCAGACTAAAAATATAAATAAACAAATATATGCGACGCTGCCACTTCTCCATACTGAAAAATCTATTGAAAATGGAATGAGATATTGGTGTGCACTCCGCCCGAAATGAAGGTGGACTTAAATAAGGTGTGGACGCTCCGGTCGATCGTGGGTAGATCAAACAACTGCTCCTAGGCAGTTGTCAACGTTATTTTAAATTTTAAAAATTAACAGAGAACACATAAAGTCACCAGTAGTAGCAACAGAAATGGTATGTGAATACAGTTTTCCTGAACAAGATCGAACAACAGGTAGTAGCACCCTATCAGCTTCGCTGTCAGGTATCCAGTCATTATCTGAATCCGCTACATTAAGTGCTTCACAATCAGGTACTGGAAGTATCCCAGTGAAACCACAGTCCCGTACCCATGCCTAACTAACTACTTTTATTTTCAAGATCAGCCAGCTAATATCAGTCTTTATTTTGGTGCATTGTATTTTCATTATTTCAGGATTTTAAACACATTCATAGAAGCAAAAGGTGACAATGAGGAAGATAACCTCAAAGAAAATGATAGTGATGGTGAACCTCCACGGAAAAGGTATTAAGCTTTTATTTTGATTCTTCAAGTATAGTCTGGTGGTAATTAAACCTGAAGTAAAGATTTGATAAAAGGTGACGTTTATATAGATTTGGCGTTTGCTTTATAGTAGCATTTAAGCTTTCAATGTTTCAGAATGAAAACAAAACCTATTCGATACTTCGGCGATATACGTTATACTGATTTGGAAAACCCACTTAAAAGGTCAATTTGCTGGAAAGTCATTCAAAACACGTATAAGAAACAAACAAAGACAATTGACTGTTTACGAGCCAAATCAAGAAGACAAGCAAACAAAATTTGGTCTCTTCAAGCATTGACAAACCATTTGAAGCGAATGAATACGATATCGGAGAATGCTCAACACAAGCTTGATGTAAGTGATTACATGTTTATTTTTTGATTGTTGTTAAAAATCCTCATTTCTCAGGGCTCCATTGCAGAAGACATTTTCAACAAAATTCAAAGAGGCCGAAAAAAAGAAAAATATAGTGCAGAACTGCGTCGTTTTGCGCTAACTTTACACTTTTATTCAAAAAAGGCGTACAACTATGTACGAACAAATTTGAATAAAATATTACCCCACACCAGTACCATAACTAAGTGGTATGCAACAGTTAATGGGTCTCCTAGATTTTTGACAGAGGCTTTACAAGCACTGAAAATAAAAGTCACAGAAGCCAGAAACCAAAAAAAAAAGATCCTCTGCAATCTAGTTTTTGACGAAATGTGCATAATGAAGAACGTAGAGTGGGATGGGAAGCGAACGTACGGATACGTGGACCTAGGCATTGGTGATGCAGGTGACACTGGAGACACTGTCGAAGAGGCAAGAGAGGCGCTAGTGTTCATGCTAGTTGCACTGAATTGTTCTTGGAAGATACCAGTTGGCTATTTTCTCATTAATGGACTCACTGGCGCAGAAAAAGCCAATCTTTTAGAGTTTAGAGTTCGTCCACTCATCAGGTGTCACAGTTACATCAATTACATTTGATGGAGCGCCCTCAAATGTTGCGATGTGCAACCTGTTGGGAGCAAATTTTAACGTGGAAGGCGACTTCAAATCTTACTTTTTGCACCCAATCACAAAAGACCCTGTCTTTATATTTTTTGATGCTTGCTATATGGTTAAATTGATAAGAAACTGCTTTGGGACATTCAAAATACTGACTGATGGAAATGAAGAAAAAATCCAATGGACCTTCTTAGAAAAGATAGCTAAGTTGCAAGAAGATACTGGAATGCATGCGGCAACAAATTTGAGGAAAAAACATCTCCAAATGAGTGAATGAAAAGATGAAAGTTAAACTTGCCATCCAGACTTTGAGCAAGAGCGTTGCAGAAGCATTGGACTTTTTGAACAAAGATCTGGCTATGGCCGACTTCAAGGATTCAGAAGCTACAGCATATTTTTGTAGAACAGTAAACAATTTATTTCATGTTTTTAATTCAAGGAATAGGATGTCAAAAAAACCTTATGAGAAACCGTTGTCACCTGCTACTGAATAATATTTCAATTTCTTAGAAGAAGCGAAGGATTATTTGAAATCGTTAAAATTAGAAGACACTAAAGTTATACTTTCTAGAAGAAAATTAGGATTTTTGGGATTCATAATTTCAATAAACAGTTTAAAGGGCCTGTATGAATATAGAGTCAAAGAAACCAAAGAGCTGAAGTACCTTCTCACATATAAATTATCTCAAGATCATTTGGAAATTTTCTTCAGTTGTATAAGAAGCAAAGGAGGATACAGCAATAATCCTACCTCGAAGCAGTTTCAGAATATTTAAAAAAAAAGTATTACTTCATACTGAAATAAGTGGCAATGAAGCATCCAATGTCGTGGCATTAGACAGCACATCCATTTTGCACTGTTCATCATCATCTTTAGAGATCAAAATTAGTGAGGATATGACCTCATCATCAAACAGTATAGAGGAAGATTTTATACAATTTAAAAACTTTCTTCGAATAAGTCCTTGGCAGCTTACGATGTATCTGGAAGATGTTGTTGCATATGTTGCAGGTTTTGTTGCGAAGAGGCTAAAAAAGTCTATAAAATGCCAGAGTTGTTTAGATTTGTTAGAAACTTCAGGAGAGTCTATATCGAAATTACTAATAAGAAAAACGTATGGAAAATTAGTTAAAGCCTCCGCTTTTGTAATAAATGTGTGTAAATATGGAGAACATTGCTTTAGGTTATATAAGGAAAGGTTAGAAGTTGGCAAAAAAATATGACAAGAGTTTTACAAATATTAACAAATTATACATTGCAAAATTTACCTCTTGGATTCGGAAATGTGTTTAAGGACCATGTATTCGAAGATGAACCCTTAAGTAATCATTTTCCATTGCTCTGTAAACAAGTTTTAGAACAATATTTTACCATTAAGTTGTACCATTATACCTCTAACTTGAATGCCCCTTCAAAACGTGTACGATCATTACTCACAAAAAGTATATTATTTCAAAATCAATAAAACCTGATAATTAAAAAAAAATAAAAAGCAAAATTATAAAATGAATTATAAATAATGACTTATGGAGAGTGACAAGTCCAAAGGAATTGTTTTACTGAAATATGCACTAAACCAAATAAAATAAACCTCCAAACATGGATTGACTACTACAAAATAATGTATTAACCTACACCCAATGTTGACTTTAGCTTTTTAGATGTTTTACATCCATATCTGGATCAGCATATATCAATACAAGAACTTTTTGACGCGCTAAATGGCTATCAGAGTCTACAGAGTACGCTAAATCCCCAAGTATACCGTTATGTATAAAACGATTTATAATCCAACTTAAGCTCCACAATAAATGTAGTCTCAAAATCTTCCTAAACAATATTTCATACAGGGTTGACCAAACAGACTATTGTACAATATGTAATACTCGAAAGACCGAATCTTTAGGACATCTCCTCCTGGAATGTCCATTATACAAACCATTGAGAGAGCATATTCTGTCAGATCGTTTGAACCAAATCTGTGTCTTTGCTTGCCTAAATAAAACGAATGAGTTGAATTTATGATACAAACTTTTTAAATACTTCAGGAAACTATTCAAGCTAAGATCTTTCTTAAGGAATGAGTTTTTTTGTGCCTTCAATATCAAGCCAGAATATTTAAATTGATGCGTCAATTATTTATTCTTTTTCTGTTTGTTTATATATATTTTTTATATACAACTTTTGACCATGGTTACTATCACTTTTTTACTATTTTTTTTTGTATTCATACTCTGGACAGGAAATTTTCTACTCAATTCTTATTATTTACATAATACTCTGTCTCTTGTTTATATACCTTTGTACTAGGTATTATGAAACAATAAACCTGATAATTAAGTTCCAATAATAAAACCTTGTTTACTTCTCTGTGTTTATTCTTTTCACTGCCATGGAAGGTGATACTGGGTGTATTAACCAGAACACCATTACAAAAAAGCACCTACGCCACTGGTGGAATCAGCTGTGGTCTGCACATACACAGCTTATTGTTTGTATTTGTTTTGAATTGGGTTTGTTTGTCTTCATGCATTACAGTGCCGTAAGAATGGTAAGTCTATTTATATTTGTAGTCTGAGGATAAAGCCATATCTTTTTATGCAAAACTTTTAAGTTTGCGCTATAGAGCGCGAGTTTCACTACTTCAGGATGTTAGACAAAACTAAAAACACTCAGAATATACTTTTTTAGTGTAAAGTCGACAGTCTGTTCCAATACGAATGGTAAATGTTTAGCGATCCTTCGCATGTGCCCTTCTTGTAGATGCAAAAAAATCATATCAAACTTAACCCTCCTCTTGAATGTGTGTTGATTTTGTTAAGGGTAGGCAATTTTGTGCATTTCCTATCCCAGAGGGAGGTACAAATAATTTAATAAAATTTTGTGGTTATTAAAAGATTTCTCTGACTAGGAGATAAGTGCATGCAACCAGTGCTACCTCTCCCCACGTCTGAAAAGATATTCTACAGACAACATTGGTAGCGTAGGTACGTAATCTCATCTTAAATAATTTGTACAACACAAATGAGAGTGCTGAATTTGAGCTTTTGCCTTTCTTATTGCCTAGCAACAAAACATTTTTGAATAAAGGAGTAAATCTTTCTTAGCATAAAATTATCATGCATAATAAGGTTGTGTTATATTCAACTGATTTCTAGTTATGGATAAAATAATTATTTTCCTGATTTAATTATAAATAAACCAAGTTAAAACTTTTTTGAGCTATTACAATTAATTGTTACATTTAAAATGGATTGGGATTATGAAACGAAAATAACTGAGACGTATATGCAAAAAATAACAATGAAGTATTTTTTATTTTTCGATATCTATTGAAATGGCGCTGAAAATAAATATGTATTTTTAAATTACTCTAAAGACACTTAGATTACAGCAACTTTTTACTTGTAACCAACATTTTTTAACTCTGTCTGCCCCCATTAGTATTCCTGGACAACAAAAGTCGGAACGTTTTTGATTTCAGACAAAGGTTAAGTTTAAATGGAAGAGTACTGTAATCACAAATATTAAACAGAAATAATTACTTTGTGGAAACTAACACAGTATATTTAACAATTTTGTGAAAGCAGTTTAGACATTCGTGACATTAGTTTGGCCCCACAAACAAAAATTGTATGTAGATTGACGTAGGTAAAATAGATAAAGTAGTTGTACTGACTATACTGTCAAATGCCAGCCCACTTATTTCTTTTAATTTGGAGATAACTTAGCCGTACAGTAATTGATTCTGCATATTTTTTATTTCGTTCTCCGCCAATTAACAGAAAATAATGAGGAAAAAATGGATTCACGTTGCTTTACTCAGAACTTCCCATTACCTAAACTACCTAAAAATATGTTCTGATTACACCTACCAAAGTTTGAAATTGAGTTATTAAAAAACGCAACAAAAAATCTTGGGTTATCTATAAAATGGCAAAGAAGAAAAAAGGCATAGGATGCATTGAAATCGCGACACAGAACGACACAAGGCAATACAAATGCACATCGAATGGTTCATCGACCAAGATATTCATGAATGCGGAGTGACGAGCTTTTGAGGCAGCCGGCTTTACATTCAGTTTTGTGCGTCGCGTCGGTATGAAAAGCGGTAATTTCGCATTTCCGAATATCAATTGGGCTATGAAAGCGATTCCACATAAGAAAAGTTGATATTTCTAAAAGATTTGATTTTTGCTTGCTTAGCGTAAAGCAGTTTTATTAAACATGTTTTATGGTTTCCATAAAGTATACTCAGTGACAATGAAAATAGAACACCTTTAAAAAGATTTGACTGATATTTTATATACAGTAAGACAAGTGAGCGGCAATCGTGATTATATCTTGAAGTTAAAATATCAGCATTATAGCGAAATAGACGATATATATATATATATATACATATATATATACATATATATATATATATATATATATATATATATATATATATATATATATATATATTGAGACGTGGTCATTGTCGTCTAGACCAGTTAGGTGAAAAATTAAAGCTTCCGCCTTTTGTTGGGTACTTCGACAAGATTTAAGCAAAGAGGACTCTTTATACTTTTTTTAATTCTCTCTAGCTGATGGCAAAGTCCATTGAAAGCTAGAGAGAATTAAAAAAAGTATAAAGAGTCCTCTTTGCTTAAATCTTGTCGAAGTACCCAACAAAAGGCGGAAGCTTTAATTTTTCATATATATATATATATATGTTTTTTTTAATCACGACTGGGAGTTACATTTTCTTTCGAGTATACAGGCTGTACAGTTAGTACTGGATCAACGGAAGTCAGGTGATAGAGGGCCTAATATCGAATGAACCCTTATATGTAAGGTCCGAAATTTTATAGTTGAGAAGATATTTGCAATTTTTTGAAATTTCGAAAAAACGGGATAATGAACTTTCAATCGCAATTACAACTAAACCATTAGGTTTAGGCCTGTGATTTTTTTGAGATGAGCTAAATGGTTAGTTTTAGCAATGGTTATGTCACTTTTTAATAGAGCTTATTAGAAATCAACGCAAAAAAATCCTGAATCAATTTTTTTGTGAAAAATCTCTTCCATCCCTCAACTTTGGAGGGCGATACAAAAAAATTGAGGTTGTATTTCATAATTCATTTTAATGTAAAAATTATTTCACTCTATGTAGAATAAACTCTGAAAAATTCAGCTTGCTACGATGAGTGTATCATGTCACATTCGTTGTTGAGATGCGATAAACGTAAGAAACGGAATAGAACCCTTACCAGCTACAAGTACAGAACCTATTGTGTTTAGCCGCTCTTTATGGCGATTTACCGACAAATATGGAAGATAATTTAATTTAACTAACTTTTAAAGAACATGTTCGAAATGGTCTAGATTATTTTCTATACTCAAGCGACACCTTCTAATAAAATTGTCGTTTGGTCTTTTCCATAATTTTTATTTTTGCTTCATCAATTTTCTGGCGCAGTTGGTTGACATTTATCTATTCAGATGTATAGACTATCTCCTTATAAAACCACCATATAAACAAATCTAGAGGATTTAAATCGGGAGACCTTGGAGGCCATCGTATGTGTCCACCTCTACCAATCCAACGGCTAGGAAAGGCACTGTCTAAGTTATGCCGTACATCCCGTGCAAAATGGCATGGGCACCATCGCATTGAAAATACTTCGAAAGTCCAAAGGTACAAAAATTAGCC